CCCCGCGGATGTTGTGTGGGGGCCACCATAACAGCGATAAACAAAAAACGTGTTTTTATTTTACCAGGTAAAGCCCGCTGAGCTATTGTAGATCTTTTTTCAGAAGCGACTTGGCTATCACAACTGATAGCTCAACCTATGAGATCTTCACTCAAAACTGCTCGAGAGAAGTTGTACACCCCTAGCTGCCACTGCTATTCAGTGGCCTAAAATACAATGTTTCGCTCCGGATGATCGCTGCAAAGTATGATCTGTGTTTTGATTTAGTGTGCTAATCTTACAGGTGCATTGAAAAATGTTGATACTCCGACTGATGCGCTTGCTGTTGTGGAGTGACTCATGCAGACAGCTATGGCTGCAGAGTTTGGTAGTACATGTTGTTTACGTCGTTTATTGTGAAAATTCGGTCACAGTTCCTATGATCACTGTTTCGTTGCTTTTATGGCTTTATTTAGGTGATTTTCGAAAAGTTTTTTGGTTTGGCCATGTTTGTTTGTTGTAGTACGGAGTAAGACTGATGGTCTTAATCTAAGTTGTCTTGTGGTTGTTGTTGTTTGACTTGCATCCCACTGGGATTTTTGCACACAGCGTTGGTGTACGGTGCTTTTTCTGCAATATTTTGCTGTCTTTTCTCGGATTTTCTGTTTGCACATAGTCACTTTAAGATGTTTTCTTGTTCATGTTTTTCTTTTTTGTTTGTTGCGGTTGCACCCGATTCAAGAGCCGAATGGCTCACAGGGCTATACCTAATAAATGAACTTGAACTTGAAGTGGCTTATCATGTGGAAATTTGCAGCAGCTAAATACTCCAAGTGTATGTTGATTTAAAATGTGAAGGTAAAAACCAGAGGATCCGGAGAAAAATCCACGCGATCACGCAAATTCCAAATATACAGGCGTCAGGGTCGGGATCGAACTCCACGCCCTCCTGTATACCAAGCGAGGTAGTTAACATCTCGCCACAGTGGCACCTTAAGTCACGAAGGAGAAGTGAGCTTCGGTGGGCCAAAGGGACATGTGGTGCTGCATGCGCCCAAACCATTACCCGCTAGCACAGGTCCTGAGGGCCAGATTAATAAATGCATGGCCTCGGATTTTGAGTGTACGTCCAAAAATAAATCAACATACGTTTCCACATGATAAGCCACTTCGTTGAGCGTTCATTTGTGGACCAGGTCGCTTCTGAAAAAGAGCTGTGTCGCTTAGTTGGCCTTACCTGGTAAAAGAGAACCGTTTTTAGTTTAGTTTATGAACTGCCTTATAATGTTTAACACGTAGGCTTTCACGACCAATATCATCCATAATAGGGTTTTTTTGGGTTAGATCGCGTAAATGTGTCGTTAAACCCGCCACCACCCGACACAGCCAACTAGTAAGGGTTGTCACGTAAATAGAACACGTCAATTCGTCATTAGTACAGCACACCGGTGTGTTGGGAGAGTCAAGCCACAACATTTACAATCTGAGTACGACGTTTCGCCAGTAATTACAACTAGCTTCATCAGGCGACAGCCAAATATGGCTGTACTAGTGACGAATTGGTATGTTCTGTTGACATGACAACCCTTACTAGTTGGCTGTCGTTTGGTGGCGGGTTTAACGATACATTTATATTTTTACGCAATCTAACCCCCCCAAAAAAACCTCTATTATGCTTTATAATGGTTGGATCTCAATCCGGCAGCACTATGGTAAATCTTGTAGGTGATTTGGTGTATTTCCACCAGTTGTGGTGGGATTAAACACTTTTTTGTTCATTTTATATTTGATTTAGCTATTGGTACATCACATTTAAATACTAGAACTAAAATAACCAAGGTAAATAACTACTGTACAGGGTTATTGGCATGTAGCCATGGGTGGTGGTTAAACAGGATATATTTATCAACCAACGTTTATCCGGCTAGGTGGCTGTTGTTGTTGGGAATTGCATCAACCCATCATCTCTCCCACCGAGGTCGATAAGATTTGTACCACTTTTTCAAGTCCTCTGGATTGAGGGCAGTAAACGGGAAATACCCACCACCAAAATGCTCATATATTTGCGCAGAAAGTCACTGACTTTTATTAATGGGTACAGCAATAAAGGTGAGGAAATTAACATTAAAAAATTACTGTGGGCCCCCCCCCCCACAACCTTAACTCGGCCCTGCCTTGAATGAATAACGAAGGACAGTGGCCTGCAGTTGCTTGGGCCTCCTCCTAATGTGGAATTCTACACGGAAGCTTAGGGTCGGCTTAAACTTTGGGGGCCGAGCCAGAAAAAATGTCCCAAAGGTTTCCCACGCGAAACAGAATAAGTCAAAGAGGGAGAAAAAAAAACATCTAAATGAATGAATGAATCTGCTTGTGATCGGAATCTTCTGCGGGGTTATTATTCGCTAAGGAATGTTACGCAACTGGCCACAGAAGTCCCTTCTGGACCCGCTCGACCAACCACTCAGTGGAAAGGGGGCGGGGTCAGCGAGTGGATGACGTCACCTATTAACCACAAACACGCGTCATTTGAAACGACGCCCATATCGTGGAATGACGTCAGCATCTTCTTCCTCCGGGGTTACGTCATCGCCCCTTTTTTTGCCCTTTGACGCGTTTACTCTGACGTCACATATCCGTGAGGTTCTGTGAGGGTAGCCCTGCCCCGCACGTGACGTCACCACGCGAAGTGGGGGAGGGAGGGAAGGGTGGTGCGAATGGGCGGGTACCGTCACGACGCGAAAGTGAAGGGGGAGGGGGTGGTGGTGTGAGTGGGCGGCAACGTCACGAGGCGGAGCAAGTGGGGGGGGGCGGGGCGAGTGGGCGGTGACGTCACGAGGCGGAGCAAGTGGGGGGGCGGGGCGAGTGGACGGTGACGTCACGAGGAGGGGAGGGGCTTGATGACGTCACGAGGAAGGGAGGGGCTTGACGCCGTCGCGCGCTGTTACCGATCTCACCGAATGCGGCCGCGTCTCACCGTGAGTACAAAAACCCTCAATCGCTTCGTAATAAACCTCTTGTACGCCTCATCTCACGATGTGTTTCGACAACGCCGTTGCCGTAGGCGGGTTTTCACACCACACCACACCCACGATTTCAAAAGCGGCGACAGTAAAAGGGCCGTTTGGTGCTGCGAGGCGGCGAGACAACAAAGGAGACGGGGTGGGGGGGGGGAGCCGGCGAGGCAGCTTCGTGTCCCTCAAACCCCCCGCGATCGATGTACACGCAGCGCCGGTGTACGAGTTGGGGTGGGGGGCCCTCTCTCATCATCGTCCCGACCCCCGCTGGTGTTTTTAGCGGGACGGGTGGAGGCGTCGGGCGGGCGGGCAGGCGGGCGGGGGGGTGTCCCGGCCCCGCGGGTGACGTGGTGGTGTTGCCGCGATGGGAGAGAGAGACATCTTCACGGTTCGGGACGTGGCAACTCACGCTACGGGGATTTTAGACACCTTTCACCGTCTCGAAAGTCTCCGGACCCCGCCGTAATCGCCAAGACCACCCCCCCCCTCTCCTCGCTCCCCGTGCCGCGGATCGCTGAAAGCCGCGTCGCTGTGCGAGCCTCGTCACGTGGCGCGGCACGAGCCAATCAGCGCGCGCGGGAAGCCGAGGCGCTGCCATCCATTAGAGACAAAGATTGTCGCCCCCTCTCCACCACCACCACCAGTGTGTTGTCTTACACAGAGTCGCGGCTTTGAGGGCCGGCACGGCGACGAGGGGGGTAGGGTGGCCAGCAACCACGCTCGGCCGCCTTTGTCTCCCCCAGCGGCGATGTTTACACGCCGCAGCGGCTATTAATTTGAGGCTGAGTCGACCTAGGGGAGGATAGCGTAGGACCGGTTCAGTTATTCGTCGCTCGCGTTTGTGGCGGTTAAGCCGCGAAGCGGGAATTGAACTCGGGTCACAACAGACAACACGCAACGCGCGGCCCGCACTGCGCATGCGCGCGCCGACGCGACGGCAGGAGGGCGGAGACTTTACACGTGGGCGGTGCCGAAGGGTGGATGGGGAGTGTGAGGGCGGGGCTTAACGCGTTCGTGGGCGTGTCTTAGTGTGGCATTGACCCCCCCCCGGTGTGGGCGTGTCCTAGTGTGGTATTGACCCCTCCCCCCCCGGTGTGGGCGTGTCTTAGTGTGGTGTTGACCCCCCCCGGTGTGGGCGTGTCCTAGTGTGGTGTTGACCCCTCCCCCCCCGGTGTGGGCGTGTCTTAGTGTGGTGTTGACCCCCCCCCGGTGTGGGCGTGTCCTAGTGTGGTATTGACCCCTCCCCCCCGGTGTGGGCGTGTCCTAGTGTGGTATTGACCCCTCCCCCCCGGTGTGGGCGTGTCCTAGTGTGGTATTGACCCCTCCCCCCCGGTGTGGGCGTGTCCTAGTGTGGTATTGACCCCTCCCCCCCGGTGTGGGCGTGTCCTAGTGTGGTATTGACCCCTCCCCCCCGGTGTGGGCGTGTCTTAGTGTGGTGTTGACCCCTCCCCCCCCGGTGTGGGCGTGTCTTAGTGTGGTGTTGACCCCCCCCCCCGGTGTGGGCGTGTCCTAGTGTGGTATTGACCCCTCCCCCCCGGTGTGGGCGTGTCCTAGTGTGGTATTGACCCCTCCCCCCCGGTGTGGGCGTGTCCTAGTGTGGTATTGACCCCTCCCCCCCGGTGTGGGCGTGTCCTAGTGTGGTATTGACCCCTCCCCCCCGGTGTGGGCGTGTCTTAGTGTGGTGTCGACCCCCCCCCGGTGTGGGCGTGTCTTAGTGTGAGATTGACCCCTCCCCCCGGTGTGGGCGTGTCCTAGTGTGGTATTGACCCCTGCCCCCCGGTGTGGGCGTGTCTTAGTGTGGGATTGACCCCTCCCCCCCGGTGTGGGCGTGTCTTAGTGTGGCGTTGACCCCTCCCCCCCGGTGTGGGCGTGGCCTGGTGTGGTATTGACCCCTCCCCCCCCCCGGTGTGGGCGTGGCCCGGCTCGAGTGGGCGTGGTTTGTGCGTGACGCGTCTCGCGCGTTAAGAAGCCGGCGTGGAGCGGATTCGCAACAAAAAAAATTCACCGGCCGTCGTCTTGTGGCGAAGCCGAGCCGAGTCGGGGGTGGTGGTGGTGGACGCTTTATTCACGGAGTCCGTGAAGGAGGGGGAGCTTAAGTTCCGGCTACGCCGCTGGACGTTCTCGCTTGGTGGCATTGTTGGGTTACGTCCGCGGTAGATTTTTTTTAGAAGGGGGCGGAAGGTGGTGGTGGTGGTGGAGCTCAGATTGGGAGCGCCGTCGCAGTACTGCCACTCTGCGACCGTCCGAGTCGAGTGCGCGCGGGCCTCGCGGGTTTCGTCCCCGTGGCTGCCTCTCCCGCAGCTGCCGCGCGCGTGTGTGTGTGGCCTGCCGGCTTGTAGTTGGCCTCGCTCCCTAGAACACGTCGACAGCGTTGGCGCGTAGGGGCGCCGCCGTCTCTGGCTGGTAAGGCAACCCACTCGCTCGCTAATGACATTGCGACATTCTGTACAGGGCGTTCGTGCGGCGGGGGGGTGGGTGGTGGCACTTTGGTTTGACCTGCGCGCCGCTGGAGAGGAGAACGCGTGTGATGTACGTTACGTGAATGTTATGGCGATCGGAATGTCCGCGTAATTTTGTTGACTGTATTGTTGCTGTTTTTCTGAACCCAATATTGTCACTCGTCGGCGTCACGGCACGGGTTTTGTGCGCGTGGTGTTGACTGCCGCAGAGAGAGTGGGCCCTGTGTGTGCGTCAGCGGAGCGATTACATCAGTGTTAATTTAAGAAACACCTAACTCTAATTAGCTACGTGCCTTTGTACTGATGCACGCTGGTGATTCACGCGGGCCTGAGGCAACAACATGGTATTTTAACATGTACACTGGAAATCCTTCTTCATCTGTATTGTGCCTGAGTAAATGCGGTTTGAGGGTGGTAAACGAATGTACCGGTTTAATAGAAGTAATCTACAGGATTATCAATTATTATCGCTGACTTAGACGTGCCAAATCAGCCTAGTTATGATGTGCTTGGTCTCGTTGCATGTCTCATGACGAAGTATTAAACGAAACTAATGTAGGGGGAATTCCGAAAATAACGCGAGTTAGGTTTTAAAAAAGAAACCCGATGATTCTCTCGTATGACGTTTAAGACAAATGTAATTGATATTTATAGCCGTAAAGCGGGTAAAACCCCGCTTGGCAGCGTTAATCTTCGTAGTCGGTTTATCCGTGGGCATCTTCTACGTGAGCGGGGGGGGGGCTTTGGTTTGTGGCGCTGTTTTCTGAGAACCTCAGCGTTCTATTGTAATGGGCGAGCGAGCTAGCGAGCCGTGCGAGTCGCGGACGTGTCGTTGAATCTGCGCGCATTGCCGCCCCCAGCTGTGCTCTCTGATCTGGTGTCGGGCCCGCGCCGTGAAAAAAACCCAAACCTTTTCTCAGAGGCCAAGACCTATTATTTACTCCTGCCACTGCAGTAGTAATGCGGGCCACGGAGAGCGCTCATAGGCACGCAAAGAGTGGCTCCACAAATGTGGGCCATTGCAGTCTCTCCGATGCGTACACACCCCTAATCTCATCCATAACCCCCCCACACACACCCTATCTTTAACCCCAAAATGATCTAACAACCCTAAATGATAACTGTACCCCTAAACCATTAATTGTACAAAACTCAATTTCGCAGTATTCCTTCAAATGTCATTAACTGAAAAGCAACTAATATTACGATTTATATTTGTCTTTTTATGGTTATGTCGTATAATTGTATCAATTTAAGTGCTGTATGATTAACTCAACACACCGGTGTGCTGAAGCAGTAATACATTTGGCACTTTTGATTTGCATGTCACTTTTATTAATTGTCTGTGTCGGGTGGAGGAGGCTTCATAACCAAAAATGTTTTACACGGTCTAACCAAAAAAAACTATTATGAATCATGAACACCGAGGTCTTTGATTGAACGAAAGAATGGTTTATAAATGGATACAAATCTGTGGGGAGAGTAGTTGCCAGAGGCTCCGTCTCCCCACATCTACAGAGACAACAGAGTCGCTTCCTTTCACAAACTTCTTCGCTATATGGGGAAGTCTTAAGCCAAAACTAGGTGCTGTATATTTTAGCTTTCATACTGCTTGTATATACTCGTCTTTTTTGCTGCTGTTCAGCTGGGCTTTTAATATATTTACATGTGAGTGGCATTTCTTATGTATTTAACGCTATTAGGGCAAAGCAGATTGTTAATTCTCTGGCATTTTAATGAACATGGGCAGTGGGATTTGGCAAGATTGTGTTTGTTGATCCACTTTTCCTTTAAAAGAACATATTTTATACTGCAGTAACTTTGTTTTATTCCAAATGAAAGTGAGATGCGTTTAAACTGAAATGGGCATGCGTGCGGTTAACAGATTGCATGCAGCTGACTTGAGTATTTGTGATGCGCTGTTTTGTTGTGGCTAAGATTTGTCTTTCTTTCCACACCCCCCCCCCCCGTTTTGTTTTTCAGAACACACACATGTACCATGGATGATAGCTTTGAATGCGAATGTGGTGAGCTGGAGCCACCGGATCACTTGTAGTGCACCTGTGAAGAAAGAACATTTGAAATCCTCAAGCTTGAAACACCTGTAGAATTCTTGCACATCCATCCTTTCGTCACCATTTGTCCACTCACGGGCATGTGCTCTAATTTCTCAGTCAGTTTTAGGACCCACTCAGGAACAGATGTGTGACAAAACTGGCCATATTTTTGTTAAAAGTGTACTTTTGCGTTTTTATGCTTTCATTACTTGGTGAAAATAACAGGGCTGCAACCTAGGCAGTGCAGGAAAAGCTCACTTCAAATGATTAGTTTCGCAATTTCTTTAAATAGCTGTACCTCAGGCTTATTTTCAATGGTCTTGTTGAAGGCGGTTAACTTTATGAAACAGCTCTAAGTTTTCAAGCACACAAGCTAAAATAAAGAGAAGCTTGTTTAGGCAAGGTGGGTCATTAATCAAAGTTCCAACGTCACTTGACCATCTTATAATAATAGGAAGCAGACATTTTTTTCAAATTATCACTTACTGGATATTTTGTGATAGTTGGAGAAAAATTTGAATTGGATATTTCATTTGTTGTCGAATTTGGAAAACCTTTGGACACGATTGGCTTTCTTGGCTGTGCTTTACGCGCGAAGCTTGTTGACTGGTGAAGGGTCCTGCCAGACCATGGCGGAGAAGTTCAATAGTCTGCAGAATCTCCACGGGTTTGAGTTGGGTCCACGCTATGTGGACCTGAAACCGCTTGGCTTTGGCGGCAATGGGCTGGTGTTCTCGGCTGTGGACAGTGACTGCGACAAGCGTGTGGCTATCAAGAAGCTGGTGCTGAGCGGACCGCATAGTCTCAAGCACGCGTTGCGTGAAATCAAGATCATCCGTCGCTTGGACCATGACAACATCGTCAGGGTGTTCGAGGTGCTGGGCCCTGCTGGACAGCGCCTTCCCCTTGGCCAGGCTGGTAAGGGTTAATTCTTAATGTCATTTTTGATCATCAGTATTCAAATTAATGTTTTATTTTCACCTTAAGGTTTTTAAACTGAGCTGTTCACTTATAATATTCCAGAGTCTGTCCATATCAGGTCGTCCAATGTTTTTTAAAATACATATACCTTGCAGATAAGTAAATGATATTTATATTAATGGCTAAAATTAATTTTAGCTAACTAAAGGAAGAAAGCAAAATAATTGAAAATAAATTATTGGGAAATCTCCCATACAAATATCAATAAAGGCAGTAATTTAATCCTCACTAACGACAGACTCATCAAATTTACAAAGACATTCAATTGTCACCTCAGCCTCTGAACCTGCGCAGTTGTTTTTTCGGAGTGGAGTGTAGTTATGATATTTCTCCAGATTTTAAATAGGTGGAGAGGCTGGTTACTATTGTACATTATTTAAAGATGATCTGAAAAGTAAAAATCGACAGGAAATATCAGTGAGCACACTGTACCCATTAAATCTGTTATTTTTCTTACTTATGGAATTTTTTTTCTATTCCTTTGACTAAAAATAACTGGTGGTGACATCCTAAGCTCATCTTGAGATGGTAAATGGACCCTTGAAATTCCTGTGGTGACATCTCGCTGTACAGCCAAGTAAAAGTCAATTGAGTATTTTGAGAAAATTACACTTCCAGAGGGCATGTTCGTATGATTCTGGCTGTAAAAATGTTGGATGGTTTATTCCAAGCTTTGCAGGACTATGGAGAGGTGTTTGTGTCAAACTTGAATGGCAATGCTTGGTAAGCACTGATATATAAATCACGTTACAAAATATGCAAGGTATCCAAGAGCGGTTAACCATAATTTATCTTCCTATACAAATTACCATTTAGTACTTCTAGTGGTAATGCATATTTAACGGTATACAAATGTACTTATAATTGGATTAATCATGCATAGACATAAGCATGGAAAAAAGCACAGAAAAATAACGAACAATACAATATGTAGTGGTGGTCAGGTATAAGGAAAGTGGCCTAAAGTTTTATTTAGACATTTATTCATGCGCTGTATGTCAATCCAGAATTCTACGTGCTTTGCCTATCCACGTTTTCACTGTTTGCCTTGGTCTCCAGTCAGCATCTGAAAAATGTTCATTGGCCTTAAGGGCAGTGCAAGTTTGTGAAAATACACAATCAGACCAATGCACTTTCAAGATATAAAAATATCATATATGCATATGATATTTTTAGAGGTTTTCCTTTGTGGCGAAGGTGTTAAAACGAATGAACGATATTGTATTTTAACATTGAGGCTTTGGCGACCAATACCTTCACACGTGAAGAGCTCACAATTGATGTCATCATATCTACCCCTCTATTTAAGGAACGAAACAGGAGGTTTTCTCCACAAATCTGGCTGTCGCCTGATGAAGCTTGTTGTAATTGCTGGCGAAACGTCGTACTCTGATTGTAAATGTTGTGGATTTGCTCTTCAACACACCGGTGTGCTGAACTTGTAACGAATTGGCATTTTCTGTTTACGTGACGAACCTTACTAATTGGCTGTCGGGTGGTGGTGGGATTAACGATACATTTATATTTGCGCGATCTAACCCAAAAACCTATATTTTTGAACAATAGTGTAGCATGTTAAGATTGTAAAATGTTTAGCTTTTCGCTTTTATTCACACTTTAAAAATACTCTGCTCAAAGACAGAGTTACTATTGTTGGTGGCTTAACAGCCAGTGGCGTGACTTGCACAACACATGATTGAATGTAAATCGTCTGGCTATAACATTTCCAAGTTAGAGACGGACTGATGCATAGACTGTTTCTATCCCAGTGTTATCTGTCCTGAGACTTGGCAAAGGGCAGGTTTTTTAAAAGGCCACCCCACCCAGCAAAAATAAAATCAGCTCGTTAGAAAGTGGTGGAGACACAGACGGAGAATGTGCACTTTAAAAAATACACCTTAACAAGCAATCCCTTATCAAAAGGCATGAGTCCAGACAAAGTGTCATTGTTTTATATGTGTACACCTGTCCTCTGAGGCTAGTTGTGATGACCTGCGGAGCATGTGTTGTGCATACTGTGCGGATTACAGAACATTTAGTACAGGCTGTTGGACCAACCTGAAAATCCCAGGTGTGACACCAATGTTTTCCCTAATTATAACGGTGTGGACTGTTTGTCTTTTTCAAGGGCGGTATCTTTAGTATATGCCACCCACTGCTTTCTCAATATCATAACTTGTAAACGGAGATTTCATTTATCTTGTTTTAAAAGGATAGGATACACTGTCTTGAGCAGACTGGTCAGTCAAGTGGGATCTTGTAATTGTGCGTGTCCTTGAAAACGTTGGAATGTTGACCCCCAGTGTGGATGTAGTGTGACCGGTGGGGCAGGGCTAATTACATTACTGGATCCTCTGTATTAAGACTGCTTAAAGGTTCCCTGTGTGTTCATGTGTGCATAAAGGGCATCAGCTTGTCGATGCTTGCGCTCGATCAGTGAATACATTGTCCCAACAGATTTTGGTGTGCTAGGAATGTGGGACTGAATATTTTGGCCATATTAATGTGGTCTAGTTTAGGTGGTATGAGCAATATTTTACATGCATGGCAGGTACCTTTGGCAATGCAATATTTGACTTGATTTGTAATGAAATTCCTGAGGAGGGGTGGGTGGAGAATACAACGATGTTGAAAATTTTTCATTTAAAATTTTAATTCCAGTGTTTAAATTGAAAGTCATTTTGCTTAATTGCTTTTTAAACAAGGCAATACTGTGCCATTTTTATTTTTAAATCGCCAACTAGTTCTTTGTAAACTGCATTGGTGGGCTGTCTAAATTTCTGTATTTTAGTGCAGACTTTAATTCTACCAATAAATACATGGTTCAGTACACATTCAAGTTTGTATTTATTTGGTGCATGCTGCACAGCATGATTAACACATCTAATAATGATCCCAAATAACTTTTTAAAATAAATTTTACATCTGATCCATCGCTTCAGATGTAAATCGAATCGCCCAAAATGCGCCCAATCTCGTCAGATCTGGGAAGCTAATCATGCTTGAGCCTTTGATAGCGCTTGGATATGCGAACAGCACAAACGAATAGGTTGATACAGGACTTGCAGGGCTAACTTGTGACCAGCAGAGGGCAGTGCAGCAAAATCCATTGTACTCTACATCTATGCTCCCTGCCTTCGCCAATCCGTACTGACCGGCATGCTGAGGTATGGTCAAATAACCTTCATGATGTGCACAGGTGTCGGGAGGCCCCTCATCCAGCAGTGGAGTGTTAGTGCTGTCTCCTCAAACCAATGCTTGGAGGGAGCTAAGCTATTGCTTCTTGCTTGCTAAGAGTTGGCCCACCTGCACACACGGCGCAACGTCCTGTTGCCCGCGAACTCCGTTGTAAGCGTTCCCCCATTGCCTTGGCGCGCAGCATGCGACTGTGTGCAGGCATTGGCACATCGGCACTGGCGGAGCTGGAGTGTGTGTACATCGTGCAAGACTACCTGGAGACGGACCTTGCCCGTGTGCTGGAGCAGGGCAGCGCCCTGTCGGAGGAGCACGCGCGCCTCTTTATGTACCAGCTGCTCCGCGGACTCAAGTACATCCACTCGGCCAACGTGCTGCACCGTGACCTCAAGCCGGCCAATCTGTTCATTAACACCGAGGAGCTGCTCCTTAAGATCGGCGACTTTGGGCTTGCGCGCATCCTCGATCCACACTACTCGCACAAGGTATTCATAATAATTTAGTACCTGTCATGAAGTAAGGTGCTATGTTTTACAGACAGTAGGGAGCAATGTTGCTATAATTTAATCCCAATCGGGTAATTTGCGGATAATTTCTTGTATTTGGTAAATTTGGACCATGACTGGCATTCAAAGGCCTGCTCCTTTGGAATCACGTCAGGGGATCTTTATTGTCCACAATGCAGCAGATTGCACACATTTGATCGTTGGGCGGCCTATTGGGTAAAGATGCGCAAGTTTACTTGGAATGCATATATGCACGTGTATAAACTGACAAAAATCTCCCGTATAGCACTTCACTTACTGGTGTCGCAAGTGCTGTTATAGTAAGCACCTATGTAGGCTGGCGTGGCACACAAGGGGGTGGTTTGAGCAGCACTATGCTCCTGGCAATCTTTGTTTCCCCAGTGCTGATGTATGCACACTACACCAAGTACTCGTTTTAAGGCTGAGCTGGCCTAAGGGAGGCCAGGATCGGTTGAGATATTTACTACCGATATTGGCCGTGGCCAGGAATAGAACTCGGGTCACCAGATCAGTATCACGGTGCGCTAACCACTGAGCTATAATATCCACACATATGCAACATGAATCATTCAGTTCATCTTTGAAGACGCTGAAACGTTTGTCAGTAAAACAAGAATACGTGTGAAATGGACTAGAAATATGTGTGTGCTGATTATAGTGGCATATAAAATCACCTGCACAAGGACACGAAACTTCTCGTGCGCATATCGATGACATGCACATTAGTCACTGAAAAGCTTGGTTTGTTAGCAGAGCTAACGAATATAATTTTCAGCCAGCTTATAAACAGAGAAATGAGCAAAAACACATACACTCATGCACTCAAATACAAATGCCCCTATAATACCCGTACAGACTGTTGGGGAAAATGCGCTTATCAATCATTATTTAAGGCCGTAAAATCTTAAGACATTGCAGTTTGGCGAGTACCACACCAATTTTTGCATACTCGTGTAAGGTTGAGCTGACCTGTGATGAGGCCCAAGACATGTACAGTTATCCACGACCTTAAATCAAATTTAAGGTCACCATGCTCGCCACAATCTGCCAATTCCTGCACCACCGTGCGGCACATTTGCACACACACACTAACAATGACCTTGGCTTACAATACGTGCTGCATGATCAAGCCATTACATTGGCACCCACTGATTGATGGCATTTTGTCCAGATCATGTGAGTATTTCAGAGCTACTCGCATAATCCAGCCTGGTAGGCCATCAAAACGAGAAAATATATGCCAAATAATTGGTTCTTTACCCTTCTATCTGGCAACAAAACTGACACCTTTTTGCAAGGAGTCATGTTTGCATAGACCGCAATACCTGCAGTCATAAATACAAACAAAAGACATAACTCTGATAATGTGCACTGCAGTGCACTGCAGTGCACATTATCAGAGTTATGTCTTTGATAATGTGCACTGCAGTGCACTGCAGTGCACATTATCAGAGTTATGTCTTTTGTTTGTATTTATGACTGCAGGTATTGCGGTCTATGCAAACATGACTCCTTGCAAAAAGGTGCCAGTTTTGTTGCCAGATAGAAGGGTAAAGAACCAATTATCATATTTTTACTGGCAAATGAGGTCCCCATATTGTAAAATATATGCCGTTTTCAAAAATTCTAGAAAATGGACACGGAGTGCAAACAGAGAAATTCGATTTCAAATTAGCCTAAATTCTCAATGGAAAAAAAAAACACAGATGGTCAGATGTCTCTCTGCAAACGGTGCTTTACATTTGATGCATGAAGCCATTGGTATAGCCTTTCACAGTTACCTTTCTCACCTTATGCTTACGTGCTCTTTCCATGCTGATACAGTTTCCGTTCCGAGGTTTCCGTTGATAGAAAAGCTGGACATGTGATAGCGTGTTTTTTTTGTAGGTCTGTGCTGGGATTAAAGTTGCCTGGTACTTTTTGTATTGTTGAGATGCGCTACAGATAGTGTGTGTGTGTGTGTCCGTCATGGTGTAAGTTTCACGTTTGTCCCCAAGGCACTAAGTGGTACAGGAAGGATTTTGTGTGGGTATCAAGTGCCTCGAATCTCATGGTTGTTATTTACTTGGATCATTATTATGAAGCAACAAACCGTTTTCACGTTATTTTTAAACCACATTGAAACGGATTATTTATTTCCAAACTTAATTGAGGAATTTTCCAGGAGAGGATGAACTTAAATGGATTCACTTTCATTTAAATCTTATAATTGCTTGCTTAACTGAGATAATTTCTCTGTCAAAGTTATGCACATTAGGTTAGTTGTAAGTGTGCGTATGGATAAGATCGTATTTAGATGAAAAAACATCACTCTATTACATTTTCAAGGAGTATTGAATTTAGATGTTTTTCTGTGTTTCTCCCAGGGCTACCTTTCTGAGGGATTGGTGACCAAGTGGTATCGCTCACCACGCCTCCTCCTGTCCCCAAACAACTACACTAAGGCCATCGACATGTGGGCCGCCGGATGTATATTTGCTGAGATGCTCTCAGGAAAGACCCTCTTTGCTGGTAAGTGTTTTTTTTTTATATAGAAATAATGGTTCAAATTGAGCCTTGAGTGACTCCTGATATGGAGTAAGATTTTAAATGTATTTCCAACAATATCACAAGAAATGTGCCTCCGGGTTCTGGAGACCACCTGGAGAAGATTCCAGGCATGCTTTGACAACGATGGCGAATAAGTGCCGACTCTATGACTTTTAAAGCTATTAACATACATTTGTTATCATGTTACAGTGTATTATCCGTTTTTTTGCCATTAAAAACGATAGGCCCATATAAGTGTTAACATTTTATTGATGTACCCTGGATATTAAACTTACGAATTAGTTAAAATATTTGGTAATTGTGTGTGCTTCAAGGGACTCGCCCTGACACAACCTCGGCATCTCGAAGGCTGCTTGCAATTGCAGCAAAACGGGATCCAATCCCAAGATTTCAGTGGGGTGTGCTTCTGACATGAAACTTTATACCCATTTGAAATGTTGGTCACCTGTTCTCAGGAGCGCACGAGCTGGAGCAGATGCAGCTGATATTACAGACGATTCCCGTAATGCGCGACGAGGATCACCAGGAGCTGCTCAACGTCATCCCGGTGTTTGTCGACAAGGAGCGCCGTGAACCCCCCAAGCCGCTTGCCTTGCTACTGCCCAATGTCAGCAAGGAGGGTGAGTGTCAGTAATTAGGTAGCCACCCAGATCAAGAGGGCCTCTGCTGATCAGTAGCAGTGCGGTCATCCGTATAGATTCTGAAACTGACTTATGCATACCTAATGCATATTTAATTGGAGTGTGCTTGAACAATGTGTAGCGTGGATTGTGTAATTCTCATTAGTACCAGTTCAGATATCATTCGCAGCTCATGTTAGCTCTGGCCGGAAATTGAATTGGGGTCTCCAGGTTCATAATGCAGTGTGGTAGCTACTGCACTACCACTCGGCTCCCTCAATAGTCATACAGATTGATTATTTGGAACATAGAGCAACCACCACTGCAAAGTATCCTACATATGTAATCACAACATTTTGTAATGCAATCAGAAGGTTAACTTCTTCTCCCAGGCAATGTTCAAGTTTGTAAGTTGCCTTGGCTGTATTTCGTGATACCATATTTGTAATGGTTGATCCTCCCACACTCAACGGACCTTGGTGGCAGTGACTTTTACATGTTTCCACAGTTATATAATCACTTGTAGAATGGTACATTTTGTAGCGTCGTGAGTATGAAATGTTATTTTGGGCAAATGGAAGCCTTGAACCATTGGTGAACCCGAGTGCTGGCACTTCAGATGTGCTATGAACATTAAGGGGGTTGTAAAGTCATAGACTTTACGACCCCCTTAATGGTATTTATTTTAATAAAAGAACCTTGAACACACCTGACAACATTTAGTCTAGTTTGTGTATGTACCATAAGGCTGTTTACATATTTTATCAAATATTGATATCACATGTGTAAGGTTGTTTTAATCTACAGTCCAAGGTGTAGCACCAATGCTTTGTTTAGTTGTAAGTGATGCAGTTTACAGCGTATAATCAGCTTGTCTTGTCAAATCGGTTGCATCTTTATAATAAAGGTCATGAGGATTGTAAATGAAACAATCGTTGCTGATGTTGCAACCCCTTATTTAGAGATGCTGTCACACATTAAAAAAAAACACTTTTAAAGGTGTACCAGCATTCTATAACTTTGAACAATGTTGCTTCTGCTGCCCACGTTATGGTCTTGTGGTTTCTTAGAAAAGCAATAGCGTACACAACTTCCAATTAACTTTTCCGCTGGGATTAGAGAAGTAATGAAATACATTTTCAAAGGACACTGCCAATAAACAACCACTGCATTTATGCACAATACGACTAAATTGGTTGTCATGACACAGCACTACATAGCGTCACATACATCACATGGAGGTGTTTAAATTGTCACAAACGGTATGGAAGTGTTATTTAAACAGATAGAATTGGTAGTAAAACAATATCTTTAGACTGCCTAGATTTGAAACATTGCGAGCTCTGTACTGGTGTAATGACGACTTAACACATTTCTCTTGATGGCACTTTATTGAAGACAGTTTCAATTGACATCAGGCGGACACCCCACTGCAACAGCCCAGAGTTTCCTGCGCATCTCCCCCTTATATACCGACCGACGCCACTGCCTCCCTTCTCGATCCTTCTTGCTGACTCTAGACGCTCGCTCCACTGGCAGACTAGGCCGTCCTCTTTCGTCACCTGATCACGCTCCCTTCTCGAACATTCTCGTAGCCACCAGTCCCTTCGCACTCACAACTCGTACCCCTGTCATTTCCTTCCGTGGCCACTAGACCCTTCGCACCGCACGCAGGCTCTATTGTCATTACACTGGTATACCGACCGACAAGTGTGAAACCAATTTCACAAAGTGTCACGCATTTCAAGGTTGGGAGACATTCACGATTTTGCACCTGGCAGTAACAGACCAAGCACAGCACTGACCTCAACCCACCTTACAAAGCGGAATAAATTATTCGGGGAAAATGGCTACAATTCAGGAAAATATGGATGCATTGCTGTTTAACCACCATGCTGTACAGGAAATAGTTTTTGAATTGGTAGGTTTCTCCATTTACAGTAAGACACCATAAAAGCTACCATTTATATCAGAACTCTTTTTGTAACATTTTGATTGTTTAATGTATTCCTTTGCTAATGAAAGCAATGTGGATAAGATAGTAACGTTAATTAATCTGCTTTGCTATGGAATACATCCTCTGGCATTGTGCTGGGCAAAGCATATATTTAACTCCCTTGTCTTTGTTGTTTCATGCATAGCTTTGGATTTCCTTCAGCAAATCCTCACCTTCAATCCGATGGACCGCCTGACCGCTGAGCAGGCCCTGGCCCACCCCTACATGAGCCTCTACGCCTTCCCACAAGATGAGCCGGTGGCACGCCAGCCCTTCCACATCGAAGACGAAATCGACGATGCGCTGCTGACAGACGAAAGCCACAGCCAGCAGGCACAGTGGAGCCGGTACGTTTCTCAAACCCAAAGTAGGGTTTTACATTAATTTTTGTTCTCAGCAGTCATGACTGGTCTTGCGATTGTATCAAAACACAAATTTAATCTTACGGTAATATGATTACCAGCAGGTGATAAAACGAGTTTTTTTGCCCCCCCCCCCTCTGTTGTCACAGATACCCAGATAGTACCGATACGGATTGGTACAGCCACGGGGAGCTAGACGTCGCCCAGAAGGACCCTCGTGCAATGGCCTCCAGCTCCTCGGACGAGGACGGCGTCCAGCTGGACCCGCGCAAGTTTTCCGAGGGCGAGCACGGCAAGTTCAAGGACGGGCGAGGCTCCTGCGCGGCTGGGAACGTCCTGTCCTACTCATCGTCGTCGTCGCTTGACCAGCTGTGGTCCACCAGCGAGGAGATGCACGACGAGCACCACCACCATCACCACCACCACGAGAACAAGTTCTGCGAGTCGGAGTGTAGCCACTCGTGCGGCTACAAGGCGGGCTCGCCGTACCACCCCGGGAGCGTGGTGCTCCGGGAGAAGGAGGTGCACCACTACTACGAGCCCAAGCTCATCTTGGACCTGTCCAATTGGAAAGAGCAGATCCGCGTGCGGCCTCCCGGGAGAAGAAGCGATCGGGGGTGGGCGGCAGCAAGAGCAGCAAGCCCAACAAGTGCGAGCGCAACGGGGCGGTCAAAGCACAGCTAGCCCAGGAGGGTAAGGACGAGGCTAAGTCTAAAAAGAGTTTCGATCTCGACGCTTTCTTTGCCGACACTATCCGCCTAAGTAGCAGGCAGTTTGATAATCTCGCAGAAAATTCCTACGACAGTGCTTTACCGTCAGGCGATGCCACCAGTGTCTCTGGAGCAAATGCTCTTTGGAAGGAAGGTCAGAATACATCCGTGAAGCTGGAGCCAGGTGAGTTTGATCGACATCCTTTCAGCTTAGATTCTTGCCCAGATTCTGGCTTGTCCCTTAATGCGCAGCAGGCAGAGGTGGCAGCTGAGTGTAGACACTTGAACACAGTTCGTTTCCTAGACAACTTCTCGAATGTTGAATCTGAACCAGTTAGAGATGAGAAAAAGGAGGAGGTTAAGGCATTTCCTTCGTGTTTGGAAAAGTTAACTGGCAAAACCCCTGAGCAGGAAGCTTCGGTCGTCATCAAGGTGGAAGAAAAGATGGATGTGGAGGTAGAATCTAGGCACAAGTGCTTTACCAAGCTTTTACATGTTGATTCGGAAGCTGTTCAGGAAACAAGAAATGGGGAGAGTCTGGAATATTCTCAGTGTTTGAATGTCATTGTATGTCGGAAAGAAAAAAGATGCCCAAAAAAGTCTTGTTTGAAAAAAGGCTCAAAAAGAGAGGCTTCTGTGAAACCTGGCCTGGATGCAATCAAATTTGCTGTTTCAGGTGTTGAGGATGAGCCTAAGAAATATGATAAATTTGTGGAGGCATTAGAAGAATGTCCATTGTTTTTAGACACCATCATGAAAAAAACTTCAGACACAAAATTAGATTATCATCAAAATTTTTGCCTTGGGATGATAAAGTTGACAGTTTCCAGGAAATCTCATCCAAGGAGCAGCTAGTTGAAGAGACTAGGCATGTACCTTTTTTTGAAGGCCTAATGAACATGTCATCTGATGAACCTATAAGAGTAAGTACAGAACCTGAAGGAAATAACTTCTGCAGCTGCTTAGAAAAGATATGCAAGACTCCAATATCTCAAAAGTGCTCAATTACAGATGACCTGTTGGAAAATGTGGCTGATGTTGAATACGTGCCCTTCCTGACCAGCTTTTCCGATGCAGATTCCGTTCCTTTAATTGAGGAACGAATGCTAGTTAACGAGTGCTCAAGCTGCCTTGAAAAGTTAATGTGCTGCCAACCTGACACAGAAGATCTCTGTGAACCCCCACTTGAAGATAAACACGAGATTCAGCAGTCAGTGGTCCACAGTTTAAGTTTACAAAAGGAGACAGAATTGGTGAAAGTGACCAAGGATATAAAGGTAACCATCTCAGAAGGACAGGGGCCCATTCTCCGCAGCGAGGCCACAAAACCGGAGGTGGTTGTGGTCCAGGCACCTCTGGGAAATGATGCAGGGGAAGAGAGTCGGGCAGGAGAGAGTGGTGGTGGTGGAGCAAAAAGCGTAGCGGGCAGTGTCATCCCTCTGGTTACCGTGGCGAGTCAGGATATGAGACAGGTGGCTCCGCTCAAGTGTCAGGCGCAGGCGCAGGTACAGGCCGGGGGAGGCCTCGCCCCGCTCAACGTGATGGCACTGCCAGAGTCCACCATACCTCACGTGAAAAACCGCAAGGCAGCCAATACGGTTAGCTGCTACTGAGGCGTCATATCCACACAGCCTTAATTTATACTAACATTTCACCAGCATTGATTCATAGCTTCAAGTGTACATTTTAAAATATTGGTTTGACTTCACTTAAACCTGCATTGCGCGTGCTTTGGTACACGTCAGCAGCGGTGCACGTTTTCTGGAGGCGGTGAGAGTTGAGGGCGTGCTCATCGGCGCGTCCCCCCTGTCGAGGGTGTACCATCTGCCAGTTGAAATGATGCAGCCTCGGTTCATCCGATCGGAATGGGTGCCAGAAACTAGCTGCTCTTTTTTTTCTGGCCCAATATGAAATGGTAAAGCCAAATTGCATTTTTTCAAATGTAATGGTTGTTAAACTTACACGTATTAAACTCTTAGGAAAGCAATACGCAACAATGATATATTGTCAAATGTGAGTTTGAAATTACAACAAAAAGTAAAATTGCAGATGTGACTGTGTCAGATATATTAGGTTTGGTACTGCAGTAATACCATCTAATGTTTGCACACTTATTGCATTATAAACTATATAATTTATAAACGACAACAAGCCTTTACAATATATTTATAACATTGAGCTAAGAAAGTAGGCTATATTATTTCCCACTTTTCCACAAGGTTTTACATAAGATTTTAAAATATTGTGGGTTTTCTGATTTCCATTGATTAGGCCCTTATGGTAATTTGTGTAGCTGAAAACAACATTTATGAATTAAATATTCTCTGAATGAATTAAAGTGTACCAAATGTAAATGTTTACCATTAATGTTTTCCCATCTAAATTTGTTTTCTTTTTAATTGATAAACCTGTTGGAGGCGGTTTTATTTGTTTAAAGACTTTAATGTGCTCTGAAAGGTACCAGCAGAACAGAGGTTTGGATGTCATTTGGTAGATGTGCAGAGAAGAAGAGTGGTCAACTCCAGTGCATTCAAGTAGAAAATGGCAAAATTCATCCAGGGTCAAACTTCAACAGCATTTTAAGAACTGCGTCAGTGTGGGACTGTCACACCACTGCCACAACACCAGGCTAAACCATTTTTGTTGTTAAAATAGAGGTATGTCAGTAACAATAGCTGTCTGAATCTTCCCTTTGTTTTTTGTAGTCTTTAAAATGAACCATGTATGTAAGCTGTAGGACGTCAGTAGAATGAGACCTCTACCTCAGATGCTAAGGTTGGTTGATGCTCCTCTAGTCCGTAAGTATGATGTTCATATTTAAGTTTCTCTTGTCTATCCATGGCAGTGCATTCAGTCCAACCAGATAAAATAAAATAAAAATATGGCAAAGTTGAAAAGATCTGAATTCAAACTATTTGCTATTTATTGCATTATAGAAATAACTTTATTTATGCAAGAATTTTAAGTTATTAAATAACAAAAACTATGAAGCATTGCACATGCGAGCTGAGCGAGTCTTCATACTTAAGTAACGGTGTGTTTTTCCTGCCTAAAATTTTGGTTTTCAAAATGTTTTTTTCTAGACTATGTGAAGTATTGCTCATAACTATGAATCTAAATAAAGATTAATTCTGATAACTGCAACAGGTTCCCTGTATCTTTAAAAATAAAAGTGTTTGCATCTTGATAGAGCTACAGCAAGTGTTGTATGATGAGTAGTGTCCCAACAGTGCATGCAAGCAACTCCAGTGTTTTGTACATATGTTAGATCTTTTTGTTTTTTTTTATTTCGCAGCACATTTGAAGATCTATAGTCTTGTCCTTATTTCATGTGTTCTTAAAACAACTAAACAAGACTTGTAGTTTGTGCTTCGTTAAATTATAGGAAAACTGGATAGAAAAAAACTCTGAAATTAGATGTTTGAAAACCTTAATTATTTTCGAGAACTTTATCGTCTTATGCAATTAAGGAATACGCATGTCCTTGTTTTGTCAATTTTTAATAATGTATTTTTTTTTATCTAAAGGTCTCAATGCTGCATACTTCTAATGCTGTTTGGATTGATGTACTTGGAATCAAACTGAATTACTTTTAAGGCTTGTGTTAAGAACAGTTAAATAAAAAATAATAACATATTTGGCGAGTGTTTTGTCCGCAGCGAACTTGCAGCGTGTTGTGTTTTTCTTGCACCATTGCAGCAGTCCTGCCCAAATGAATGTTCTTCAAACAACGTAGTGCATACGGTGTTGTGCACGTGTCGGGTGGAGTAGTGGCAGAGTGGTTGGGGCAACGCAATTGAAACTGGTGATCTGTCCACTTCCCAGCCACGGCTGACATTGGTGGCGAATGAAATCTGAACAACCCTGAGCTAAAAAGTTGTGAAGTATGGTCAACCGATAGTGTGGGGAGGTCTTCATTCAACAGTGGATTGGGAAAAGACTAAAAGCAATAGCATAACCAAATAAGTGTCAACCATATGGAACCCTCACCAGATGGGATGGTCCAATACGCTTGCACGGTACTGCAGATTATGGTACAATCCTCAACCCTGGCTACCTCACTTCACTGAACTCGCCGACCTGGCTACTTTCGTGATTGAGCATTTACTCCCATCAAAGCTTGGGAGTGGGGAAAAGTAAGTGTCTTGTTAAAAAAGACAGCGGGCAATGGGGGCATAGCGTTGGAAACGAAGGCCGCCTTCGCTTTAACTTTGCGGTGGCCGAGGAAAAGGATGAGTTGAAGGTGGTGGCTCCCAATCCCCTATATTATCCCTGATGTCTGGAGATAAAAGCCCCAGCCAAGATGTACAGGACACTTCGTCCTGTACTTTTCCCATGGACGTACACAAGCGGTAATGGGTATCAATATTTAATTTTAGTCAATATGGGTCTTGACTTGCTTTGTAATTAACCCGTAAAAACAAAGTTTTTCACTATAAATCCTTTATATGCGTGGCGGCTAGAGTCCTCTCGTCCTCTGGCTTGAGATGGCTGCCACCTATGGGTCAGATGATTGCCTGCCACCATTAAGCAATTGGTAATTAAATATAATTTATTTTTTCCTAAAAAGTGTAAAATTTTGGAATTTTTTTCACGAAAATAAATTGTCACGCACAACGAGTCTGTGTGCAAAATGTCAGCTCGATTGGATCACGGGCAGTGGGTTAAAAATGACCGAAAGATTTGCACGGTCGTAAGTGCGCAAGCAAGTGAACTTAATATAAAGGATTTTAAAAAAGTCAAACTCGAGACCAGATCACGTGAGATGTGCCCGATATTGTCAGAACGCACTGTGAGCAGGGTTGCTGTGTGCGTTACAGGTGTCGTGGGTGGGTGACCATGCGTTTGTCTAGTTCCCACCTTCAACCTGCTGTTAACCAACATGGAGAAGTATGGTCAAACAAGCCACAGCACGGGGGAAGACTAATCCAGCAGTGAATTTACAAAGCGCCGTTTCATGCCGCGCTTCTCATCACGTTTAACGGGACATGATCGCTGAGCTTACCCTATTATTCCAGATTATCTGTGGATAAGAGTTTTAGCACAGGGCAGAACATTTCGTGTTCGGCCAGAAATGATTTTGCGACCTGTCGGGAATTTTCACGATGCACACCTAATGACGTTTAATGGACGTGGACGAGGGTTATGGTTTGATGGCGGTGGCCGCCAGGGTCTGGCTCTGCAGTTGATGAATGTGAAGCGATGGTTTGCTGCTGCCGTCGAATTTCCCACGTCGCGGCCTCACTTGCCGACGAAGATGACGGATTACGATGACTGATGACGAGTGTAATGTTCGATTTAAAGCTTTCGTGACTGCAGGGATTCATCTTGGTTCTTTCGGTAAAGTCACGTAGAATGGAAATAATAAAATTTTAAAAATAAAACAATTATATAATGTTAATTTTTATTATTTTATTATTTCCATTCTACGTGACTTTACCGAAAGAACCAAGAAGAGTGTAATGCTTATGATGACGAATGACGCAGTATGCGTCAAATCCGCCAACTCCTCCTGACAAGTACTGCACAACGAGGTGTTGGGAACACTTCCCCCCCCCTCTGCTGCCCGCCACGTAGCCCTGCAGCAGCCGACAGCGTGTTCGGCACCGTGGCCTCCCAAGCCACTGTGCAGGCTCACCCCGCCTGCTGAGCTTGCGGGATCTGATGGGAACAGGTGACCTCCAATTAGAGCAGTGGGGGTGCGAGACGTGGTCGGATTTTGTTGAGAAGCTAAATCGTCGAAAACACAAATTTAGCACGGGAACTGAAGTACAACGACTGGTTTATTTTATGAAACCTCTGTATTAAGAGGCCGTCCATAAATGACGTCACGCACCTACGGGGGGTTCAAACATTTGTGACGATGTGGGACGGGGGGGGTTTGAGAAATGTGACGTCACGTCAAAATGCGCAACTTTAAATAAATATAGACAGCACGTTCTACTTAATTAAATAGACTTTTAATAAATGTTTTCTCCTACATCAGAGTGCAGCGGTACATTAAATACGCACTACAAGGACAATAGTTTAAAGCGATTTTAAGCTTGTTTTATTTTTTTGGGGAAGGCAGAGTTTTGTTACGTCATATTTGAGGGGGGGTCTGACTGTGACGATGGGGGGGGGGGTCAAAAATCGTCCAAAATTGCGTGACGTCATTTATGGACGGTCCCTATTTTTTTTTTTATTACGATTGAAAACCAAAAGGGTGCAAGGTTGCAGTAAAGTTTAAGAAGCTGCATTGGGAGTGTATTAAAAAACTGAATTTTTGTAAGTCCATTATCCGCAAACCTCTGATTTGCACGATTGGAAACGTACGGCGCGAAGGAAGTTCAACAATGCACACGTCAGCATGTTAAAGCCGAGCCTTAAAGCGTGGCAAGCCTTACCAGGGACTTTAGCCCGAGAACATCGTGTGGTGTGTGTGACGAGCGGTGGTGTAGCGGGTAGCGCGCTGCGCTACGAACCCCGGCCACCCGAGTTCGATTCCCGCTCACGGCCAACACCAGTGACGATTATCTGAACTGGTACTGGGCCTCCTCTAACCTCTAGGTCGACTCAGCCTCAAATAAGTACCTGGTGCGGTGTAAACATCGCCACTGGGGAGACAAAGGCGGTCAGGCGTGGTGCTGGCCACCCCACACCCCCCTCCTGTACCATTCCGGTCTTCCTACGTGTTCGCTAACTGCACTTGCCCCTGCAGTCTGTTCAGGCTATACGGGGGATCTTTATTTTGTGCGCATGTGCTCATTTGTTTCGGGAATCTGCATTTCCAGTTGAGAGCGGCGTGGAAATGTTGGCCGTGGGGTTTCAACAAGAGAAGCAGTATAAATGCCATTTATTATCAAATATGTCTATATTGATTTTGTTTTAGTAATGAGGTTTTTTATATATAACCGCATAATCGTACAGTGTTACGCGAACGAAAAAAAAAAACATGACAGCATTCTTTTTAAAACTTTCAATTCCAAAAACCAATAAGGTAACATTGATTTACAAAACAAAATCTAATCGAATATTCGGAAATTATTTTCAACAGTAAAACATTCGTTTGTAATCATTCTCCTTAATGTCTGAAAGTAAATTATTGTTAATGCATTTCCTGCACGACCATATACACGTATCCACCCGCAGAAGAGACAGACGTCAAGTCTTTACAGCTGTTCAACGCGTGCCAGTTTCACTCCCGCAAATAACACGGAAATCAATCAATCTGTGTGTGTATATGTGTGCGCCACAAGCACTGCGCTGAAATAAATACAACAAATTTACAACGACGACCCTGAATAAATATTCGACATTTTGAAATGAGCTGTATAACATTGGGCAGCACGTGACGGTGATGTCGAGTGGGAAACGTGGGCAGCGCCACACGCACTCAATAACCACACCGCCTTGAGACCGTCGTGAACTATGATAATTGGTTCTTTACCCTTCTATCTGGCAACAAAACTGACACCTTTTTGCAAGGAGTCATGTTTGCATAGACCGCAATACCTGCAGTCATAATACAAACAAAAGAACATAACTCTGATAATGTGCACTGTCCTTGAAGTTGATTGGTCCACACCCGAGACAGCTTTCCTTCGAGCCTAGTCTCATATGGGTTGGACCAGATGACGCCAAAAGGCGCACAACTCAAGGACAATGCACCATCAGAGTATGAGAGCTCGGGGCAAGCATCTACACTATGGGGACCTCATTTGCCAGTAAAAATATGATACAAAAAGGTGTCAGTTTTGTTGCCAGATAGAAGGGTAAAGAACCAATTATCATATTTTTACTGGCAAATGAGGTCCCCATAGTGTAGCGTCGTGAACTAGTTTAGGATCTTGGGGTGGAGGAGGGAACAAAAAAACCCATGTTCAAGGGAAAGAAAAGGACAGACAATCGAGTGTGTAAAAACATTAGGATCTGGTATTTAACCTTTACGGTTGGAATGAGAAAACAAAGACCAGGACGAATCTCATTGCACTGGAAATGCAAATCGGCCTCGCGACTCCGTGTCGCGCAGTCAGATAACGACACGTGCCACCACGTCGTTGAAGCTTAACATTGTGAAAGGATACAATAATTAAGAGTGCAATTATTATCTTTCGGATCAGTGGGAATGCTTTAATTATTCATAAAACGATCAACGTAATTAAAACAAAATCTTGTGAGGATAATGTTTTATTGGAATTTGTGTTTTGCTTGGTGGTTGCCGGCGGAACACTGAGCAAGTGGGGGCTGCTCACACCTCTGAGTGTGGATGCCACTGTTCATCTGCCGTTTTCTACAGTCGCTCTCAATCAGAAGTCCCACAACCCTTATCCACCAGAGTCCCTCTGAGTCACCACGTTCAGACTCAACGACTCGTGCCCTTAGCCAGATCCCACACGGTCCCTGGAAGAGTGAAGAAGTCAACGTTCATGCTTAACGCGGGGTGTTTGAAGGAGAGGTGGGCTAATGGTATTTTACAGGTTAGAGATGTGGACTTTTAACGAAACGAATGGAAAATAAGATGCTGGCCTATGAATACAGGTGGATGGTATTAAACGAGGAATATGGTAGGCCAACTGGTGGCTAGCAATAGATAGGTAGCCAGAGTCTTGTCAGCAAAAGAAGTTGACATTGGTGGGACACCTCCACAGGATGAAGCAGGGTAGGTCATTGAGAGGGACATTGGAGTGGCATCCAGATGATGTTGTTGACCAAGGGGGGAAGAGCTGGAGGCAGACGGTGGGAGTCGCTAGGGGAGGGTGAATATTGGGCTTGCAAACTGTGCAGCTGGGGCATTGAGCAAGAGGATGTGACGGAGGGGCCTCGTGGTATCATCTGATTCCACCATGACAACCTCTTGAACTTACGGTAACAATTACGAACATGTTCCATAATTAACAAAAAAAATACATGTACAGCAATGGAAGGCAAATATGAAAGAAAAAAACATAAATCCTCTGTGGACTGAGATAATGGTTTAGCACTGTGCAGTTGTAGAGAAGCCAACGAAGAACATACTCGTGAGCAAGATGATTTGATGTTCGGAATTAGTTTAATTTAAATAATCTCCTGAATCAAGAAAACCTCGCCGAGAATAAATTTTCATTTTGGCCCTACATTTACATTTTTAGCCTCTCCCGATGATAATTGCGCATTCGAGAAAATGTTGAGTTCCCCCAAAACACCTCAAACTCTGTCCAGACAGATCAGAAACATACTTTCTTAACTGCCTTTAATAGCCACCTAATTGCAAGACACACGTCCAGATCATTACATGGCCTAACGCAAACATCTATATGAATTATGATTATTATTTCCAAACATGCTTTCATAAAACTGATTAGTCATATGCCTAAGCAGGCAACTGTGTTCAATGGCATAACCTAAATAGAGGACAGTATTTAGGGCCCAAATAGAGCATTTCTATTTTAATCTATTTCAAAACATCAATTTAATGAGCATAATATGGATCGCAACGTAAGTGTGGTCTCGCACAGCAGTAAGAAATGACATTTTACAGTAATTCTAAATGTCGGAGAACCTTGGTTATGCAATATGACCCATGCGGGATTTTTGTTTAACAAATGTCTACGGGGGATATTCAGTTACATTTCTTGTTTTACTGAATGCATAAACAGAGGCAAAACACCAAAGTACCGTACCACAAACTCACCGCTTCATTGTTCTGCCAGAAGCATTCTGCGATATTCATTCCACAAACCAACGTGCTCCATCATAGAATTGTAATCTCAAAATCAAATCGACTTATCTGCTGGATTCCAGAATAATATTCCAACGTGGCACGAAGTCTCTGCTGTCTGTCTGTACAAGGGATTTGGGACGGACCCACATGGGATAGAATTCGGGAACAAATCATCACGCGTTTAAAATGCATGATCACAGCTTGTGCTACGATTCGTGATATGCACACTATTCAGTATTGTGGCCAACGCATAATGCCGCATCTATTGCAGGTTGACGTCGGTGAAGTGATGGGCTGGGTCTCATTGCCACAGAAGCAATTACTGCTGAAGAGATATTTGACAATGCAAACACAACCGCCACGTGCATAAACAAGCCGATTCATCCGGATTGATCGCGTTTCCACCCGAGTTAACTTACGAACGCTTGATATGGAATAACAAGGTTTGCGAAATTGATATTTTATCAACAGGCAAGTCAAGGTCATTTTTAATTCGATTATCGCGGTGCAGTCAAAGTGGAAGTTGGAACACAGTCGTTGCATTTAACAATCCCAAACTCCTCGCCAAACACAACTTTGTGAAACTAGCCCCGCTTGAATATCTCCAATACGCAGTTGATGAAAAAACAACAACCATAGGCCAATGTCAAACCCAGCACTACAAAGGCAACACAACAACAGCGCTGCGAGACACGTGGCCGTAGTCATGAACGTCACAAAGATTCGGCGACAACCGTTACATTGCACGGACATTCAGACACCCATCTTATCAACGAAGACAGAGGCGGTGTAAGAGACAGGGCTCGGCCAGGAAGGGTGGAAATGAGTTTCCATAAAACAAAAGACAAAACCCAAGTGGAATTTACACAGTAAGGGTAACTTTTATTCTGTACATAATGATATGTAATCTCCCGTTTATGATTTGTCCATTTTGATAATAAGCCGTGTTTTTCTTCTGCTCGATATCCCAGTGCAGCATTGGAATGTAAGAAGTGTTTTAGCCGATTACACCGTTCCACCCTGGGATTGCATTGCAGCCACGAGACCTCACCGCTACATCTACACCCGAGTCTCATCCTCTCTTTGGAATAATTGGTCTGTAATAATTTACAATCTGCCACTCCGTGAACGACAAACGAAGACTCAAACAGAACACGTTTTTTTCCCCCCCAATGACACTGCGCTCCCGTCACGTGGGTGGCGAACCTCCCCAAACAAATTATCCGCGGGGTTTGTAACCCCCCCACCCCCTGTACCCCCACAGCATGGGTCCCCACGTGGCGCGTGAGGCCGCGTTCGCGAAAAAAAATGAAAAAGTCGTCGGGAGATGTCTCGCGAGGCCGACGAGTTAGAACGCTGCGTGGAACCCGAGCAGCCTTCTTCACAAACACCGCGCCGATGGATCTGCAGTCATCGCTCGGATTACTGCACAGCAGACATCGCACGCTTTTGATTCGGGGTGGTTTTCGGAGATTTACTTTAGCCACGTAGGGCATTCGGTCTCTTTGTTGTTGATATTTTTTGACACACAAAGCTGCGCGTGTTGCAACCGCTGCCCCCTCAACCACCCAAGGATCACCTTCGCCTGCCACAATTGCTTCCTCGCATCCAGAATGTGCGTAATCGGCAGTGTTGAGCTCTATCCACTGCTGGACGAAGCCTTTCCTCACACGACCACCCATGTCTTCTTCCAGTGCCATGGGCCCGTGTGCCAAGCTCAGCAAATGCACAGAGCAAACCGTGTTAACATGCGACACTTTTGACAAAAATAAGAACAATGTTTACTCCGGAAAGCCAAAATACGTCTTAAGATTCCAGACTTGGTGATGCTTTAGCGAATTCCTGAAGGCTGCGTGCACGGAAAGAAACCCGACACCATGAAGTGGATGACATTCAGACAAAGATCCCCCGTGTAGCCTTAACAGACTGTTGGGGCAAGTGCTGTTAGCGAGCACCTATGAAGGCTGGAACGGCACACGAGGGGTTGGGTGGCCAGCACCACGCCCGACCGCCTTTGTCTCCCCAGTGGCGATGTTTACACACCGCACCAGGCACTCATTTGAGGCCGAGTCGACCTAGGGGAGGCCCAGGACCGGTTCAGATGATCGTCACCGGTGTTGGCCGTGAGCGGGAATCGAACCCGGGTCACCGGGTCCGTAGCGCTAACCGCTCCACCACCGCTCCCCACGTAACATCGGGCACTGTGCCACCTACTTTGCAGCGAGCCCAAAGCGATGCCTCACCCCTCGGATGGTGGCACACGCGGAATCCGTAGACAAGCGATCCACGACCTCCCGGTTCCTGGATGAACCGGAGCACAGAACCGAGCTCGCGCGCGCGTCACGGCAGGCGAAGGATACAGAACACCCGACGGGCATCGCGTGTTGCGGGCACGCGGTGTTTATTGACTTGGGGGGGCAGCGCTGACCGGAGCCACGGTGACAGCAGCGTGTTGTTATAGCGGTGCCACGGCGTCCAGGGAGCCACAAGCACAACGGCGGAGGGCATTGCATCACTGGGCCACAACGACAACAAACTTGTCACTCGTGTCACTCGTGTCACGCGGCATCGGCGGTGGGTTCACGACCGTGGAGGTCAAGACCCTGACACAGAGCGTGCATTCCTGTTTTTTTCAGGAAATGTTCCTTTTTTGTTGTTGTTGTTGAAGTCTTAACTTTAAAAAGTATCTAATAGGCACAATGTAGCAACGGGTGTTTACATAAAAGAAATGTTCTCGTCGGAAATTCCGCTTGGGTAAATGAATGGGTCTGACGTCTTGATTCCACGCGCGAGGCCTCACACAGCTGGACCAACTCGGCGACCGCATTTCGGGTTCCCGCTCACGGTCAAAATCGGTGACAAATATTTCAAGCAGCCTCGGGGGGGGGGGGGGGGGGGGCCTCCCCCGAGTCGCCTCGGCCTTGACAGGGTACCCGGTGCCGGCGAGTCAAACATCAGCACTGGGGAGACGATGCCGGCCGGGCGTGGTGCTGGCCACTCGCTCGAATTTGTTGTCGTTTTGTCGTCCCCCCCATCGCCACTCACAAGCAGCACCCGCACCAACACGCTGGTGACGGCCATAGCGGAATCCTCTTTGTCTTGCGTGCGAGCGAAGTGCAGTTTGCACGTTTCTCTTTCTCCCCCCCTACCCCCCTGTTCTGCATCGGTTTCCTGCACGCTCACCAATTTCCTCCCGCAGCTAAAAACCCACACACGATGTCACCGGTATTGGCCAAAACATCCCAATGCTGAAATATTACCTGGGGATTATTCAATTGGGATCATGCGCACACGGACGCACGCACACACGCAACATCGACCACCCCTGCTGCGAACACTTGGCAGGACCCTCCTGATAAAGGGTCTTGAGACTCAAAGACCGCGATGGATTCATGGCCACGGGGCACGCGAGACCACAGCCAAAAGTGGGCGACAGGAGGGAATGGGACTGCTCTTGATGCCACAAAGGTGTTGGTCCGGGTACAACCGCCAAATGTATATTTGTAGAAAGAAAAAAAAACCCCTAAGTGTATAAAATTAATAAATCTAAGACAACATGACCGACAAGGTACAGGTGACCCAGTACGCGCGGAAACATCGCTGTGCAGCCACCACCACCGCCACCACCGCCACCGCCACCACCGCCACCACCGCCACCGCTGCAACAGACCAGGAAGCTCTGAGAGCTGCCGCACCTGCAGATAAAAAGAGCCCCGCGGGCTCTGGAAGCGGCGAATACATGGCGTTTGCCCTGCCAGGATTGCCGAGCAAAACCTCTCACAAAAGAGGAAAAAGAATGTAAACTGCATTTAGAAAGAAAAAAAATAAGTTTTCATAAACTAAAACGGCATTCGGGTTCTTACTATTCACTATAACTAACGCACGCACAGCGTTTGCTTTGAACAAACGTTGGGTGAACGGGCGGTCGCCACGTTCGCACGTGGGTTGAGTATCCTCCTGCGGTTGTGTGGCGATGTTTTGTAAGAGGACGCACGCGCGCTCTGCGTGAGAATTCCGAGACGGCAATCTGGAGAGGAGGCCCATCAATGATTCACCGGCACAGCGGCGCGCGTCCTAGAATTACCCACAATCACTAATTTTGTCAATTCCTGAAAGCTTACTGCGGAATCTTAACCCTCGACGACGAGCGGCGACCGCCAGGTACCGATTGCAACGGGGTCAAAGCTTGACGCACGGGCGGAGCCGCGAGACGGGAGACCGTGAGACGCGCGCATAGCAGCCGCGACGCACCTGGGTCGCGATCTGGAGGTGAGAGAGGCAAACGTGTGTCCACATTGCACGCCGATGGCTCCAGGGGTAAAGTACAGACGCCGTTGTGGGTTCACCCCAACACAGCCACGTGGGGGCACTGAACCCCCCCCCCCCCTCGTGGACTCTCTCCTCTGCCGCTCCCACGAATGCTCCACCGGCACAACCTTCCTTCCTTCCTGACGGTTTCCTTCGGTAGGTTTTGTTCTTGGTGGCACCGTGACGACATTGCTTACAACAAAGAAAATACACACAACGGGGAAAACACGCCAGACCCGACGAGAGAGCCGAGAGGTGGCGCGCAACGCTATGGCAATGCAACCGATACAACTGTACAGAGATGTTCTGCGCAAATAATCCAAAACATTGTTTGATATGTTTTTAACATCGCCTATAAACCCCTTGTTAGGCAATTGGTCAGACCCGGATTTTTGTAACTAACCCTTTATTTGTCGTAACTAAGATTAGTAGGAACTAACCCAACTGCGAAACCGTGGTGGAATGTAGTGAATAACGTTAGGAGATGCAGATACCACAGACACGAGCCAATTACGTTTTGCTTTATTTACTGATGGTAGTTAGGCGGGTTGACGATGGTGACTTTGTCAGGGCACAGGAGGGTGGTGGTCCGTGTGGGTGCGCGCGCGAGTCTTTGTACACGTACACACCGGCGCCCTGGTGAGTCCTGGCCAACCTGAGGATACGAGGGCCATCACCACCACCACCGACAACTCGGCCACGGCATCTCACGCGGTTTCTATCTGCAGCGGGCAATGGGTAAGAACCCAGCGGCGTAGCTGCCGAGTGTGCAGGCGGTGAGCGACCGCACCGGGACTCGCGGGCCTAGGGCACCCTGGGGCCTTTGAAGAAGATGGGGGGGGATGGACACACACACCCCCATTTCGTTCCTTGCACCAGGACCCCTGACCTTGCTAACCACGGTACTGACAGCTTGCAAGCACCTCCCTGTGAAGCCCGGAGCGCGCTGAGAATTGGCCCGCGAGCCGCTCGCGTTTCTTGGCAATGTTCATGCTGCCGGGCGATGCTGGCCGCCGTTTAAAACAACAATGACAAGTAAAACGGGAGAGGGGAGATGGTGGCGGCCCTTTGTGGGAGCGAATGAGGAGGCGGCTCTAGACGCGGTTGAGGAAGGCGAGGCTCAGGGTGCCGGGGATCTGGATGGAGTCGAGCCCCAGGGAGGAGGGGTTGAAGGGGAAGGTGACGGGGAACATTCGCTTGGCGTCCATGAGCAGCTGCGTGGAGTTGGGTCGCTCCTTCAGCTGGCCCTGCCGTGCGCGGTGGGGGCGGGGGGGGGGGAAGGGGATGCAGAGTGAGAGGGGGTCCACAGGGCACGGGTGGTGCAGCGGCACACATCGTCGTACTGTGGCCACGTCACTCCCACAGTCCACGCTGCCACGCCTTTTCACCCAACCAGCAGCGGCCAGCCGGGCGAAGTGCAGTCAAATAACCGCCAATAACCCGCAAGGGCACAGGGAACACGTCATCCAGCGGTGGCTTGACGTTTTCACAATGAGGCCGAATGCCGTAGTTGTTGAAATAACGACATCGGCCCCTAATATGTTTGAATATAAATATAATTTTAAGTACTTTGTCAATCCACTGCTCATGGCGTCCACGTAACAGAGGTTGTATGGTCATACTTCACCACACTGGGCAGTGTAGGTTGGTGAAGGTGAAGCCCAGGACAAGAGTCATCGGAAAGTGACGTTAGCTGTGGCCAGGAACCAAACTCAGGTCGCCCGGTTCATAGCGCACTGCGCTAAACCACTGCTCCACCGTGTAATAAGTTAATAGGCCATTATTGATTGACATGGGACGCATGACAGAAGGTTTGCAGTAATGACGCGGATCCATTTATTGATTCTGTACGAAAGGCTGAATAAAATTAAGATAAAAACTAATATTTGCGTCTTGCGATTATTGCCGACTGGCCTGAGACTGGTACCGCGTAAGGTAGCAAAGGCGATAGGAGCACCGATTTGATCTGCATGGCAAATAAGAGAAAATTATTTGATAACCGCAAGCATGTCCAAAGGTTATCATGTCGCATCACCACGACGGCCAAGCCATCTCGGGCGGTGGTACCCACGAGTGAAACGCGTGGTCGGAGCTTACGAACGATTGCGCCCGCCCGCCCGACGTCAGCATTTTCGAGAGAACTACAAAGATCAGAAAGCGACTGCCCCGAAGCTTCCCACAATGATTGCCAGCACCCGCGTCTACCACGTCGTGCCTAAAGCCTGACGATGGAACGATTTAATACGAGCAACGCTTAAAAAAAAGGTTAAGTAGCATAGCGGAGCAATTCGTGCGAGTGTGCGCATTAGAACACGTTACCCCCGTCGCGGTTAATGCGCCCGTGGCACCCGCGTGCACAGCGCAGTGGAATCTCCCGGCATAAACAGAGGCTCTCTTAACGGATCAGCCTGCCCGCTTGTAATGCCTTTGACAGCCTGGGTTTTAATCAAAGGAGCCAGCCGGTGCTCAAAGACCAGGCTGCTCGCTCAGCTGTGCTAATTAGTTTCCCCGATAAGCACGTTACGACGAGCCGCTCGGACGGCAGGGTGACCGCTGTCCAACCGCGCGGCCCACGTGCGAGAGCGCCGTTACGCAATCGTCTCCGCTAAACTCCACGAAGCCGATCTTGGATGCCGATGGCTACAGGTGTCGCCGCCGTACCTGGATGATGCGAATGAACGAGACGGTCACGCGCTCCTCAAACTCGTTCACAGGGGTGTACAGGTTCAGGATCTTCGTAATCTGAACAAGAAAGGCAAGAGACACGATCAATTAATTGGCACGATTTAAAACTCGTTCGCTCGCGATGATGGTTCACCACGGGGCCGGCAAGGTGGGGAGTGGGGAGGGGGAGTAGGTGGGGTGGCGCTAGATTTGGGCCCTGCATCACCAAATGTCCCTTTGGCCCCACCCAGGTCTACTCTGCATAGGGCCTACGGTGACTCAGCCTCGATGAATACCCGATGAAATGCGTACACGTGCGTGCATGTGTACGTACACGTGCGTGCGTGCGTACACGTGCGTACGTGCGTACGTACACGTGCGCTCGTGCGCACGCGCGTACCTGCGCGGGCGAGAGCGCCGTGCAGATGGAGCAGATGGCCTCGGCGTCCTGCTCGGTCTTCTTGTTGACCTGCAACACCTGGGCGGCCTCGATGAGGGGCAGCAGCGTCTCCTTGGCGCCGCTGTCCTGCAGCTTGCGGTCCCGGAGCCACTCCTCCAACTGGCTCACGTTGTACCTGCGGGCGGCGGGGGGACAGCGGGGTCGGCAAGGTCGGCGAGGTCAGCGGGGTCGGCAAGGTTGGCGGGGTCGGCAAGGTCGGCAAGGTCGGCGCGCCAGGCCGCAGTTGCCACGCCGGGGATGGCCTCGACCCGGAAGCGTCCGTGTGGCAGAACGCAAACTTTGCGGAAAGTTTTGTTTTGTTTCCCTCCTCTGCAGAGAGTTTGGGTTTTGTTTCCCCCGACGCGAGTTCTGGCTTGCAGAGGAGGGAGAGACCAAGTCGATTTCTCTGAGAACCGCTTTTTTTGTCCAGTTTGTCGTTTCCCCCCCCTCCCCCGCTGCACCTCCGATTATCACTGTTGGCTACGTACGGTGTGAAAGAAGTTCATCGTACAGCCACTATTTTTTTTATTTTACTCGGTAAGGGCTCTTTTTGAGGAGCGACCTGGCCATCGCGAATGACAGCTCAACGGAGTGGGCGGCCGATCACGTGGAGATGTGTAGCGGCCAAATACTCTGAAACGCGTCACGTCAATTATAAACGGGGAGGGAAAACCCGGAGGAGCACAGATGTGTACGCGCATTACACACGAGTACAAGAGCACTCGGCACTGTTAAGGGAAAGAGGAGTGTCAGATTTACCTAAAAGCAGACGGATTTTTAAAAAATCATACCATCCCTTGTGACTGTTCCTGTTGTTGTTATTATTTGTGTGGCGTTTCGCTGGAAGGCACGGGCAGGCACAGAGACTAAAGCACACACACGATGCCCCGTCATTAAACTTGGCACGGCGCTCAGCTGCGTGACGTCGGGTTCTTGAGCCGAGGCCGAGGCGAGGCTGGGGATTTCCCCCGCGCCGCACAGCGAAGTCGCCGTGGCATCGAGACGGACGAACAGGTCCGACCGCCACCCAACACCACAGTCTAGCGACACTAAAGTTGAATATGACCTCACCCACGCCACCCACCCCAGCGAACCACAACACAGATCATTTACATGACAATCGAGGCTGCAGTTGGTAACTTGGAAATTCCACCGCGCAGTCCCCCAGTCGGATGGAACTGATAAGAGATGACCGCGTAGGAGATTAGGCAGCGCCTTGCGATAAATGCGGGGTGCGGTGTTTAACTTTTGCGGTAATAAACAAACGTGCGTCTGTGTGTACACACAGCACAAGCGTGCGCCTGTGTGTGACACACAGCAGTGCAGGGATAAATGAGAGTCAAATACTTTAAACGCCACACCGAGTGCCTGATTTCCCCAACTGTCCTACACAGTCAGGAATTGACCTCCACGGGGCCCTCTTGTAGGAGGGAGGCTCCTGCCAAGCTTTCGCAGTCGAGGCCGATGCTGCTGCTGCCGCTGCCGCTGATGCCGCGTGTGATATCAGTCGAGTAAACTGAAGGTGATTCTTTTTTTCAGCCTCGTGATTTTTTAGGAGCAAACCAGAGAAAGCGGAGGAAACCCATCGCTGAACAGGTGGGGAAAACGACACACCAACTCAAACATGCAAACTCAACACACACCAACTCAAACATGCAAACTCAACACACACCAACTCAAACATGCAAACTCACACACCAACTCAAACATGCAAACTCAAACATGCCAATAACTCAAACATGCCAATAACTCAAACATGCCAATTCAAACACAAGAAAGGTGCCGAGTCGGGAATCAAATGCAAGGCCTTCTTGCTGTGAGGCACGCAAGTCCACCACTGAGTCCACCACTGAGAAGTCCACCACTGAGAAGTCCACCACTGAGGAGTCCACCACTAAGAAGTCCACCACTGAGAAGTCCACCACTGAGTCCACCACTAAGAAATCCACCACTGAGAAGTCCACCACTGAGGAGTCCACCACTAAGAAGTCCACCACTGAGAAGTCCACCACTGAGAAGTCCACCACTGAGGAGTCCACCACTGAGAAGTCCACCACTGGGAAGTCCACCACTGAGGAGTCCACCACTGAGAAGTCCACCACTGAGGAGTCCACCACTGCGCGACACCGATCCTCGCTGCTACGGCGTTGCTCATTCTCAGTAACCTTGCCCTGCCCCATTCCACACACGCGCCGCCGCCGGCACGCTCCTCCTGCCACTTCCCCTTCACCCTCCTGACACGAATACTTTGCATTTCGACACGATCGTATCAGTCGCGTCAACAAGGAGTCTGTGGCTCACTCCCAACTCGGTTCGATCAAGACGCCCTGAGTAGTTGGCCGCTTTAAATGTCCGCGTGATGATGAGCCACGTTCGCTGGGCTATCATTCGCGAGAGCCAGGTCGCTTCTGGAAAAAAATTCGCTTGATAACGCAGGGGGGGGGGGCCTTACCTGATCAAATAAAAAAAAACAGTTTATAGTTTTACAGTTTAGAAATGGCTTTCTATAGTCCTGGCTCACGCGTGGCAAGAGACTGGGGCCGGTCACGAGTCTGGCGTTGACGTGCGAGCGATCCAAATGGATAACTTCGTCACGCGACGCGACGCCGATGGCGGTGCAACTGGGACCTCAATTTGGGGGGTTCAGATTTGGCCAAAAAAAACGAAAACAAAGGAGCCGACTTGCCGATCGTCTGCCATCGCGTGAGCGTACGCCACGCACTCGCTCGCACACGCACACACTCAAGCAAGCACGCACAAACTCACGCACGCACTCACGCACACAGGCATACACACACTCAAGCACGCACGCAAGCACGCACACACGCACATATGCACACACACACGCACGCACGCACGCACACATGCACGCATGCACGCACACACGCATGCATGCACACACTCACGCACACACGCACGCACGCAAGCACACACTCAAGCACGCACGCACACACGCACTCACGCACACACACACGCACGCACGCAAGCACACACGCACCTGATCTGCATGCCCTTGCTCCACGAGCACATGTCTTTGCGCAGCAGCAGGTTGTTGAGGGTGGTGGAGCCCAGCTGATAGAACACCTGGCGCACCACCTGCTTCACCAGCTCGGGGTCCATGCCGTGGCGGCCCATCGTGTCGTAGATGACGGACAGCTGGCGCAGGATCGACTCGAGGGTGAAGTGGGAGCCCCCGTTGGCGATGCTGGACGAGCGCTTGCGCAAGCCGGTGGCCTTCACGCTCGACACGCTCTGGATGGTCTCGTGCTCCAGCATTCCGGGCACTGGCCAACGGCAAAGGCAAGAGTGCACACTTCAAGAAAAGATACGCATTTGTAAACAATAAAATGATTATCCATCCCAATTGTGCTATCAGTGTCACGCCACGAGACTACCAACAGACTCGGATCTCTTGGCACCTCCGATCGGCACGGTTGGCTACGTGCGGACGCGAAAGAAGGTCAACGTACGTACAGAGAGCGGTGCGACCGTCCTGTGCTCGAGAGAGCGGCTCGCTGAAGCGGGCTTCACAGAGCTACCTCTGAGATCCCTTCAAGTGACCCCACGGGCACAGTAGAAGGCCAACACTCTCCTAACCTGCTCCGCATATGCCAGTGAGGTTCGTCCTACGAAAGTAAAACCGATACTTCATTCTCAGAGGTGGAATTCAGACAAATTACGTGCAGAACCAAATTTTATGCAATGGGGGCTTTTTGTGTGTGAGCTGATACCACTAACTCGCTACACTTGAGAACACGGCTTGGCCACAGTTCGCTGTCGAAACTCAGGATTATAACTCGGGATTCTAACATGAAATTATAACGCGGGATTCGAACGCGGGATTCTAAATCAAGATTCAAACTCAGGATTCTAACTCAGGATTCCTCAGCCAGCGCCAGCTCAGCGCCACGACCTCTATGCCGCACGGCAACCTCAAAAGGCGCGCGTTTTAAAACCGACAATTCTAAAACAAAATGTAAGCCCCGCGCACTAATTGCACTGTAAACTCAAGTGCCCCAGCATTCTGAGATCAATGCAGTTCGTGTGCTGGGTTCGTTTTAAAACAAAACCATTGAGCGGCGTCCACACTAAACATGTTTACGGAGCCATCGCTAAAAAAATAACAAAAACATCTAAAAGGGAACCGATAGCTTTGGGCTATAAATAGAGACGACACACCCGTCACAAATAGCTACTTAGATCAATATCCCCGCTGTTACATTTCACAAGTGTGGGAGTTTAAACACGTGTGGGGGGAAAAAATGTATCGATCAGCGAAGGTGGCGTTATTGCCTACCAACTCTGGCTCATCGTGTCGAACACGGACGCCAAACTGGTACAATAGATTTGTTTAAAGCGCAGACATTGGTGACCTCTACGGCTGTTATCTTTTTTTACATTGTGTCAAATTGAGTGGCCACCGGTGACCCCACGTGACCCCAACAATTTCCCCGCACCTGCGATTGTCACGGTTGGCTACGTACGGCGCAAAAGAAGTTCAACATACAGACACGCATACACATAAACGCACGCGTCACGAGCTCAACAATTGGCATCGGTCAGCGGGTCCGACACGCAGTCGCATCCCGACTGCGGCACGATTACATCCGGTGGCTGCGTCACGAAACTCCAGGACCTTACAAAAGATTCACGGGTTTTATTTTACGGGGTAATGTCGATCGCGCGAATATATTATCCCTCAAGTTTCCAGCTCTGCCGTCTGGCCGCAGCGAAGCAATCCACGCTGTGCGCGTCACCGAGGCTGCGTTTGCACACGGGGGCGGTCACCCCCCACCACTCCGCTACCGGAGCTCTGCCTGACAGCACTTGCCCCAACAGTCTGTTCAGGCTATACGGGGGATCTTTGTCTTTGTGCGTGTGACAAAGTCCCCTTAGTGAGCTCCTCCGGCAGGCAAGGCTGCATTGACTGGGTTATGCTAGCTGCATGCCCAGCCACCACATGGCTAAACAGCTTTTGTTCAGCCGGATCGAGGGGGCTAGACGGGCGCGGCACGGGCTAAGAGATGGAGTGATGTGGTACAGGAGGACGTGGAGCTGAGTGGACTTGCCGATGACTGGTATCAGCTGTGACAAGATCGGCCTCTGTGGAGGAGGCTCGTGAAGGACGCTGCTACTGGGCAGTTGGAGGCAGTCGCCCTCCAGCAACAACGGAGGGCAGATGAGCGATGTTCACAACAACGAGCAGAGTACCGGGTGGCTAAAACACAACGAGTTGGCACAGTAGGGGGCATAGGTGGTGCTTTGGGCAGAAGTCATCTCAGTCAGTCGACCCATGGCACCTGCTGGGTCTGTCCCGTAACCTCGTGCCAGCGTGCGTTTGACACTTCACGTGGCTTTAACGTGCACATAGCCTGGCACAACCGCCGTGGTGACGTCACCGCCACTTAGTGGCGAATGGTGGTTGTGTGTGTGTGCGTGGCAAGGTGTGTGTGTGTGTGGCAAGGCGTATCTGGCAAGGTGTGTGTGTGTGTGGCAAGCTGTGCCTGGCAAGGTGTGTAGCAAGGCGTATCTGGCAAGCGGTAGTCTAGCGGTTAGCGCGCTGCGCTATGAACCTGGCGACCCGGGTTTGATTCCCGCTCACACCAGTGACGATTATTTGAATGAGTCCTGGGCCTCCCCGAGGTCGGCTCAGCCTGAAATGAGTACCTGGTGCGGTGTGTAAACATCGCCACTGGGGAGAAAAAGGCGACCGGGTGTGGTGCTGGCCACCCATCCCCTCGTGTACCGTTCCAGCCTTCATAGGTGCTCGCTAACAGCACTTGCCCCTACAGTCTGTCAAGGTTATACGGGGGATGTTTGTCTTTGTGTGTGACAAGGCAGGCTCGTCGTTACTGGAAGAGCACTCCAGGAAAGGGGCCAGGTTGAGATCCACCGAATCAAGTTGCAATTGGCAGCAGAGCACAAACGGTGAGCCGCGCCTCAATTCAGCGCTTCCTCGTTTTATATTTTACGACAGAAACCCAACGGCACGAATCGACGGACGCATTTCGCAATTTCATAGCAGAGTTACTCTACCAATGCAAACTAATTTAGGCTGCGGCTACGGGGTTTATACGGAGGGAGGGCTGTGCCTTCATTGAAGCCAGTTACATATTATAATGAACCCATTTATCACCGTGTAACAATTTGAAATATGAATTTACTAAATATCCTTGCCTGGAAATCACAGCTACCGTGCGAGTCTTACACACGAGGCCACGCTCACAGTAGCAACGTTCAGTCGTTGAGCGAGACCAACGTGTGGCGTGAATCTGAACTCGGTAAAAAGCCCCCCGGGCACTCACGAAATAAAATAGCAAAAGGAAACCATCTACTCCCCACCAAGCCTGAACTGGAGATCGAATTTTCATCAGCAGACTTCACTGTCCTAAAGTTACATTTTAAATTATACCTGGCCGGGAGGTTGTCTCTTGTTAATGTCAACATCGTGCATTGACGTGTCATTTGAATGTGACCGCGCCCCAAGATGTTGTGCAGCCGCACGTGGGCAGCCAGTGAGTCATTGGCAGCGTAAAACAAAGGCGGTACACAGAGGCTGGAGTTGGACGGGGCCAGGGAGCTGACAGCGCGGACGGCTGGCGGAACGGAGCTCCAGACAGTGCGGGCAGCAACGGAGGATGAGCGACCTTTCAAACCGAACGACGGCACGACCATGTGAGAGCAACTGCAGCGCACGGAGACTCGTGGTCACTCGGAGTACCAATGTGGGCACGTCATGGACTCACGTGGAATGCATTACTCCGAATTGGAATGCCGCAGAGAGAATTGGACCAGACACACGCGTGTGCTTGGTGGACATGTGCGTACAATTAAGTCCGTGTAGGTTTGCCACAATAAACTGGGACGTTCCATGGAAAGAAGAATATCTCTTAATGGGAAGAGGTTAGAATTACTGAACGTGTAAACGCATTGTCCAGAGTGGTCTAGTAGTATTATTATTTTTAATGTTAATACAAAATCCACGACTTTCTAATGTCCCGGGAGGAACTGCACAGTTCCTCGGACAGTCGTGGCAAGCAGAGGACATCCCTGGGAAAGGCAGGACGGGTGGCAACCGTGGTTTTGTGTCATGGAACATACACGCCGGAAGGCGAAGGCCGGCACACGTACCAATCATGGGCTGCAGGACAACCTCGATGATCTTGATCAGCTGCTGGTAGATGTGGATCGCCAGGTCGCTCAGCACCTGCCGGTACTCGGTGAGGTCAAAGTTCTTGAGGCAGTGCTCGTTCTGCTTGGAGGTGTTCTGCTGCGCGTAGCCCTGAGTGCAGAAACGGCGACCCCGTGCGTCACACACGCGACCCCCGCGCGTCACACACATAACGCCCGCGCGTCACTCACGCGACCCCCGCGCGTCACACATGCGTCACACACGCGTCACACACGCGTCACACACGCGTCACACACGCGTCACACACGCGTCACACATGCGTCACACACGCGACCCCCGCGCGTCACACACGCAACCCCCGCGCGTCACTCACGCGACCCCCACGCGTCACACACGCGTCACCGCTCGATTTGACCTCCCGGCAACGGCAGTAGAAACAATGGAGCGAGTTTCTCAAGTTCTCTCCGACCCCTGTCCACAGTGAGTCCATCAGTAGGCTGCACGTGGTGGGGGGTAAAGTGTGGGAACTCCCACGTCTTCTTGGTCACCCAAACAGGCGTGAAAGAGTTCGCCAAAATACCCTCAAGGTCAACGGCCCTGCTCCATAGCTAGGAAGCAGAACCATTGCCTGAAACGTCGCCTATTATATGAAGCACACTGGGGAGTCTCACTCATTTGCCGAGAAACACACTCACCTCCTCCTGAGACACACCAAGACACACCGAGACACACCAAGACACACCGAGACACACCAAGACACACCAAGACACACACTCACCTCCTCCTGAGACACACCGAGACACACACTCACCTCCTCCCCGCTGTACTGCTTGAGGCAGTGAAGCAGGCGGCACGTGTTGGACAGCCAGAAGCAGACGATCTCAAAGTCATCGTTGCGCTTCTGAAATAAACGACAAGACAGCATCAACGTCCGACCCTCGACGAACGCAGCGGCGTGCGAGGGTCTGGGGGACGAGCAACCGGGACGGGACACCCGCGGAGTCTCTTTGTCCACTGGCCAAGGCGGGCACTCGCACAGAGCACCGTGCAGTGTCCGTGCCTCCCTGTATGAGCGGTGACGAGCGGTGATGGGGCCGTTCGATCACGAGTGAGCACGGCTCGTTGCGGTCACAATAACCGAGAAAAGACAACGACTATCGCGTTGGTAATTGCGCGAGACAAGGAAATCATTCCAATTTGGTAGAAACATGCGCATACAGGAATATATAAATTGGTTTGCCTTCTGCTTCGTAATTCAATGGCACACCGACTCGTATGAAACAAAAAGAAACAACGTAAAACGCCACAGAGGCCCTTTGAAGGCCTAGATCCAGGAGAATCTACGACTCTCCAGCTCCAGCCTGACGCCAACTCCAGACTCGCCGCTGGAAACATTGCTAATGCAAGTGCCCTTGAAGCTACAACCCCCCGTTTAAAAAAAAAACGAATCGTTATAGTTCTTTACAATTGCATGTCATATTTCTCAGATCATATTCTGGTGTCGTTTTGCGTCTCATTGTGGACGCTGCCAATACGCTCGTGCGCTGCGCGCACGGTTTTCAGCCACTCAACGATCTCCCCTTGTTAGTCGTTTTACTCCGGTCAAGGCTTCACACCAATGTGCCACGTGTTCGATGTCCTTGCCTTCGGTAGCTGAAGTGGCTACCAAAGAACCGCGTCCGATATCTCGTGCAAGTGACCTCCGATCCCACACTCCAGGAGGGGGGCGACGATGACACTTTCCCGTCGCCCTGTTACAGTTACCCGGCGTGCCCAAGACTCAAAATGTTTGATCGACCCGACTGAAATATGCAAGAGCCGGTGAAGTGGGTGAGGAGCAATGCAGGAATGCTGTAGGAAAGAAAGGTTGTCACGTGGCCCAACACAGCGCGTGTACCTTGAGGACTTTCTTGATGCCGTTGATAGTGGAGGTGAGCAGCGAGCGGACCTTCTGGTCATCGTTGGTGTAGTCGGCGTGGCGCACGCACATGAACAGGATGTACGCGGGCAGCCCCGGAAGGAGCCTCTGGGACAGCTCATTTGGCTTCAAGTCTAGCGTCACACACACAGCAGTTACACACACACAGCAGTTGCACACACACACACAGCAGTTGCACACACACAGCACACACACACACAGCACACACAGCAGTCACACAGCACACACACAGCACACACACACAACACACACACAGCAGCACACACACAACACACACACAGCACACACACACAGCACACACAGCACACACAGCAGTCACACAGCACACACACACACATCACACACACAGCACACACACACACAACACAGCGGCCACACACAACACAGCGGCCAATGCACACAGCCAACGGACAACAACGATTGCGACCTCCGCCTCTTAATTTGACCATTCGGCTTCTACACATTCCATAGCTCCACGCGTGACGCTACTGCACTGGCGAGCAGCAAAGCACAGCTGACGTGCACAGAGCTGTCGTGCTTGTGTCATCAGGTGGCATCAATGTCAACAGCCCACGGCGACCCGAGCATGGATATACGGTAGGGAACGTACGTATGTTGAATCTCTTTCGCACCGACCGTACGTAGCCAACCGTGCTGATCGGAGGTGCAGCGAGTGGAAGATCGTTTACTGTCGTCAAAGGGGCGACGCGACTTGGCCCCCTCTCTACATCCAACGTGGCTTGGCAACGAGCAGCTTAGCGCAGCGACGGGACAGCGCCATGGTGGAGGATCGCCCGAGCCCTCGCCCCCCCCCCCCGTACCCCTCGTGGCTGTGAACACTTCGGTTCTCGACCGTTATCGTGTCCTTTATCTGTCGACGGCGCTGCAACAGACTGACGCGGATAAGCAGGGCGTCGCCAGCGCACGTCGCGGGTTCACACGACCCCCTGCAAACACTGGAGGTGCCACATTCACCAGAGTGAATGTGGCACCTTCAGCAACAACAAAAAACCCACAAGAATCGAACGATGACAATCCACCTCAAGTGGCAGCACTGTCTGCTTTGGCCCGTGGACACTTCGGAGAAACGTGGAGGCCCGATCACAACGCTTCGGTTCCAAAGGTTTGGTTCCTGTCCCTTACATTAATGCGGCCCTGCCCACTTTGGGATCTCAGGGACGTGCGCCAAACGCATTTTGTTGACCCACCCCTTGGTTCCCGGCTGACTTGAGACCAGTTTGGGAACAAGTGGTCGTGGAAACGAGGCGTCGGTTCGAGGCCCAGGGCCTCTTATTCCAAATGGGGGCGCAGATCTCGGCGAGGTTTCGTGAATTTCGCGAGGTAACCTCCTTCCAGAAAGCGGGCACAAATTGAGCAGGCCGAGCGCATGGCGCACCGACAACGAGGTTCCTGATGAGGCGGTTCTCGTCGTCGTTGTGGAACTCCAGCATGCCCTGGAACTCCTTCTCCAGGCGCTGGATCGCCGGGTGACGCGTCGCCATCTCCTCGACCGCCGGCTCCGCGTGGGGCGCCACGCCCGCTGCTCGCCGCGGCACACACACAGGGGGGCAAGCCCACCGGGCGTCAACACGCGGCACACACGCAGGGGGGCAGCCCACCGGGCGTCAACACGCGGCACACACGCGGACACCGTGCCGACGCACGGCATGCGCCAACACACACCAAGCCTACACATGGCACAGCACCATGCTCCAACACGGCACACACACACAACCGACACACGGCACGGCACCAACACACCGAGGCTGTATATATATAAACAATATTATTACATGCTGTAGATGGGCTATCACTGTAAGGCTGTAAATGGGCTAACATTGGTCTTCGTGGAAACAGTGGGGTTTTGGGCAGTTATGTCAAGGATGTTTCCAGGATATAGCTCTCACCCTCCAGGTCTTTGATCTTGCGATCCAGAACCTTCAGCTGCTTCTTGAGCTTGCGGATCGTCTTCTCCTGGTTCTCGTTCTTTTCCCAGAGATCCTGCACATGGCCACGTGGGGGGGGGGGCTGTTAGCGCCGGTGAAGGGACACGCCAGGCCCAGACACCCACGGCTCATCATGGTCGGCTGAGGCGAGGCCGAGTGTAGCCGAAATGTTCTCGTGCAGCCCTCCCTGTCAACCCACTGCTGGATGAAGGCCTCCCCATGCCACGCGCGTCGTGGGGGTTATTTTCTATGCCGGTCAGCACGAGTGAGTCGAGGTGGGGGGAGGGAAAGGTGTAGACATGGGCAGAGGTTCCCTTGCTGCCCTCTGCCATCAGCCCCGCAGGCAAACGGATAAAGGGGCACAACCAACGCGCAGAAATAAGCCTGAGAAATGTAGCACTGCCGTCTAAACCCAGCGATGCGACGCCTGCGGTGGTGGCCGCGGCGAGTGGCGGCGAGTGAGTGGCGGTGGTGGCCGCGGTGAGTGAGTGGCGGTGGTGGCTGCGGTGAGTGGTGGCGAGTGAGTAGCGCCGCCGTGCCAGGTTCTCGTTGGTGAGGCGCGTGATCTCCAGCTGCAGGCTGGGCTCCACGCGCGCGTCCGGGGGCAGCTGCAGCGACTGCGCGAGCCGCCCGTTCTCCTCCCTGAGCAGCGCCGCCTCGCGCCGCGACGACTCCAGCTGCGCCTCGTGGCGGCGCGCCTGGCCCTGCAGCTGGCTCTCCAGCAGCCTGTGCGGCGAGCGGCGGTGGGCGAGCGGGCGGGGGGGGCGGGCGGGAGGGGGGGGATCGGGGGGAGGGGCGTGAGGGGGGGGCGCGGGCAGCGGGGGAGCCGTGGCGCGGTGAGAAAAACGATGAGAAGTGAGATTACGTCGCCGCTCAATCCTCACATCGGTCCACCAACTCGCCCTCCGTCAATCACCGGCCACCGGGCCGAGACCATCAATTCACTCCGCACGAGAACCCCGCCGAAGCAGCGAGGGATGGTGCTCAGATGCCAACTCGTGCTCTTGGTGCTCTCTGAAGCCGGGAGAGAAGCTCTCCTCTCCCCGTCCCCGTCTCTGACCGATTCCACTCTCTGGGCGATCGCTGTCCCCCCCCCCCCCCCGCCCCTCCCCCACCCCGTCTACAACTCTCATTGCTGCTCCTGCCCATCGGCGTTGTCACTTCCGTCGCCCCCAAGCTCGTGACCGACCGTTGATTTTCTCCCCGCCGCTTTAGTCTAGCCATGCCTTGACACTCGGGAGAAGCGATGCTAGACGTGGGGGCTGGGGGATATACAGGGAATCGGGGTGAATTGAAACAGCGATTCCCAACGCCGATGAGCTATACTTGATAGCCACCCGTTACGACGCCGTCACTCTCGTCATGCGAACGTGTTCCCTTGTGCCTTACTCTGAAATTCTCCTTCGGACCCGAATTTACCTCAGAGCCACGGGCGATCAATGAACGCACGAGGCTATGTTCCCGAGTGCCAGGCGCACGAGATGGCGTTATAACGCGCCTAGGCGGAGCGTGGCGGCGCCCACCGTCCGGAGAGGGAGAACGCACGCCTCGCGTTCGTGCTCATGTGGAGCGAGGACGAAACTTCAAAAACAAAAGCCCCGTCAAGATTCCATGGATGTCCACCGCCAAGGTCACGATTGCATTTCGCAACTCCTTTTCGCGATGAATCACAAAAATAACGTTGCCGTCGCTGTGCAATTCTGTTCTCAATTTGGATTTATTTTCCCTTCCTCGCACCCTCGCACCCCCCCCCCCCCCCCAAAAAAAATATAAATGTCATCAGGATCTCAAATGCCGTTATTTGCATGGCAGAGAAAATAAATATCCTGGTCGCGTGCCCGCAGGTCACATTCAGGACAACACACCCAGCATGACGCCAGAGAGCCGAGAGGCTGCCTGGGTGCCTGAAGGGAGCCAACGCTGCGCACAGCGCCATTACTGCGACCCGGGTTCAAGGACCGCTTTACAGCTTAAGATTAGACCCGGTTCTCAAGTCCAGCGATTGTGTACACCCAACCCAGTCACGAGTCAACCTAGCACGACCCACCCCCCGACGTGACTCTAAAACAAAAAGGGCTCACACGGCAGCCCGACGCGGAGGGCTTCGTCATTCGATTTGTAGATGGCCAATTATTTGACGAGCAGATTGCATTAAACGCGCTAATAAAAGGTAGCCGCTTCGGTGAAGTTAATCAAACAGCGGGGAATGCAACCAGTCAGCAGGCGCGTGGATATCTTTCTATGAAAGGGCAACAAGCTATACGGCTGCTGTGCGCGGGACCTTGAAGTTACGCGAGGCAAAGCTGACGATTTCCCTTCTGAGTCATTCTCAACATGGTCAGGGTTCACCTGTGTTTAAATGACTCATCGTCCACTGGTTATCCACTCCTGGATGAAGACTTCCCCAAGGCACTGCTATTACTCTTGGTCCTGCAATGCTCCCCGCCATCTCGCTTCCTGAAACTCATTTCATCGCTCCACCTTCGTGGCGGTAGTCCTCTTACCGGCGTCCGTCATCGTCCCTTCGAGCAACGCGTCCTGTCCCCCAGGCTGCCACCGCCCCCCAGCTCACTTTTCTCCAGTCTCTTTGATGTTTTGTTTAATCCACAATCTGCTGCTCCCCTCTCTTCTTGCCTCTCTCGCTTCGGCCAGATCTCTGCTCCTTTGTTTATTTGTATTCTGTACTTTTTTTGAAAAATCAAATCGTGTTCCTTGTACGCGACTTGACGCGTCGGTAAACGTTTTTTGACAATCTTCAGTTAACAAAAAAAAGGACAAGCACAGACGCACGTGCACACACACGCACACACACACGCACGTGCAAACACACGCACACACACACACACGAACGTGCATATACACGCACACACGCACACACACGCGCATACACGCGCGCATACACACACACGTGCATACACGCGCACGCACACACGCACACGTGCATACACGCGCACACACACGCACACACACGTGCATACACGCGCACACACCCGCACACACACACACACACACACGTGCACACACACACGCACACACACGCGCGCATACACACGCACACGCGGAAACAAAAAACCAACGCAAACGCTGAAGGTACACCGCGCCACCCTCTACACGCGTGCGAGCCGACACAATGAAGTCGCTTTAAACGAAGCGGGCACACATCACGTATTGCGGGCAACGTGTCCAAACTACGGTCGGAAGCGAAACAAGATGGGAAATAAAAACTCTTTGGTTTAACTTGCGAGCCATCCAAATGCAACCACCCGCCATGCTGACAGCAAAGTTTAATAACCTCGTGGTCTTTTTTAACCCCTCATAGGCCAGAACAAAGTCTTCGTCTTCCAGGTCCCGCTCCCGTCTGCCCAGTGACAAGGAGGCACACAACACACAATGACAAACAAAGATATTAAGGAAGTGAAAGCCAAGGGGGGAGAGGGCGGGGGGGGGAGAAAAAGGTAAAGACCATCAAGGAAAAGAAAAAATCACAGATGCAATGAAGTGGCGAATCACATGGCATGCGAGCGTTAACGATCACTTGGCACACACGGTGCACGTACACACGCGAGATATATTGGAGCGTGGGGTGCACAGTGGAAAGAAAATCGAAATGTAAATGTTTTATTTTTATTGGAAATAGTTGCCAATTCATTGTGGACCGTAAAAATCTGCACGTCACCGTGAACTTGAACATCGAATTTTGCAATAAAAAATAAATCAGCGACGTGCTTTATATTCACAATGTTAGCTCTTGGCATGTCACCTCGAGGTAACGGATCTTTGAGGGTACTGGCAGCAAAAAAATAACAGCATCTGTCCTATTTTACAAAATCATCACAAGAAAAATACTGACCTTGGAAAACCTGTTGATGAAAAAACTCAATCGTACTTTGTTTTCACAATGTTATTACTGTGTGCGTAATACACGTGTGTGGTATATATTAACGATTATATATCCATTGTTAATAGGTTAATAGCATTAGGTGCTTGATTGGCGGGCACATAAAAGCAAGCTGCGTCTGCGGAGCACGTGAACTAGGCAGGTTAGGGGTTAAGTATTTTGGAGAACGGCGGTCGGTTGCAAAAAATATCTCAAGCGACATTTTCCCCTGAGCTCCAATTTAAATCAGTGTCAATCGTTGGGAGATTTTCACTTAAGATGCTTTACGCAACTGCCCCCGCAGGCCCCATGTTAATAAGCAAAGCGTTAGGAAGCGGGGGAAGGGTGACGATTAGCGGGTGGGGGGGGGTGCGGAGGGACGACACGAGCCTCACGACGACAGCGCGAGAAAACCAGCAACTCCCACCACCAGGGCGGCTTCTCGCCATTTGCATTATCCCACGAGCGACCTCGCTCTCGCCTCGGACTACTCTCGCCTCGGACACGTACGCTTCGGAAACTGTGGACAAGTTTCTAAGAATCCACCACCTCCGTCCGCCCAGCCGGCAGCGTGAACGAGACTCGGCACGACGCCGCGATGTGCCGAGATCCCCGCCGATCGCCGCCGTGGATCCCACCCCCCGTGCTCCCAGCTGTCCGAGCCAACTGACCGATGCGCTACGGGCAGCGGTGGCCAAATGGCGTCTCCCGAGCCGCGTGCGGCTCTTCAATCCACCACACGTGCGGGTTCTACCGGAGGGGCGCGACGTAGAACGTGCTATCGCAGCCGCAAAGAATGATGAACTGTGCCGAAAATTGTCAAAAATATATATGTTCACACACAAATCTGGCTGTCGCCTGATGAAGCTAGTTGTAATTACTGGCGAAACGTCGTACTCAGATTGTAAATGTTGTGGCTTGGCTCTCCAACACACCGGTTAGTGCTGTACTAGTGACGAACTGGCACGTTCTGTGAACGTGACAAACCTGACTAATTGGCTGTGTCAGGTGGTGGCAGGTTTAACGAAAAATAAAAACCTGTATTATGGATATATAAACACTTATACATAGATACACTTGGCTCTTTGCAGAAGTCACGGGTACTTTTGTGGCTCTTGGTCTGTCACGGGTTGGCCGCCCCTTGCCCGACAGCTCGTTGAAGCACTGCCGTGCCCCAGTGCTTTGAAGGCAGCATTGGGGCCTTGCAATGGGTATCACCGTGCGTGTGTGTGTGACCAGCAGACGGCAACACGGTAATAAACACGCATCCGTCGCGAGTTATCCGAACGCGCGCTCTAGCTCTGACCGTCTCTGCTCAACCCTGGTTCTGCAGCCACACATAAGCCTTCATATATTTGCCTGCCTAGATGACTACAACACGAGCATTAAACTCTAGAACACACTCACAGTTTGTGAGGAGTATACCGCATTACATCCGCCCACAATGTATATACACTACCCATAAAACAATCGAACATTTAAAAACATCAACTGTTACCATTCATTGCTAAAAGTGTCACGTTCAAAAACTATGGACAGCCTACGAGTTTGTTGTCCTGCATATGTGACGGCACAGGTAACCGTGGTGACCACAAGGTGCAGCCCTGCAATTGATTCCTCACGCCACTGCTGGTGGGAGGTCCTCCGCTCGAGGGAGCCCAAGACAGCCTCTCTGCAGGAAGCTTGGCCTGCTCGGCAACGCTGGCAAGACGTCTCGCAAGACGTGGGGGTACCCCCACACTTTACCCCACCATACGCGACCTGCCAATCAACTAAGCCTCATTCTCGCATGCACGCCACCATCATTCCCCTCGGGGGGCCGCCCTGCTGAGGAGGTCGCGTCGTCACGGTTCCCGTCGTCATGGCTCCCGTCGTCACGGTTCCCATCGTCATGGCTCCCGTCGTCGCGACCGTGGCGCTGAAGGAGCCGGCAAGACGCTCGCGAGGGAAGTGAATTCCGCTCGCGGAGCACACACCCCATAGACGCCCTTCTAGGCCGCAGCCTGAACGCCGCCAAATACTAACAAACTTCAACTTCATCAGCCGTTATCTATCCACCCCTCGATAACATAGCGCCAAAGTGAAGAGCATCTTAGGGCCGTGATTCCGATAAGTGCAGAAAGTACGCGTGGCCAGCAAAGCCAGCGGTACTGAAAACCTGACTTGAGGGTTGGTATTTCGGTTATGCACAGATGGTGGTGAAGAAAAACAGCCATTCCAACTTTTTTCCCTTGCTTTCTTTGCAAGAAACTGTTGGAAAGTTTATATTCGGCCAACACCGTGAATCAGGCTGCCCCGTGTTGATACGTGGCTGTGTTCATCGTTTTAATGCCACGAGGCGAAATTTTATAGCCGCTCTCGTGATACCGTGCTCAAAAATTAGGAAAGGAAGCCTACAGCCAAATAAGCATGAAGTTTGACAAACTTGTTACAAATAGACTATCTGTGTAAAACCACTGTCACAAGGCAGAGCTGTAAGCAAGAACCAATGAAGGCTGGCACAGCTAACATGGAAATAGCATTGAGCCTATCTTTTCCTATCCCCCCCCTGTACTCATTTTTATCCACCACACCAGGCGCGATATTCAAAGCAAAGTCAGGCCAGGAAAGGCGCTGCTGTGGCTAGATGTTAACTACCTCGCCTGGTTTACAGGAGGTCGTGGGTTCGACCCCGACCCTGACGCCTGCTTTATATTTGTAATTTGAATGTCTCTCTCCGTGATTGCAAGTGGCTTTTTTTCTCCGAGTCCTCCAGGATTTGGCTGCTATAAATATCCACGTGAATAGCCCCTTCGTTGAGCTGTCATTTGCGACAGTCAGGTCGCTTCTGAGAAAATAAAGCTGCAGTAAATAGCTCAGTGGGCCTTATCTGGTAACGTAAACATTTGTTTAGTTCGATACATTCAAAACCGTCACACGCATCGTTCAATGCCAGGGAGAAAGGGGCATGCACGCGCAAGCGTAGGCATGCACGCGCAAGCGTGGGTATGCACGCGGCGTGCCGCGAAGCCGCCCGCGGGAGCGGCAGGCACCCTAGACAGATGAGCACGGGCAGAAGCATTCCGGCACGAGCGTCACTCACGTGAGACTCGCGCGTTGTCACCTTCCCCGCCGACCCGCGACCTAACTCGGGGGCTCACAGCGCGTGCCCGGCGATGGAGCCATGTGATGCAATGCTCAGGCTCACGCCCGACATTCATGGCTTCATTCGGATGTGGTTTCTTAAGGCGTGAGCGATGCACAGCATCTGCGCTTGCGGCAAGAGGCACACACTGCAGCCGCACGCCGCGTGTTTCTGGTGACGGTGCCGCACATCTTGGCAACCTGGCGGATTCTTAGTTGTTGTTTCAATCAACTTCTCGTTTCAAATCCAGGCGTCGCGGTCACGTAACCGCATCTTCTACTTTCACCGAACAGGCCGATTAAAACTCAGCGAGCGTCGCCGCTCAAATTGTAATCGAGCGTTCTCGACGCCAGCGAGGCTGCTCTCCGCTTGGGTGCGAGGCGCTCGTCGGGCGCGTGGCCGCCGTCGTTTCGGCGTCTCACCGCCCCGCGGCGGTCCGACGCGTTACCGTTCGCGCCACGGGACGGGGCGAGTCGGCGGCAATCGCCGCGTGACGTCGGGTAGGGCCGTCACGTGGAACGCCGCGCACGCGCAAGCACGCAGCACGTACCTGTTGGCCTCGCGCACGCCCATGTACGCCCTCTTCACCTCCTCCTCGTCGTCCAACTTCTCCAGGTCCTGGGCAAAGCGCGCCGCTGCCTCGGACATGGATCCCTGCGCGAGGCCCGGCGCGAAACAGCACGGTTAGGCAAGATTCGCCCGTGCCGCTCCACGCGACTCAACATGCTCCCCCCAACACAGCGACTACCCCCCCGCTCCTTCCCTAGGCGACGCTAGAAGCATAGGGATCGATAAAACATAAACAAATGCAACAGAAACTAAGCTTAGTTTACTGTAAGGCTGAGGATGATGTAAGAAACCAAATTGTCACCGTTAACCCCACGACTGTTTCCCTTATGTAATTCCACCTACATTGTTCCTAATTATGGTTTCGGTGAGCGAAGTCAGCGACCTTCTACTGGGTTAGCCCCATCACGCGGGCGAGCTTCGGTTAACCCCCACAGCGAGCCGGGCCTGAGAACGGACCGTCCGTCACGTCTCGGCTCCCGTTCACAATCTCATGGGAATTTCTCCTGAAACCCAGACGAGCACAGAACCCACTTGGCACGTACGCACACATGTATGTTGAACTTCTTTCGCGCCGTACGTAGCCGACTAATCGTCGGGGTCCTGGAAGCGGTACGAAACAATTCAGCAACAACCCTCAGACCCCCCTGGCGGGGTTGGGGTAAAACGAGCGTCACCACCGCCGTGCCACCATTCCTCGCTCGCTCGCTCACCTTCTGCCGCTCGCCGCCCAGGATCTGCGACTTGAGGTGCAGCACCTCCTCGCGTCGCACCTCGAGCTCCTCCAGCGCGGCGTTGAGGTGTCCCAGCACGTGGTCGTACGGCGTGCAGCCGGCCGCCCGGCCGGGCCCCGTGGCCCGCTCGTCGTCCCGCAGCGAGTGCCGCAGCTCGTCCAGCTCCGACTTGAGCCGCCGGTTCTCCGCTTCCAGCTCGCTCCGCTGCCGCGGCGGGAGAGGGCACGCGCACGTTGTATTCGCGAGGCCCGGAACAAGGTCTTCCCTGGCTCCTCAGCTAGGAGCGCTAGAGTCCGTTCTCCTATAACGCTGCGTGTTGTTTTCACGACGCGAATTGGGATATAACGCGATGAATGTGCTGGGGAACGCATTTTTGTAAAACGCGGATGAGAATTGGATATCAGGCGATCGGGCGAACGTAACTACGTCGCGTCCAGTAGGAACAAGCGGTCGTACGGTTGCCTCGGCAAAGCATCGCACGAGGCGTTGGGATACTGCTGGATGCTGCTGGATGCTGCCCCACGCGCCTCAAGTCTTTGTTCGGCCTGCGCTACGCATCTCGCGTGTCATCGGGGACTCTGCTTTACCCCCTAATTTGTATATTATTTATTCCAACGCAATTTTTCCATAACACGGTGTTCTTCAGGAGCACAACTATCACCGCGTTATAGAAGAACACACGGGACCTCCACTGGTGCATTCGAGCTGAGCCAGCGCCGGGGCCTTCACGGCGCCAGTGGCCTTCCGCTGCCTATAGCCGCGTCCAAACCGTGATACGCTGGTATCACGAGACACCTGAATTTAGCTTGGGGCCGAGCAGGGCCAGGGAGCAGGGCCAGTGGCGTGTCCGTTGCGTGCGACACAGAGTCGCCGCGTCATTTACATGAGTACCGACTCATTCATTGTAAGTGATGGGAGGCACAGTTTCACGAATCTGATGTCGCAGTGGAAAAACAACCTGTTGCCTCCTGACCTGAGCCAGGTTGTCTCGGCAGGGCTCCATGTAAAAAGAGCTCTACGTGGCCCATGGTAGAATAACATGTGCATATGCATCCACTGCTGGATGAGGGTCTCCCGCGTGGGTCATGGGGGTTATTTTGACCATTCTATCGAGGCTGGTCATTGTGGGTTCGTGAAGGTCGCTAGAAGGTCGGTAGAGTACAACAATGCATTTTGCTGCACAGTCCACAACAGCTGATTATGCACAGTGATCACCCATCCAAGACCTATCCAGGCTGAACCCTTCTTAGCCTCCGAGTTCTGTATGCATGTTGAACTTCTTTCACACCGTACGTAGGCCAAGATTGGGCGTGTTCAGAGTGATTTGGCCACGGCCTATCAGTTAACAAATGACTCCCATTCTACAAAAGGCAACGATTAACCCCGGTGCCGACTAAAGTGGTGATGACAATCTCTTGACCTTGCCTGGCGTGTTTCTTTCAACGTACCGCCGCAATCACGCTGCAGCGACGTCACATCTTTTACACCCCCCTCTGTTACCGAGCCCAAGGTCGAAGGCTCATACCTTGAGGTCGTCGTACTCAATCTCCTCGTCCGTGCGGGGGTCGGCCGCCCCCTTGGCTGCTGGGAGGGCCTGGTCGGACACCGAGTCGCCGTCGATGCCCTGGAAGCCGACAAACCCGCCGCCGCTGCCGCTTAGCACGCTCACTCCCACAGCCACGCGCGCACACACACTGCAGCCAATCGGTCTCTCCGTGGGTTTACAGTCACGAAAGACCACACGGCATATCAAGGTGCATTCAGAGAAAGCACTCGCACAGGGGTCGGCAACCAAAGTAACAGGAAGAGCCCTTTTTTCCAAAAATTTGGTGTTAAAAAAAAACTCCATATGTAAAGAGCCCCAATTGCGTGTGGTGAATGGCGAGACTGGTGGTCCTCCTTAATAAACGACGTCACGAAGCAGCAGCCCTGCACTAGCACGAAGAAGGGCGAGAAGAGGAGACGGTGGAGGGAAGTCGGAGAGAAGGAAGAAGAGATGGAGAGACAGGCAGAGAGAGTGCGCGGTGACACGGACCAACGGTAGCTCGTCCGCCGCCCGTTGCAGAATGGTCCACAGTTCGAACGCAGCGGCCGCCCCGATTAATACCGCGGTCCGCATCGACAGCAACGATGCTACCCGTCATACGCGTGACAGTGGACGTTAAAGAACCCGCGTCACACGATTCACAAGAGAAGGCCATTGTGTGCCGGCGTCGCGGTCCAGATTTGAACAATAATTCGCAAGTCACTCCGTAGCATCGACACAGCAATCATCGCAGGACCGTGCTGAAAAAGAGCAATCACACAGTGAGGCTTTTGTGGGCTAAACAGGCGGAATAATTAGAATGTGAATGATACAAATAATGAAGACAAAGAGAGGTGGAGAGAAAGGAGGAGAGATGGGAGAGCACCTTGCCCTCGTGTCTGTCAAGGCGCTCCTGCATCCACCGCTTCTCCTGCTCCAACTCCCGCACGCGCTTCTGCAGCTTCAGGAAAATGGTGAAGTCCATTGCGGCCTTGACGGTGTCCACCTCCTGGCACGGTGGCGGCATCGATCCCTCAACATCATCATCATCATCGCAATCACCACCATCACTCGTACCACCACCACCACCATGTTCATAACCACCACAATCACCAACACCACATTATGCCAACCACCACCATCATGATCACCGCCATCACCATAATCATTAACCATGACTAATAATGACTACCACCACCCTGACCACCATCACCATCAAGATGGCTAACCACAATGGGATCCCCCGCAATCATTGTGAATAAGAGGCAATTCACCCCCATTGCTGCCAGCAAAGGTTGATGCAGCAGTAGCAGCAGGGGCAGCAGCAGCATCACCAGCAGTAACAACAGCAGGGGTGGCAGCAGCAGCAGGGGCAGCAGCAGCAGGGGCAGTAGTAGAAGCCACAGGGGCAGCAGCAACAGCCAGGGCAGCAGCAACAACAAGGGCAGCAGCAACAACAAGGGCAGCAGTGGCAGCAGCGGGGGCAGCAGGAGCAGCGCTAATTTCAAAATGTCACAAGAGGCTTCCAGCAGCAGCAGCAGCAGCGCGTCTGACACCCACACGCGCCCCTTGGTTTTCATCGCCTCCATTAGCACCGGCACACAGCGTAATAGTAGTAGCAGTCGCACACTGAGCCCGGTATTATCTAAATTAGGCATTTCCAAAGTGCAAGCCATGACTTTTCAAATCGTTAGTAATGATCCCCAAAGGTGGTTATTGTGTGTGAACGGGCCCAAATGTCACAGATACAAATAAATACCCTCAACTGGGAATTAGCTAACATTACCAATTATGCTAATACGCCAATTATACGAATACACCTGTTACATCTCCTACTCAGGACGGATAACGAATCCCAAACGAGTTTCACGTGGTTAAATGGACGACATTTAAATTAAATATAATCGCTAGAGGAAAGCGGTGGTCTCAAATCTCCACAACACGCATTCACGCAGGGCGAGCCTTGCACGGGGAAGCAATTCTTGAGAATGGAGAATGACGAAGCGGGAGAGAAGAATGTGAACGGCTCGAGCGTTGGGGAACATCGTCACAGCAAACAGGGGCAGTGGGGGAAACGGGGCCAAGGAAAGTCCCGAGTCACCGGCGCTGGGACCGGCGCGACGGAGTGGTGTGGGGAGGGGGGGGGGGTGTGGGGCCGGGCCTCGGCACGAGTGGTGGCGTCGGTGTGGGTGCCGAGAGAGAGACGCTCGCATGCCAACCGAGCCGAGCGCCGCACGGCAACGAGACACGAGACAACTCGGCGCTCGCTCGCGTACGGACGAGACGCGGACGAGCCAGGGTGCCGCTGCATTCAATGCTCGAGGGGCAGCCCCCGTTGCGCACTCCGCTGCTGGATGGGTGCGAACGTAGCGGGCCACGGATATGGAGGCAAGCCGTACCTCCAGGTGGCGGGTCAAGTCCGTGGTGTCGACGTCGGACGTCATGATGGAGTTGTAGGCCGACTCCGACTCGTTGCTGCTCTGCGTGGAGCCGGTCCGCCTGTGGCCCGGCTTCGCGGTTGCCTGCGGCGAGAAGAAGCGGAACGCGCGCGGTCGGCGGGGCAGTCGGCATCGCCCACTCGGGCATCTGTCCTGAGCAGGCGGGCGGCACGCGGCTTCGCTTCGTGCGGCCCGTGGGCACGCGAGGCCGCTTCGGAACGGCCCTGCGAACGATGTTTTTCCATTACGACAGCGCCGAGTGCTGTTGGCGAGCTCCTACGATGCCCAGGACGGCACACGAGAGGGCGGCGTGGCTAGCACCGCTCCTTTGTCTCCCCAGGGCTGATTATATACAATGCACCGAATACACAATTAGGGCTGACGTCGACCTAGGCGTGGACCAAGATGGTTTAGATATTATTTGTCACTGATTGTTGGCTGTGGCTGGGAATCGAACTGGGTCTGAGCTCAGAGGGCAACCGTTCCACCCCCACGCACAGCAACAGCCGCCAATCGCCACTGAGTGACGGTGATGTGTACCAGTCTGGGTGCACGTTGAGGTTAAGTGAAGTGTCAGTGGCTTACCGACAGGAGGTCATGAGACAGACCCAGGTGCGAAGTCCAGGTGCAAACAAAGACAAAGATCCCCCGTACAGCCGCTAACAGGCTGTTGGGGGGGCAAGTGCTGTTAGCAAGCACCTACAAGGCCAGAACAGGACACGAGGAGGTGGGTGGCCAGCACCACGCCCAACCACCTTTGTCTCCCCAGTGGCGATGCTTACCCACCGCACCAGCTACTCAATTGAAGCCGAGTCCACCCAGGGAGGACCAGGAGCAGTTCAGATAAATAATTAATCGTCACTATGCGTCGGTGGTTTTGAGCGGGAATCTAACTCGAGTCGTGGGGCTCGTAGCGCAGCACGTTAACCGCCGCGCCACCGCTCCCACGTGCACACACAGACACACGCGCATACCTACAGGCACGCACGAATGCGTGCATGCGTGGGGGAATGTAACTGGGCACCTTGAGCATCTCGGTCTCTTCGCGCAGGTTCTCGTGCCGCAGCTCGAGGCGCGAGAACTCCTTGACGAGCGACTGGTAGCGCGAGCGCTCCTCGTCCAGGTCCGCCTGCAGCTGCCGCGTCTCGTCCGCCAGGCGCGCATTCAGCTCATCTGCCACGGCACGGGGGGGGGGGGGGGGGGACGCGTGACTGTCGATTCTCAACGTGGAGGGAAAAAGCGGAGGACCCAGGGAAAAATCCACGCGACCGCGGAGAGAACAAACACGCAAATTCCAAATATACAGGCGTCAGGGTCGGGATCGAATCCACGACCTCCTGTGTGTCGGGCGAGGTCGTTAACATGTCATCAACGTGGGGCGCCGTGCTGCTCGCTTAGCTCAGCACTGCCTCGATAGAGAAGGAAGCTTCGATGTAAATCTTTCGTGACTGCAGGGATTCATCTTCTTGGTTCTTTCGGTAAAGTCACGTAGAATGGAAATAATAAAATAATAAAAATAAAACATAATAAAATAATTCTCACGACGTTTCGGCCACAACGCAAGCAGCCGTCCTCAGATGTCCTCAGGTATTCTTCACCTGAGGACGGCTGCTTGCGTTGTGGCCGAAATTATTTTATTATGTTTTATTTTTATTATTTTATTATTTCCATTCTACGTGACTTTACCGAAAGAACCAAGAAGAGAGAAGGAAGCCTGATGAGAATTTAATGAAACACAAATTTACGTGGTGATTTTTTATATTAGCATAAGCACATGTACCTATTAGTAGCTAATCAGTAGCAGGCAAACCCTTTGAATGCAATTTTTATTATTATTCTTTGTTCGATTTGGCTTGGGTAGGTCACAGTGCCCAGTACTCAAAGCCATCGATGATTAACATCGTCTCATTGTTTCATTCATTTGGGAGCACCGCATCAACAAGTTTCTAAAGGGGCAGAGACTCGCACGGGGGTTCCACGCCAGTCGCGCGCGGCTCAGCAGAGTCGAGAACGCACGTCAGCACAGCGAGCGCGCCATCAACACGCAGAGAGAGACGGACAAAACCAGCCGCGGCAAGAGACTCGCGGCACGGGCACAGCTGGGCGCATGCAACAGGAAGCGCAGCGTACACAAGGGTGACGGTCACGCGAGCAAGGGCAGCAAGGGCAGCAAGGGCAGCTGGATTGCCCTTTTGTCAACGCGCTTCTGGACGAGGGCCTCCCCGCGCCGTTTGGCCAATGGGAGAGCGGCACGGACGGGGTGGGGGAGGGGGTGGTGGGGGGTCGGCGCACCGTGCATCTCCTTGTCCTTGGCCTGGATGCGCAGGTTCAGCTCCTCCTTCTCGCTCTTGAGCAGCGCCGTCTGCTCCATGAGCTCAGCCACCACCTGCGAGGCCGGGGACAGCGGCACCGACGACCCGAGGTCAACTCGAGGTCAACTCGAGGTCAACTCGAGGTCAACTCGAGATCAACCACTCGACGGATCCGCCGCACGGTCGTCGCGCGCGGGGTGAACGGACGAGCGGCGATCAAAACTCACGTGACACGAATTGCTCTCGACTCGCGTCTCCCCATCATCCCTCTTGATTCATCCCTCCCCAGGTTAAGGCTTCAAAATCTCCAGAGCCTACAGACTGCACCCCCCGCCCCCCCACCACCCGCACTCCCGGCCCCCCCACCACTCGCCCCCCCCCCATTAGCTTATACACTCCTCTCTCATCAATGTTGCAAACCCCACTGTGAGCTCTAATTAGGGCTGCGACAGAGAGTCCGTTTAATTAACATTCGAACTTTGTGGTCGTCGATTACTCGGGCCCTGTAAGCGCGCTGGCTGCCCAAACATTGTGGCTCCCGGAAGCGGGGATCCCCCCCCCCCCCCCTTCCCCCCGGGTCCCCCCGGCGTGACGCGGCGGGGCGTTGACGTCACGGAGCGCCTGCGCATCACCTCCCGTCCAGCGGCACGGCGAGCGCTAAAGCAAGACTTTTCTTTTTCAAACTATCTTCACGTTGTCTGACAACAACGACGGCGACAATAAAACAAACAACAACGACGGCGACAATAAAACAAACAACAACGACAACAACGACGGCAACGACGACGGCGAGTCACCTTCTGGGTCTCCTGCTGGTACTTGCTCGCGTTCTCTTGCAGCGCGCTCTTCTCGGCGAGCGCTCGCTCCAGCTGCTCGCGCAGCTGCTGCACCTCGTCGGCGAGCCCGGCGAGCCGCGTGCCCGAGCTACGAGCCTCGTCGGCGCCGGCGCGCAGCCGCTCCAGCTCGGAGCGCAGCCGCTCCGCCTCCTGCGCGTGCGCGTGCTCCGTGGCCGCCAGGCGCTCCTGCATCGCCTTGCTGTCCCGCGTCTGTCGTCGGGGACGGGGAGGGAACCAACCGGGGTGGTGGACATGTTAACCACCTCCCCTGGTATGCAGGACGTCGTGGGTTTGATCCCGATCCCGATCCCGACGCCTGTATACTTGAAGTTCGCGTCTCTTTCTCTCTCCCCACGGTCGCGTGGATTTATCTGCGGGTCCTCAGTTTTTTCCACCCACATTTAGAAACGACGTCGCGCATCTCGAGTATTTGGCTGCAATAAATTGTCCGCGTGATGAAAAGCTGCTCCGATGAGCTTTCATTTGTGGCCAGGTCGCTTCTGATAAAAGAGCTACATAGCTCAGTGGGCCTTACCTGGTAATAAATTTTTTTAAAATAGTTTTTTAGTTTAGGGCTCGGTTCCAACGCGGCTTCTGGACAAACACAAAACGCGACGGACGTTAAACGCGGGGGAGTTGCAGGTCTCGCTCGCTCGCCCCACACACACGAGCAGGCCGGCCAGCCATGGGTGTGTGCGCGTGTGTGTGCGTGTGCGTGCCCTCTCACCCACCTGCTCGTTGACCTTCATCTGCAGCTGCACGACCTTGTTCTCCATGCCCTTGTGCAGCGTCTTGAAGTGCTCCACCGAGCGCGCCTCGATGCGCAGCTGCTTGAGCTCGCGGCGCGCTCGCATGCGGCGCACGCAGCACTGCAGGTGCACGACGGCGCGCAGCTCGCGCTGCACCAGCCGCCGCGCCAGCCAGCCCCGCACGTGCTTCTGCAGCACCACCGCTTTGTGCCGGTACAGCATCTGGGCAGCACGAGCGGGGGGAAGGGGGGGGGGGGGCGCGGGCGCAGACGGACGTCGCTCGCGAAACGTGCCGTTTGTGTTTTTGTGTTTTGCGATTAAACGCAGTCGACAAGGTCGAGGGTTTCCCAGAGGTGGCACGGCCCCCCGCACATTCTGCTCCACCACCCCCCCCAACACCCTCATTGTTGGGCGATAGATAAACTTAAAAGTTTGTTTATGAAACACAAGATACATTTCTTTATCCTTTTCGATAATATTGCAAGTGCGGGATGTCCTGGAACAAAAACTCCCACGAAAATCTTCGCGCGCACAAAGTAGGCTTTTGTTGAGAGCAGGGAAAAAATAAAAGGAGCGGATTATTAAGTTCATTGTGTGACCGCCCATTGTACCTCCCTAGTTTCAGATGATAGAGCCAAAGCTTACCGCTGCCCATTCTCTTCCCCTCCCCTCGCCCCTGCACTCCATCCCGTCCTTCCCCTGTAGCCCTTTCGTGACCCCCACGTGCCCTCTGTCACGGTCACTCATTCCTCGGCCCTTGCCACCTAAATCTCTCGATTTGTGTCACCGCTTTTTAAACGACCGAAAGCGCCTTGGGCCAAGGCGCTCTATAAAATATGAAATAAGACGAGATAAATGTCACCGCGTCTCTTAAAATTCATCTCGCGCCGTCTCCTCACCTGCTGGTATCGCTGCCGAGCGAATATCCCTCGCGCCCGGGCCTGCATGCGGATGGCGGTGCGGCGTATCTTGGCGTAGGCGCGGCGCACGCGGTACATGCGGTACGCCGTCTGGATGATGACAGCCGCCCGCGTTCTCCGCATGAACTGGGCCAGCCTAGGGAGGGGGGGGCACAGAGCAGGTGCAGGTGACCCGGCCCGGCACACGGCACCACACGGCACACAGCGGGGACACGACGCAACACGCGACAGGTGAACGAGACTGTAAAGCCCATTTCTTTGGGAGCGCTCTTTGTGTGTTGGTTTGTTGCACTTCCCCCGCACCTCCGATTCGCCACGGCCAGCCACGTACGGCGCGAAAGAAGTTCAACATACGTGCGTGCGTAAACGCGAGCGCATTTCGAGACGCTGTGTGGAAACATCGAGTCAATCACGGGCAGAGGAAAGTTTGGCGCTCTTGAGGCTGGAATTGTATTAGGGGCAGGGCGTGGACAGGAATGATTGCTGGGGACAGCATAGGAGAAAGAGCGACCTCCCACTGAGCAAAGGTTGACTGTAAGTTGTGACAGAAAGCCTTGGTTTCTGGATCGGCAGGTGTGTGGGGAAGAGTGAGACGAGATGGGAGAGGCAGGAGAGTGCGTGGAGGGGAGTAGAGTGAGATGAGAGGGGAGAAGTTGGAGAGTGCGTGGAGGGGAGCAGAGTGAGATGAGAGGGGAGAGGTTGGAGAGTGCGTGGAGGGGAGTAGAGTGGGATGAGAGGGGAGAGGTAGGAGAGTGCGTGGAGGGGGGTAGAGTGAGATGAGAGGGGAGAGGTAGGAGAGTGTGTGGAGGGGAGTGGAGTGAGATGAGAGGGGAGAGGTAGGAGAGTGCGTGGAGGGGACTGGAGTGGAATGAGAGGGGAGAGGTAGGAGAGTGCTTGGAGGGGAGTAGAGTGAGATGAGAGGGGAGCGGTAGGAGAGTGCGTGGAGGGGAGTAAAGTGAGATGAGAGGGGAGAGGTAGGAGAGTGCGTGGAGAGGAGTGAGATGAGAAGGGAGGAGAGTGTGTGGAGGGGAGTGAGATGAGAGGGGTGAGGTAGGAGAGTGCGTGGAGGGGAGTGGAGTGAGATGAGAGGGGAGAGGCAGGAGAGTGCGTGGAGGGGAGTGGAGTGAGATGAGAGGGGAGAGGTAGGAGAGTGCGTGGAGGGGAGTAGAGTGAGATGAGAGGGGAGAGGTAGGAGAGTGCGTAGAGGGGAGTAAAGTGAGATGAGAAGGAAGAGGTAGGAGAGTGCGTGGAGGGGAGTGGAGTGAAATGAGAGGGGAGAGGCAGGAGAGTGTTTGGAGGGGAGTAGAGAGAGATGAGAGGGGAGAGGCAGGAGAGTGTGTGGAGGCGAGTGGAATGAGATGAGAAGGGAGAGGGAGTAGAGTGAGATAAGTGGGGAGAGAGAGTAGAGTGAGATGAGAGGGGAGAGGGGGTAGAGTGAGATGAGATGGGAGAGGGAGTAGAGTGAGATGAGAGGGGGTAGAGTGAGATGAGTGGGGAGAGAGAAGAGTGAGATGAGAGGGTTGTTCACGACATTCACACAAAACGCAAAACCGAGCAGTGTGCGCGGAACAGGCAGCACAACAGACACAGCATTACACGCGTGACACACAACACCGCACGGAACATATTACAAGACGTATGCTACCCAGAGAATGGCACAGAACGTGATACAGGACGTATGCTGCCCAGAGAATGGAATGCAAATAATGACGCACAGTGTGCCGAGCACAGAGAATATTGCATCCTCATTAAGCGTGATTTATACCGTGTGGTGTAGCGATGCACAGCAAAGCATCGCGGGCAGAACAGAGAGGAAGCTTGTTTGGAATGACCCGCAGCATATCTTGCGGCGGCGAACGCGCGAGCTCACGGCGACTTGTGTCTCTATCGCTGGGGCTGCTGGGAGCAGCGGCCGAGGACCTCGCGCGCTGCGCAAGGAAACTGAAAAACCGAGTTGTGCCAATTTTTTTAATATTATATATATTTTTACACCACCAGGTAAGGCAACTTCGCGTGGATATTTATAGCAGCCAAATTCTGTAAACACTTGATGTAGATTCTAAATGTGGAGGGGGGGAGGGGGAAACTGGAGGACCAGGAGAAAAATCCACACGGCCACAGGGAGAGAGACACACAAACTCCGAATATAGAGGTGTCAGGGTCGGGCTCTAACCCATGACCTCCTGTGCACCAGGCGAGGGAGTTAACATCTCCTAGCCACCGTGGCGCCCATTCTCGGTAAGGGCGAACGTCAGTGGCGAGTGGTTTCTGATCCGGTCCTGGGCACCCCCTTTGCCAAGCCATGCTGACCTGCTTGGTGAAATATGGTCAAACTACTTCCATAGGCATGGAGAAGCGATGATGAGGGTTATTTTTCACTTTTTTACGTAATATTTAGAGGATAAACAATAATAATGCTGTATAGATATTCAGCCGTTTGTCAATGCATTACTGGATGAAGTCCTCCCCACATTGTGCCGGTCACAGCAACGGTCAGTGTGGAGGTGTCCTCACCGAAAAGATTTAAGCTGCTTGTCAACAGCAATACGTAGACAGACAAGGCATGTGGCACACACACACCCTTGCCGGTTTATATCGTCGTGCTCGAAATCTGTTCAATGTCTCTCCAACTTAACTGTTCTAGGAACAGATTAATTATTATTTGTCAGAGCCAAGTTTGTATCGCAGGAAATGTATCTCTTCTTTAGTAGTACCGATTTAAGTTGGTGCCGTATTTCCGATGTCTTTCATTACAGGGTGGTGATTTTTGCCAATTTCTAATTTGCTATTTTCTTGTTAGGTTTTGCTCCGATTTACAATCGCTTCAAAGTCGTGGTTCGTTTTTTTATTTTACTGGTTTTGTCATTGTGGCGACTCGGGTCACCTTGCAAATGAGACGCACCCTGGTCGCTCGCGTCCTCCCTGGGTGAAACAAATACATTTGAACTTGGAAGGGAGGGAGGAGGGCGCGCAAGACAGGTTCAGATGTCACTCGGCCAATCACGCCAACCATGGCGGGGCATCTTACGCAAGTCAACGGGTTCACGGGGCAGCACCGTGGGCGCTGGCGTCCCCTAATTATAGCCACAATTACTAAAAATACAAATTGAAATGGCTTCCTATTCTGGGCATGGGCATGGGTGGCAAATGAGTGGGCACGTAACACTATCGATGTAATCTCCAGGACACATTGGTAATTAAATCTTTAGATGTCAGCAGCTGAATCCGTGCAAGCATCTTGGTAAGATAAATAAGTAAATGAAAATTGTAAAAAATTAACCCGTAAAAACAAAGTTTTTCAATATAAATCCTTTATATTCTCACGAAAATAAATTGTCACGCACAACGAGTCTGTGTGCAAAATGTAAGCTCGATTGGATCACGGGAAGTGGGTTAAAAAACGACCGAAAGATTTGCACGGTCGTAAGCGCGCAAGCAAGCAAGCAGGGAAGCAAGTGAACTTAATATAAAGGATTTAAAAAGTAGCATTGAAGAGCGCAAGTCATAGATGCAGGCCCACGCAGGGTAGGGTGGCATTTAGGTCGGACACCAAAGATGCAAGGTCGGCAAAGATGAGCCGGCCGAACGTCACCAAGTCGCCTCTCCACAGCCACGCTCACAACCACAACCACACACTCCGCTGGTTTCGCCTTCCTTAGGCATTAAATAAGACAGCATGCGCATTAATTGCTTCTGCACTAACTTTTTTGTTGTTGTTGTTGTTGCTCTGTCAACGACTCTCGTGATTTAATCGAGTGAGAGCCCACGGAGGTCAATTATTCACAGTGAGAGGAAATGTTGCGATATGGCGTACGAAACGTCAACACTGGCACACGCTGGTTCTACTCCGTTTAATGGTGGCATTATTGTGCTCTTAACTGCACGCTGCACATGACATAGTGAGCCCCACGTGTTCTCCACGAAGACAGCCTGAAACCCAGTAAGCCAGAACCAAACCCAGCAAGGTAGAACCAAGCACTATTTTCAAACAAGGGGATATGGGATTCATTTGGAAGGGAACTTCTTGCTGTCGGCGATTCCAACATCGTCGCCGTTATAAGCAAATAACACCGGCGGTGGAGGACAGTGGGATGAGAAGGGCTGGGATGACGCTGGGGTGGGGAGACAAGGGAGGGGTGGGTTGGAGCGCGGTGCGAGTGAGCGGTGGGAGTGTGGATGTCAGGCCAGGGCACTCCCAGCCACGCTCAAAAATAGCACGATGTACGTGCGGTGTGGGGTTGCCTTGGGAGCAGTTAATCAACAGTCTGCGGCCGTGAAATCCACGTGTTCGCTCGGCAGGAAGATAAGGAGGAGCTGCTGCTGCTGAGCGTCGGGTGAACCCGAGGAGGGGGCGAGGCCGCGGGCGCGCGAGTCGGACGTACCGGCGGGCCTGGTGGCCGCGCACGTAGCGCTGGATGGTGATGGCCGCCGCGCGCATGCGCAGGTAGCGCTTGCGCTGCAGCCACCCGCGGATCGTCTTCTGCATTCGGATGCAGGCCGCGCGCAGCTTGTCTGCGCGCAGCTTCTCCAGGTACGCCACCTGGCCCGCTCGGAAGAAGATCTTGGTTTTGCCAAACTGGAACTTGTCCGGGTCCTGGATATTTTGGCGAGAAAGGAAAAGTACAGCGTGGGCATTTTTCGCTTCCGAGCAATGACGTTTTGATCCACAGTGGGCCTTGTTTTTAGACTCTCGTGTGTGAATTATTTGCACGTAAAAAACATTGCTGGGATGCGCCTCTTGATGGTAGAATCAAGAACGTATAATTACACTGTAGAGCATAAACACACGTGAGCATGTCATACACTTTTCCACCGCCGACGGAATATCTCGAGGGTAGACGCGTCCTCTCATGCGCGTGTTTTTCCCTCTTTCGCCCTCCACTCCGTCGTTAACCCTGGCCACCAGTGACGAGTCCTACCAAAGCCGACTCAACGATTCCCGTGCGAAATTTCCACCATCACAGACAAGGAGGGGTGGGGGGGGGGGGACACGGCACCAGCACCGCACTCAGCGCGAAGTTGCCGACATTTGATTTGACGCGAACGTGCCAGCTTTGGCGAACGGGAGGCCGGGCCCGCCGCACGCACGACGGGCAGCGGGGCCATGCGCCCCCACCTTGATGACGTGCTCCAGCACGTTCTGCACGGTCTGCTTCTTGTCGTCGCTCACAATGTCCTTCTTCCTCATGAGCACGCGGTAGCGGTTGAAGAACTCCTGGTAGGTCCACCTGCCGGGGGGGGGGGCAGGGTGGGGGCACGGAGAGCGACGAGGGCGTAGCTTGGCGAGCGTTCGGCGGTGCAGACCCCCTGAGCTCCTCCGGAGGACGCGGTGTCGGCACACAGTAACCACATCTCTCTCTTACGCAACTCGCTGTCCAACTAGAACCTGCCGTCATCAACATCGGCAGCTACGAACGATCCACTGCTAGATGAAGGCCTCCCGAAGCCGTCGGCATCCCTCTCGGTGTTGCGATGTTATCCTACGCCATGTGGCGCTTCCGCGGCCGTCTGGAACACTCTTCCTTCCGATATGAGGAAGCCACTGGGAGATATGCATTTTTAAATCATCAAGGTTGAAAACTAATTTCTTTCGAACTGCTTTTTGTGGTTACATTGTTGTCCTTCCCCCCGCATCTTCCGATTAGCACGATTAAATCAACATGCACACACACGGGCTGATTCAATTTCTCCTCCCTGGGTGCGTTCCCTCCCTTTGCCACCACTCTGTCGCTCGTCTGGATCACCAGCCAGCCACGTACCCTGCCCGAGCCCACTTACTTTTCCCACTTTGTCAAAATTACATCCGTAAACCTGAGTACGCTTGCGAATCCGCGTGTTCCTCGTTACGTCCTTCCGTGTAATTCTCAGCGCGCACCTCTCCGCCGTTATTATTCACTCGTCAATGTCCTCGTTTCTGACCCATGTATCACATCGCCTGAGGTACGCCCGATCTAGAACAACGATTGCAAATAGAATGGAGTGCGCGACTGCAAAAACGTCACGGCCGAGCCACCGAAAAGCTTACCACTGCGCCATCTAGCGTCAGTCTTCTTCCTATAGCAAACAAAAATAAACCCCAAAACCTAGAATCGACCAAACGTCCCAAAAGCAGGGGACACCTCCTCTGATACGTGCTAAAGTTTCATTGGGGAACCATTTCCAAACTAACGTTTTTTTGGAATTGACAAAAATTTATTCTCGACTTGTCAATCAACTGCTGGACAGAGGCCCTCCCCACGCCACGTTGGGGCCCGTCTGACCTTTGCCGCGCCGATCGGCGCAGGTTTGTGAACGTGGGACCCAGGACCAGTTCAGATATCCACTCGCCACTGCCATTAGCCGTGGTCGGGAATCCAATTGAGGTCACCAGGGTTCATAACCACTGCTGCCCCTGTTAAGCCAACAATAATTCTGATGATAACATGGACGGTCTTTTAGCCTTTCGGGCAGGAATATAGGCGGTGTTAAGAAGTTAAAAGACCAATAAGACGGAATGAGAATATTCATTGAAACTGGAGGAATCCGATGAGCTACAAAGCTCTTTGTCACAGATGTCCGGTCGTTTCAGAGAGACGTCCAGTAGAGGCTTATCACAGTGCACCAAGTCTGCCACGCACGCTACGTGGCAACACGTGCCAACATTTTTTACCAGAAGCATGTTGTGATACTGGCAAAAAGGGTAGATCCAACAATTACTCTCGGGCATCTTTCTGCGCGTCTTGGGCCCTCTCTTCCCCCCCTGCTGTGGAATTAACAGGCGGGCAAGGCCGCGGGTAGGGCAAGGCCGCGGGTGGGTAAGGCCGGGGAGGGCAAGGCCGCGACGTCCGTGCCGTCGTCTCCGCCGTACCTGGACGGGTACCCGGCGGCGCTCAGTCGGATCGTCTCCAGGACCCCGCACGCTCTCAGCTGCTGCACGGCTCGCTTGGGGTCAAACCTGCGCACGCGCGCGAGCACGCACGGACGCACCGACGTAGCCACGGCAACGGTTAGGACCGGGAGAGACGCGAGTCGCGCGCGGGTCATTTGGCCGTACTTCACCGTGCTGGGCGACCGACGGTGGGCGAGCGTAGACGTGTAGGGTAGAGAAGTACGAATGTGGATTTTTTTTTACGTGCTGCCCTCTGCTGCCCGGGAGCAAAGCATTATACGCGAGAGTTAACGGCCAAACCCCAGACTTGAAATACGCTGGTAACTCATTAAACACGTTACCCATCCGTGTGTATTCATCACCGTATGATTCTCAAAGTTTACTGTGGTTTGCCACGACTGCTGCTGTGGCTGCTGCTGCCGCTGTGGTGTCGCTGTGGTGCCGATCGTGTTGTTGCTGCTGCAGCTACTGCTGCAGATGCTGGTACTGCTGCAATTACTGCAGTAGCAGCAGCTGCAGCTGTGGTGCCGTTTGTGTCGTTGATGCTGCAGGTGCTGCTACTGCTGCCGCTGCTGCTATAGCTGCTGCTACAGCTGCAGATGCTGCTACTGCTGCAGCTACTGCTGCGGTAGCAGCAGCTGTGGTGCCGCTCGTGTCGTTGCTGCGAGGTTCACGTGAAGGCCATCTTGTCATCGTTGGGCTTGATGCAGCGCACGTAGTGAGGAGTGGTGGCGTTCAGTGTCTCCATGAGCAGGTGCAGCGAATTCCGGAACTGGAAACAAAAGCAAAGAGCCGTCAGGGAAGAGCCTCACATCGCATCTCAACAATTCCCACTGCCCCTGAAGGAGACTTGCCAAGGGCACCCCCGACGGCAGCTGTCCCTGCACAGTACAATTCGTACGCAGCACCGATGATTGCGATGGATGTGGTTTTTCCAAATTAAGTAATTTGTCACTAGCTGATCAGATTTGGCAAATTTGGACCATGACACCGGCACACTTTGTCTACCTCTCATGGCAACGTGGGAACGCGCCTTGGAGAAGGGAAAAGTTGCCGGTGGCGTTTCGAGTGGGAGTCGTTGCACGAGAAGCAACACCATTCGAACATAACCCAAGAACGCACCCCCCCCCCCCAAAACTGTTTATTACTTTCCTGGACGTCCCTTCGCGTGCCCGTCAAGGCCCTTTTGTGTGAATCTCTAAAGTAGCCGTGACAGCGACTTTGGCAAATGTTATTTTAACAGATGCACGGGAGACTCGGGAGGAACAAGCGCTCCAACATAACACGGGTAACATCAACCCTGAGGAGGGATTCCCTCGTGCCCCCGCCAGCGGAGGCCCTGCCACCAGGAGTGGCGCGAGTAACATTTGCAAGGCTGCAGCAAAACAAAACAAATTATGATGAGCCCCTAACAGGATACCACGCTCGAGTCGAAGCTTCAAGAGAACGTGACAGACACGGCGCAAAACAAAGACCGGAAGCAAGGAGGAGGAGTCGAGACACAGACCCGGCAAGAAGCAGCGCAGACCGGAACAAGACTTGGGAGGCAGCGACACATCGATGAGGTCACAACAGGAGCCAGAAACGCCCCAGCGGGTCGCAAAAACCGAGGCACCGACGACGACCGGAGGCTCGGATCTCGCGGTCGCCCAGCACAGGACCCATGGGCCCAAAGTGCCCAGCGGGCGGCAACAAACGGCCCCGTCGGGGGTGCAACGGCCGAGGGCGAGTACGTGGGAGTGGCGGCGGGCCTCACCTGGAGGCCGACGCTGCGCTTGTGCTCGCGGCTCGAGCCCTTGGCCCCCGGGCGAGCAGAGCGCACGCTGTGCGAGGGGGGGGGCGCCCGGCTCCCCGAGCCCGCCCTCCCGCGCGCCGGCGCCGCCGTCGTCGCCGCGCCGGCTCCGTCTTTCCCCTCGTCCTGGAAGAGCTCCGCCACCAGCTCAAACTGGCGGGGGGGAGGGGGGGGCATGAGCGGGGAGGAACCCAACGCGCGTCACACGCGGCTGGCACCGGCGTCTGCACGTGCGTCTCTGTGGGGTAGCGGCAGAGCCTCGGTTGGCGCGCTGCGCTTACGAACCGGACGACCCGAGCTCGAGCCCCGCCCGCGGCTGACGTGTCGGTCGTCGCGTGCGACGTCGCACAGCTTTGGCCATATCGCATTGACGCAGACAACAGACTGTTGGGGCAAGTGCTGTTGTCGAGCACCTATTCAGGCCGGCGCACGAGGGGGTGGGAGGCCAGGACCACGTTCGCCCGGCCGCCTTTGTCTCCCCAGTGGCGATGTTTCCACACCCCGCCAGGTACTCATTGGAGACTGAGTCGACCGAGGGGAGGCCCAAGACCGGTTCAGATTGTCGTCAATGGCGTTGGTGGTCAGGAGCGGGAATCGAACTCGGGTCGCCGGTTCATAGCGCAGCGTACTGAACCACTGCTCTATGTGCATGGTGCAAAACAAGTTCAACATCATACGCACATACTCGCTGACACACGTTCTCAAACACACTCGCACACAAACACCGCCCAACAGATTCGGTCGACGAGCGGTGACCGTACACACATGCGGGTTAATGAACGCGTTGCGCGGACGCCAGTGTGCGCTGCTGTACAGAGAGAGTGTCTGGGGCTCGGGCAATAAGATCCAAAGCAACCAGGAGACCATGCAACGTGAACCAGACATGCAGCGCCGTGGCACAGACACTGAAAGCCCCGTCAGTGGGAGACAGCTCGTCAAGACGAAGAACCACCACGTGGGACAGCCACATCCCCGGCTGCTTCGTCCCGCCCTCCACCAACGTCTCATAACAGATGCCCATCTCCATTCGTCCCGCACCACTATAACCGTGCACCTGTTATTCCAATAAGGACGAATGGAATTGTTAAATGAACGTTTTTGTATTTTCCCCCAACGCCGATTCGGGCAAAGTCGTGCCAACGAGGCAGTTCCACGAGGCCGTGTTCGCCCGCCGGTCAGCGAGCTCGCGACCAGAAGCGGACGGTCGATTTCTTTGAGAGCCCGCTAACTTCCGTGGTGAACGATGAACAAAAATAACCAACAGCTGCAGAGGCGAAAAAAATATACGGACAACGTGGCATCATCTTCTGCAGGAAAAGGCCACATTATGAAATCCCAATTTAATGTTCGCATTAACGAAAACCACACACCCTCTGTAAATACTGTCCCTATTCGCTCTAATAAATGGTAGAAACTACAATTTCAATGTACTTTCTCTTTTTTTTCTCGCCAAAGCAAAAGCAAATAGGACATGAATTTCAGTGGCATATCAATGGCAGTTATCTTTCTCTGTAACCTGGCACAGACCAGCAAGGGGCAAAAATACCTCTAAGAACAGCCCGTAAACATTCATGAGACGTTTGCATTTCCCACCACATTCACAATGCCCCATGAGATTCGGTTCGTCCTAAGAGGTCCTCTTTGTTCACGGTAATTTGTTTTCCAAAGTACACATCTCAACGCTATTGGGGATATGCTACCGACACAGAGCGAAAGACCTTGCAAATGGTGATGTCACAGGGTTCTTTTGAGATCTATTGCACAGCACAGGCTGAGATTGGGTTAATTATCCACGGAAATAACAAGATGCAAAGCCCATGTAAAATGTCTCGGCAATGAAAAGCACACCGACTACACACATACACACACGTGCTTGTCGCGCCAACCACCCGTGGAAAGCTGAGAAATATCCAAGCGCTCGCACCGACCCAATTTATAGCACCCGCAGCACCTGCATGAAGTGTTAGTAGGGTAGCGGCATCGGCCGAAGGTTTAGTACGCAGCAGGGCGTGAACGACAAAACGCCTCTATGGACCGGCATAGACCCCTTCTCATCTCAAGCAACACCCATCACACGGAGCTGTGACCTAATCACGACACTGTGGCTGCTATCACGGGGGTGAAAATATCTTCGTGAGCAGTCATCGTCCCTTGCCAAACTCGGCACAGGCTCCTACATCCAGCCCACTGGCTATCACCGCCCACCGCGCTGCAACTGTCGGGGTAACGTTGGAGGCGCATTCTGCCTTGGGGTCGTGAAACAAAGCCAGAATGCTCGCCCACGAAGGGGGCACGGGATTCACCTAACTCAAGATAAATACCGAGTGACCAAGTGGCTCATATTCATGTGGAAATTTATAGCAGGCAAATATAAAAAAACATGGGGGGGAAACCGGAGGACTCGGAGACAAATCCACACGACCACGGGGAGGACGTGCAAACTCCTAACATACAGGTGTCAGGGTCAGGATCGAACCCATGACATCCTGTATACCAGGCCAGGTAGTTAACATCTCGCCACATCTCGCCACTGTTGCACCCCATTTTTCTGAACTCTTCGGGAGCCAACGTCAGACACCGCGCTGAGCAACGCACGCGGCACGACCTGCGAACAACTTAGCAGAGCTGGTTCACACCGACGACGACGAGGACGGCGATGGCGGCGCTTGTTTAAATGTGAAATGAAACACCGCAAGCAGAGAGACGGTCTTGGACATGCAAATCGAGGAGGTACGCAGAAGCTCAGCGGCAGGCAGCGGGGGCAGCGTGGTGGGGGCACACGTGCGTGCCGACGAGCGGTGCCGGTTACCTTCTGTGGAATTTCGCCGCCGCCGGGGGGGGGGGGGGGGGGTGTCCGTCGGGTGGAGACAAGGAGGACAGGACACAAACGCAAGCGTGAGAAGAGAAGAGTCACAAAAGCAGACTACTGATTGGTCGGCGCCAGCGGTGATTGGCTGGTGCCGAGGAGGGCAACCCGCTCCCCGCTGAGAGGGGGCCGCGAGGAAAGCTCACGCCGAGGGATTTTGTTTTCTGCAAGAAAAGGGGCACTTTTTTTTTTGGTCAGGTATAAAACGTCTCAGAGGTTGTTGTTGTTTTTTTCTTTCAAATTTCTACGCGGAAATATCTGGCCAAGCAGCACTGTGGCAGCGGATTCTGGTTGTGACTGCAAGGGGGGGGGTGGGGGGGCTAAACTAAAATCCCAGTCTGGGGTCAGCTCGGTCCGCAACCTTCCGAGATGATATGTGCCACTCTGTAGAAATGTAATATCACTTTTAACGATAAATGGCTCCAGACCATCTGCTGTTGGAGGCCCACGAACTGCTCCAACCTCTCCTGAGCAAGGAGGCAACCGCACAGTAACGTCTAAGATCCACCTGTTTAAGCCAAGAGCCTGTTGGAGTGTTAGCAAGGTCCTATCGTGGCTATCGCGCCTTTCACTTACAAGCGAATGCTTTGACCAGAGCCAAACATGGTTTGATTGCCCATCTCGCCAAATGCGGACACACTCCCGCCACAAGCGGCACTCGTTACAGGCTCGGCCCTGGTTTGGCCAGATTTGGATATCGATGGCCACATCATCTACATACCGCTGCCTCCGAAACAGTAACGCACGTATGTAGGAGGGACACATTTTTGCGCCAACCTGCACACGTGATTTCCAGCGGACGGGGATTCTCATGGACTGGGGGAGGAGGCCGGAAAGTTGGCTGGGCTAGCGCCGCGCCTGCTCAGGGCCACGAGAGCCTCCCCCCAACACGCGCCCTCCACGACGGCCGTACCTGGCTGGCCTTGAGGATGTTGATCTGCTCCTCGTAGACCGTGTCCCGGTTCTTCTCGAGGAAGCCATCGCACTGGTACTCCACCTGGGCAGGGTGGCACCACCCATGCGGCACCGTTACACACGGCACTCATCGGATGAAAATGCGCAGAACTGTAACTAAAAACATTTTTTTATTTTACCAGGAAAGGTCCACTCAGCTATGAAGCTCTTTTTCAAAAGTGACCTGGCGATCACAAATGATTGCTCAACAAAGTGGCGTGTCACGTGGACATTTGTAGCAGCCAAATACTCAAAACACGTGATGTCGATTCTAAATGTGGAGAGAAAAAACGGACGACCCCGAGAAAAATCTACGTGGCCACGGGGAGAGAGAGAGAGACACGCTCCAAATATAGCGTAGGCATCAGGGTCAGGATCGAACCCACAACCCCATGTTTCCCATATCTTTATATAACGTACTTTAAAAGTATATTTTTACTTGTGTGAATTTGTAATCACTTTTGGGATTATTGTGGGTGCTTGGCTTGCCCACACATCGGCGCTACCATCGCTACCCTGCGAGCTCTGTGACCCAGCCACGGCCCAGTCACCGATCTGCAGCAGTCCCCACAGCCCCCTCTGCGGGGCCCTGGGCGAGCCTCGTTGCGCAAGTCGCTCACCTTGTCGGCGAAGTGGCAGATGATGAAGGCCACGTTGGACATGCGAGGCTTCAGGAAGTGCTTGCCACGCCCGAGGTGCTTCTCGTACAGCTTCTGTGCCCAGCTCTGGTCGGAGCCCTTGGGCATCTGCGTCGGGAATCGCAACAACAGCAGGACGTCGTTAAACGACGGGAGAAAGCAAAATAGCACGAAGCAGCGGTGACGTCGCCACGGCATTTGTGCCAGAACTTTGAGGCCACGTGAAGTGTCGAAGGCCCGCTGGCAAGAGGTCACGGGACAGACCCAGGTTGACCGAGGAAGTTGGCAGATGCGCCACCTGCACCCCCTACTGTGCCAACTTGCTGCGTTTTAGCCACCAGCCACTCCGCTCATTGTTGTGAGCATCCCTCCTCCGCCCCCTGTCGTTGCCGGATGGCGACTGCCCCCAAACTCCCCGTGCATCCTTCACGAACCGCCTCCACAGAGGCCGATCTTGACACCGCTGGTACCGGTCATCGGCGACACACGCACACACACGTGTCAGAATCACGACGGCAAACGAGCGTGACAATGACGACGACTCCCTCACCTTGCACTCTTCGTCCAGCAGATCGAGAACGCCCAGCTTGGCCTCGATGAGGTCGATGCACGGCTGGTTGTCGTAGAAGTCGATGAGCGTCCAGGGGATCTCCTCCCGCATGTACTCCTCCTGCTCCAGCTTGAAGACGTGCTGCCAAGTCGCAAAAACCACGGACGCGCGTGAGCACGCACGCGCGTCCGTGCGCGCGTGCGGCTGTTGACCGCCCCGGCAAGTAAGGATGCGGAGAGTGTGCCGACCGATGTCTCAACACAGACGCTCGCGGTGCCGCGCGTCACCTCGCCGAAAGCGAACCGTCAGCGTGGCAGGGAGATTTATTTCCTCCTGTGGAATCTCCGCGCCAAGCAACCGGGCCGGCGCTTTGATCTTAGTCTCCGTGTGGCACACTTACCAGGTTGAACTGCTGCTGTAGCTTTTCATTGGCGTAGTTGATACAGAACTGTTCGAAGCTATTGATTTCAAACGTCTCGAACCTGTTCGGAGGAACAGACACGGAACCGGAAGAGTTCACGACGATTACAACATCGTTCCTCGCCTCGTCGACATTAAAGGCCTGCCAGCAAGAAACGACTTTCCCAGGATCTATGGCTTGACGCAGCCCATCCATCTCCTACCACGTGGGCATGAAAAAGCCCAAGATCAATATGTGTGTGTAAATAATGTGATAGTGGACTCCCCCCACCCTCCTGCGTCAATCCACTGTTGGACGAAGGCCTCCAAAAAATGGCAATCCCAGTCAAGCTGTAATGAGGCCCAGTTAAACAAGACGACACTGGGGAAACTACACACCAGGTGCTCATGTGAGGCAGTGCCGGCCTCGGGGAGGCCTAAGATTGGTTCAGATAATCGTCACCGGTATTGGCCGTGAGCAGGAATGGAGCTCAGGTCGCCGGTTTCGTAGGGCAGTGCGCTAACCGCTACACTACCGCTCCCACACACAAAGATCCCCTGTATAGTCTGAACAGACTGTAGGGGCAAGTGCTGTTAGCGACCACCTATGAAGGCCGGCACAGCACACGAGGGGGTGGGTGGCCAGCACCAAGCCCGACCGCCTTTGTCTCCCCAGTGACGATGTTTACACATGGCACCAGATACTCATTTGAGGCTGAGTCGACCTAGGGGAGGCCCAGGACCGGTTCAGATAATCGTCACCGGTGTTGGCCGTGAGCGGGAATCGAACTCGGGTCGCCAAGTTCGCAGCGCAGCGCGCTAACAGCTACGCACACACGCATGGGCACACGTCTCTCCGCCGGGGGGGAGGGGCCTGGCATCCCGCACCCGTAGATGTCGAGCACGCCGATGAAGGAGTGCTGCTTGGTGGAGGAGCGCAGCGCCTTGTTGATGCGGAGCACGATCCAGGAGAAGAGCTGCGCGTACACGTGCTTGGCGAGAGCGTCGCGAGCGTTCTGGGCCTGCGCGCGCCCCATGGGCTTCACGTAGGTCTCGGCGCCCGTCGAGATCTTGCGGTGGCACAGCCAGTGCGCCATCTGGTCCCTCTCCAGCCCCAGCAGCTCGCAGAAGATGTTCAGGTGCTTGTCTTCCTTCTGCACGGCGAGACACCGCCGGTGGGTGGGGTGGGGGGGGGGAGATACGAATATAGCGGTGTAGTGCGGTGTATCATCGTGTAGTGTAGCGTATATACATACTACACCACTGTATGTATGTACGTTGATCTTATTTCGCACCGTACATTGTCAACCGCGCTAATCGGTGGTGCGGGGGAAGGACAACAAACCAAACACAAAAAGCAGTTCTAAAGAAATGAGTTCTAAAGAAATTCGTTTTGAATCGTGCGGTCACGGCTACTCCAGCCACCCGTTTCATTTCTAAGGATTACAATAATAATAATTCAAATGCTTTATCATCCTTCCCCCGCACCTCCAATTAAGCACAGTTGGCTACGTGCGGTGAGTGTGTGTGCGTATGCATGTCCGTGTGCGGTGAGTGTGTGTGCGAGTGTGCGCATGTGTGTGCATGTGCGTGCGTACATCTGTGTGTGTGCGTGCGTGTGTGCGTGCGTGCGTGTCAATGGGTACAGCGCTGTTAGTGGAGCAGCAGGTTGGACGTGTGTTGGGGTAAAGTGTGGGTATACCCACCTCTTCTAAAGCGTCTAGCCAGCATGGAAGAGTAGACCAAATACACGGGCCTCCTACTGGAGTGAGCTTCAGAGAGCTCTATAGAGAGCTCCCTCTAGTAGAGGCCCGAGTGAGAACTCCATTGCAGGGCTGCACCTTTATTAATTTGCTGTACACGCGTCTGGGGTTGCCGTGCGAGCCTGCGGCGCGCGCATCCCGCAAGCGACTCACGTTGACGAAGCAGGTCTCCTGCTCACGGTCCTGCGACTGCACGTCCACGTTGCCCAGGTGAAGGATGCCGGCTATGATCTTAAATATCCCCATCTGATAGCTCGCACTGATACCTGCGGGAGGCACACGGAGGCGGACGGCGGGGACGGGTAGCGCATGCAGTCACGCCCCGAGTGGCGACAAACAGAGACGCAGCACAGCACAATGAAGCTTTTGCCCACGTAGCAGAATCTTGAAACATGCTGCAATGAGTATTACTCTTATTCTCGCCAAACAGCCGATGGGATTTCCACAGCAGTATTGTAAATCGGTACGCGCGAACATTTGCGATCACAGAACGCGCGCGTCGACCCGGGGCGTCAAGCGGCCCTCGCGGTAACTTGAATTCCGAGACGGCGTCACGACTCGGCCGTGCGGCCCCGCGACCCACCCAGGAGCGCGAACGCTCGCCGAGTGCGCTCCAGGTCCTCGCCATCGTCCACCTCCTCGATGACCGCGTTGCCGCCCTGCGCCGTGTAAGCGAACGCCTCCGCCGGTTCTGCGCGGGGAGCGGGAGGGAGAGGGCGGCACGCGGGGACCGCTCACGCAAGCGCCAGCGGGCGGTCGTGCAACACCCCTCGCCCCCGTGGGGCTCTCCAGCAACGGGCCGACACCGGGCAGGCAAAGTATGAATATTTTGACTACAGTACTACAATGACGAGTTAAAAAAGGAGCGAGCATGCCGTGAGCGTGGGGGCATGGAGGGGCCCCGGCTGGCCGGCTCACCCAGGCGGAGCTCCTTGAACTCGGGCAGCTCGGCGCTGGCGCAGAGCTGGTAGAACACGTGGTAGTTCCGCTCCTCCTCCGCCTACCCTCGGCATCACAGCACACGCACACACACAGGCACGGACATACAGCATACACGCACAGACGCAGCACACACGCACGGACAACACGTACAGTGCGAAAGAAGTTCAACATACAGACACAGCACATACACGCACGTGGATTTTGCTTCGTCCTCATCCCCAGCTCGTAGTAAAGGGTGCAGCTACCCAAGTAGTGTGCGGGCGGGCGGGCAGAGAGCACAGGCGCCCACTCCCCTCACCTGGAAGACGACGCGAGACTTCTCCAGGAGGTACGTGCGCATGTTGGCGCCGACGATGAGGTACTGCCGGTTGAAGCCGATCTCGATGTACTTGCCGAAGCGGCTGCTGTTGTCGTTGCGCGTCGTCTTGGCGTTGCCGATGGCCTGGGCAAGGAGACCGAGAGATCGCGTGTGTGCGTGTGTGCGTGTGCGTGACCAACGTACACACGGCTGTGCGGCGAGGTTGCCACGGGGGAGGGATCGGTACGTGGGAGGACTGTTAAGGGATGGTGATGACTTGAGAAAGACTTCGTCCAGCAGTGGACTGATCATGGCTGAGGATCATGATGTATGTATGTAGAATTTCGCACCGTACATAGTCAACAATGCAAATCGGAGGTGCGGGGGAAGAAATTAGTTTGTCAATTTCGATGATGATTTAAAAGCGCGTAGATCCAGCGGCTTCCAAAAATCGGAAGGAAGAGCGTTCCAGACGGCTGCAGAAGCGCATCTGAAAGCACCGATGCGGTGACCGTCTTTGTTCGATGACTCGTCTAACGCCGCCTTCATGTGATGGTTTATGACGAGATCAGCAGGGCATTGCGATTCATTTGTGGCATGCACTTTGTGTGTGCGATGAGTGCGACCTTGTAATGTTTGATGGTGATGGAATGGCTTGTGCTATCGCTTCCCTTCATGCGTTTTTGGCCCCCGCTTTCAAAAGTGAATCTGAAGTGGGAAAAAAATCTTCACTCTTCGCATTAATGCTAAAAGCTAATGGCTCACAACAAAAACATATCCTCGTATAGATCTTATCGCGTGCGCACAGCAAAATTATTCGTGAGGGAACCATTGGTGAAGGGGTGGGGGGGGGGGAGCCCACGACTGAATCAGATGTCCCTCGCATCGCTGATGTTCACAGCGGCCGTAGATCTGACCGCGGCTGCTGGGTTCGTAGCGCGGTGCACTAACCGCTGCGCCACCGCCTCCCTCCACCACCAACCCACGCCCACCACTCGCATACTTCGGGGCTGCGCTGGGAGGGGGTGATTTTTTTTCTCAATGAGGAAAACTCCTCGCGCTCATTGTTGTTGCACCCGCCGGTCATCAAACTCCAAAGTCATCTTAGCGTGGGACTGGCGCGATCATTTTCTTTAACTGCCAAAGCTTATGTTTAAAAAAATTTGACACCGAACGTTTCCTAATTCGGTGTTGCTGTTGTCGGAGCCACGGCGTGAAGCCAAGAAACTTCCTCCAGCACACACACACACGAGAGAGGAGCGGTCGTGCCACCTTAGCAAATTAATGTGGACGGCTCGACCAGAGGAGTTCAATTATATTTCTGTCCAACACTAAGCTTCCCAACATCAAACGGCGCTTCCTCGACACCGTGGATCGAGCGCCGTGCTCGTTCTCTGGAGGGGATTAATGACTTAAATTATCATTTCAAATGTACGACGAATTGGTCGAGAAATATAAATTCACCAGTCAACGATGAGAAAGCCGAGAACCTTTGGGGAGGAAGCTTTCATCTCACGAGTTCCCCGGACTTTGAATTCAGGTGCTCGGCAGGACTGGTTGAATAAACAGGCAGCCGCATTGCCTCACGAGCCATGCCGCTGGAACGTCGCGTGCATCACTTAGAATTCTCTCGCCGCTCACACGTGACCAGAGCAAAGGAATGAAAGCTACACACGCAAACGTTCGCACTCCAGCTCCAAATCCGCAAACGCCACTATGCTGCAACTTCAGGACGGTTTTTGTAGGCAATTTCAACATACGTTAGTTTTAAATTAAGTCCTAGTGCTTTTAAAGTTATATTTTAACATTAAGGCTTATGGATGTTAGAGTGATAGGCCGACAGACTTGGGAAGAGGCCCAGACTGGGGGTCAGCAACCAAATGTCATTATTGACGGGGCATCACGGTCAGGAATCGAACCTGATCCGCAGCCATCGAATCAAACGGCAAGCAATCACCACCGTAACTTAGCAAGCAAACCACTGCCAGTGTGGTTCATGTCCTGCCAACTCCATCGCGCCGACAGGTACAAGGAGAAGATGGGAAAGAAGCGGAGTGAACATGAACGGCCAGGGTGGGCCTCCACTGTGTGACCTGCGTGCCCTCATGCCCTCTTCTGCCCCTCCCACCCCACATCCTAAACTTTTGGTCCGGTGCTCGAACTGGTTTGTGGCGCAACATAAAAACAAAAATCAATCCTAATTGTATCCCGTTCGTGCTGCCAGCTTCGTGTCATGCAGCAAAAGCACCCGTCCGGGTATCTAGCAGAGCTGTATAAACCTTTTTCGTGCTTGACAAGTCGCCACGGATGGACGTGGATGTAATAGAACTACGACTTAGATCCCTCTGAGTGAGCCCTATGTTCAACGCACAGCAGGGGGCAGCACTTCCTCAAAGCGGGGGGGGGGGGGGGGGGGGGAAAGGGATTGCACCCTCGTCGAGAGGAATGTGGGCGCAACCGATCAGCGCGAGGAAGCATGTCAGAGCGGTCGGTCGGTCCGGTCCGGTGGTCGTAGGAATGAGGCGTGGGGGGTGGCAGTGCGTGAGGGGTGGCAGTGCGTGAGGGGTGGCAGTGCGTGCGGCGTGAGGGGTGGCAGTGCATGCGGCCCTTCCTCACCTCCATGATGGGGTTGGAGGCCAGCACCTTCTCCTCGATGTTGGCCTCGCTGGCCGAGCCCCCGACCGTGGCGAAATATCGCATCGCGTACTTGGCCGACACCGTCTTGCCGGCGCCCGACTCCCCGCTCACGATGATCGACTGATTCTTCTCATCCCTGGCGACGCGCGACGGGGCAAACCGGGACGGCCATTACCTCGACGGTTACCTCCGTGGAACAGCGAGAGACCCCACTCTGGACAGAGATGATGCTGCAGTTTGTTTTTATGTTATGAATGGAAGATAACCATCAAGTCCAGAGTGGTGTCCATGCTCAACTGAACATTAGGCCGTGCTGTCTCTTCTGGCCATCATGAGCAATAAGTCAACATTCCACCTTCATGCGCTGGGTACGAGCTTATCCGAAGAAAACAAACGCAGTTGGCCGTCCAAACAACGTTACAAACATTTTTTTTCTCTGCCACATGCTACTTGGCCAGCAATTAAATGTGTAACCTTCCGATTATGCACTCGTGTGCTCTGACATGCCACTTAGACACACGACACAGGAAACCATAAACATTTACTTCACTGATTACTTGATAATGTTAAGCTGGGACAATAAAAAAAATTGCATTGAGATATTTTTTAAAAACTGATGCCAATTAGTTAAATAGCACTGGTTATTGTTCTGTGCGTCTCTGCCGGGCTGTGTAATGCAGCGGCTTGAACCACTGGTATCTGTAAATGGCAGCATCGGGCAGCGCATTCGCCGCTCGCTGCAGAGGTTCACGCTTTGAATATGGCGGCCGCGCTGGTTATGAATGGGGTGGGAATAACCACACCGAAACCACTACGCGCCACCCGCTTCGTAGTGGACGTCACAGATCCCGGACGTCATTCCACAAGGCGAGGCCGTTGTGTGCCGGCTGGCGTCAGGGTAGAAATTTAATTTAAAAAATAACACCGCAAGTTACTCAATTGGCATTATAGAGTACACGTATAGCGGAACTTGTTACGCTTTATTTTTTAAGTTACCAGGTAAGGCCCACTGAGCTCTTTTTTCAGAAGCGCCCCGGCCATCACAAATGATTGCTCAACAAAGTGGCTTATCGTCACGTCTAAATTTACAGCAGCCAAATACACGAAACGCGTGATGTCGATTCTTAAATGTGGAAGGAAAAAACATCATCGCTCCATACTCGCACACGAATGCCCCACAGGGTATTGCTTGCCAATGAGGCTGTTCTGATCTCTTGCGTTCCCACCCGGTTAAACAAATTCATGTTGAAACTTGCACGAGCCCAGCTGTGCCTCCCACTACCACACAACTTCCAGCAGGTGGCCCATGACAAATGCCAAGCGACAGTGCTTTTAAAATGCCCACGGAACAAATCTAGTTTGACCGCAGACCCGTCTGAGACGTAAAAAGCCACCGCATTTGCAAAGGACGCACAATTATTCCCAATTATCCTGCAAACTTCATGCATCGGGGTGGCAAGGGTTGAACTCTGTTATGAGCAAACCATACAAACGTAACGGCACGGCCTTAGTTAAACGCTCTCAAGACAAACCTGGACCAATGCAAGTCCCGATAGTGAAAGGCATCCCGATGTGGAATATAGACCACGGATGGTGAAGAGGGCAGCTCTGAATTAGAATTAAGACCGAACGAAACACCGGGGAGGTTACTATGAGGGCTATCGTGCTCTCATAAAACTCCCAGAGTGCTGTGAAGTTCTACAGGTCTCCATCCTCGGCCCAGTGCCCCGTGACACAAAACTCTGCGTAATAATAATCATAATTTGGTGTTACACGGATGTATTTGGAGTAAGATGGGGCTACAATATTTGCTTTGTTATTTAAAGTAAAAAAAAGCACAGAATAACGCACAACTTGTTTCATACCAATTTGTACAAGAACTTGGCACGCGCTACCTTTCACCTCTCTCTCGTCAACAACCGGAACGTAATCCACGAGCTGCGTGCGCTGAAGACTCTGCAGGGCCCTGCGAAGCATTGGGAGGGGAGCTGGGCTGTGCCCCGCGCTCACTGCACCACCCGGCATGTGGGCATCAGCCTTGCGCCGCTCATCGCCAAGACAGCGACGGTGCAGATCATCGTTCCGTTCAGCGGACCACAAATTCATCGTTCTCAGCGGGGGGGAACTCAACCGAGCCGGCTCACCCCCAGCCGCCGGACCACGCAGCGCCGATGCCCGTCGGCGAGACTCTGAGTCTATCGCCCCCGCTGGCACCGCCAGTGAACCTGCCTTGCTCGATGCGTACAACCATCCCGGGAGAGAAGAAACGCGGCAGCGGAGACTGAGGACAACGCGGTAAAGCTCCGCATCAGATGCCGCTCTTAGCAATGTAGATAATCACCTACCTTTGATTAAAAACTAAAATGTCACGGGTAAATCCCCGTAATTTGTTGAAAGTCGCCCCGCTCGTCGCAACACGACGCATTCCACGTGATCGATCTCAGCCAAAATGTGCTCACGAAATCTCCAACAGCTCAGCCTCAGTGCCTGCCTTTCCTTTGTTGATGTTTTTATTTTGTAAACGACAATAAGAGCTAAAAACTCGACGTTAAAACAAAGCGTTAAATTCCTGCGCGCGATGTCGGAGATGAATCGCATTGTACGCTGTCGTGTGCGTGTGGGAATAAATGAGGTTTTGGTAGGATTGAAAAAAAGGGGCATTTAGACAACGTACTGTCATCGCTATTATTGTTCTGACAAAAATACTTCTGACCACAGCGCGGTTGGACCTGCAAGTGTCGATAATTAGTGAAATGCCACGCGTGAGGATTTTGAGCATTGAAGTGCGTCGCTGTTGAGCAACACAATGCACAAGTGCCACTGGAACACAACCACAAAGATCTCAACGTGGCGGATAACAGGAAGGGCTGATGCATGGATAACGGGAAGACGATTGCACTTATCCACTGTCTCCCATTCCCCTCATCTGCACAATCGCCGACAACTGGAGGAGCTCGTCTGCGGTAAAAGGGGAAGACTTGTAGATCGGCCTGATCGAACGGATGATGATGGCAACTTTGGAAATGAGAGTCACAGATAAGAGGGATTGAACTCTATTATAAGACAATGCAGTCCGGCACCATCACCATGTACCGCGCAACAAGGCGTACCATTGTATCGCAAACCGTTGTTACCATGGTGATGTCAACCCACATGCCAACCCCACCTCCCCCTCCCCTACCCTCCCCCAGCCTACGACATTGCAAGTCAATTTATTAATTTCATATTCCATTTTATATTCCGGAGTTTGGGTGAAATAAAAAAAGAGTTTTCGCTTTGCATCCTTGCCAACTTGTCAACGCTCAAAGTTACCCAGAAGGCACCACTAAGGTGGCTAATCTCTCCGACGCGCCATCTGCGTGTGTACCGCCGCGTGGCGCTGGGCACGTTGTCTGACGTACGTACGGACGTACGTGTGTGTGTGTATGTATGTTGAACCTCTTTCACACCATACGTAGCCGACCGTGCGATTCGGAGGTGCGGGGAAAAAATTGAAAACTCTGCTTTTTGTGTTTAGTTTGCTGTCGTCCCCCCGCACCTCCGATTAACGCGATTGGCCATGTACGGTGCGTAAGAAGTTCAACACACACACAAAGACCCATAGACTCATCACACGTAGGCCAATGGACTCACACACTGCATCGTGCACTTTCAGATGCGCTTCTGCGGCCGTCTGGAACGCTCTTCCTTCCGATATTAGGAAGCCACTGGAGCTGTGCATTTTTAAATCATCATCCAGATTGAAAACTAATTTATTTAGAACTGCTTTTGGTGTTGAGTTTGTTGTCCTTCCCCTGCACCTCCGATTAGCGCGGTTGGCGCGAAAGCAGTGCGGCGCCACGCACGTGCATGACGTGCCGGCAGATTCCCACCGGGAGCGCAACGCAGGGCCAATTCGGTCGCAACTGCGAAAACCCACTCGGTCGCACCACGGTGGCCATCGAACCTTACTCACAGGGGGGGTGGGGGTGGGGGGGAGCGGGGGGGGGGTGAAGGGGGGGTTACACGCTTAACGGTCACCCAGCTCATTGACCTCCACCTGACTGGAAGAGACAGTGAGACGGGGACGCGCGCTTTGTTGACGAGAGAGAGAGAGAGAGGACCTTTGTGTGACCGGCGTGCATTCGAGCCAGCGGCCAGCGCCGCCGTCTTATCTACGCACGTGCACACACTGGGCCTTGTGTCGGTCTCCGTGTGCCTGGTCACCGCGTGGATATTGAACCCGGCGCGCTTCACGACGTCGTAATTCTACACCGAGAGTAGCGACGCCGCCCATTTTCATTCCCGTGAGAAGACCAATAATGGTCGTAGTCATTTGGAATCTTTCACCCAGAACATCATGGGCGTGAGAACGTAAGAGTAATTCCCTCACCCCTCATTCCTTCACTCATTCCCACACACCTCATTCCCAAACACCTCGCAGAGTTTGAAGTCCTTCTTAAAGAACGTTAAGGCATTTCACATTTCGAGTGGTTCTTTTTGCGTTTGTAGAGGAAATTTAAGCGGCACGTGGAATCCCAAGCAGACGGAGAGAGAGCGACCGCCAAAGCTCCCAGCAGCCACGCGTTAGAAACCTCAACGCAGCGCAGCAGGCTCCTTGCGTGCGCAACCACGCCGTGAAGCAACACTCGCGTTTCGCACGCACGCACGCACCGCGGCCATCGCTACGCCAGCCACTGAGTCAACTCCGACGTGCGGGGGCACCATGGGGGCCCCATCGTGCGCTCGCTACGGCCAGATGGAGGTTCTGGCTACGGGGTGCAGGAGGGGGGAGATGCGTTGCTCTGTTCCGGCAAGCCACTGGGGAAAAGTGTTAAACCTACAGCTTATTTTTTTCATTAACAAGGGTTTAACACAGGCCCACACACGCAACTGAATGCACCACTACCATCCCAACGTGAATGAAAGTTAGTTCGTCTTAGCACACACGACAGATGGTCAACTATAGTCCTAATTGGCCGAAACGCTACGTCCAAGTAAATATCCACTCCCATCGTCGCACGAACGGCCACTGAAATGTACATCCAAAGTTTGTGGACCTGCCCCGGTGCTCTTCCCTGCCCCATTCCCTCCCCGACGGGGAGGGGGGGGGCACGGCCCCCCTCTCCTCCCTCCCAGGCGTGGGGGGGGCCCACCGTGCCATCTGCTTGTAGGCCTCCTCAGCGACGGCAAAGATGTGCGGGTCCATGTCGCCCATGTTCTGCCCGCTGTAGGCGAAGATGATATCCTCGCCATAGATGGGCATCTGCTCGTAAGGGTTGATGGCGACCAGCACGATGCCTGCGGTGAGAACGACGAGCCGACTTAAGGGAAGGCGGTCCGGGGCGAACACATCGAACTCATCATCGAGTCCATCGCGCGAGCGCTTATTGCGCTATCTCGCCCAACGGGGCCCACCTCTGTTCATCCCCTAGGCGGTGGACCTGCATGCGGTGCAAGAAAGTGGAACGTCAAACGTCAGCGTTTACATCCGACGTGCACAGCGTGGGGGGGGGGGGGGTGCAGCGGTGGCCACGTGGCTCGTGCGATGATGCGCTCCAAACGGTGACGCGAGTTTCGATTACCCCCCCACCCCCTCCCCCAGCCATGCCGAACGTCGGTGGCGAGCGAGAACGCAACCGGCACCGTCACGGAGCGGCACTGATCGGAATGGTGAAGTATGGTCAACCAACCACTCCCCCTCCTCCTCCCCCCGCCCCCCCCCATGACCGACACAGCGTGGTGCGGCATTAATCAAGGAGCGCATTGACGGGGGGGGGGGGGGGGGGCTCTCTATTAATTAACTTAATAATATATTATCATGAAAAAGTATGCATGTCTGCTTATGCATTTAGTCCTCAAGGCTGGGCTCATCCAACTTAAGTGAGAGAAAACATTCATGTCCGTGTTGTTTTCATGCAGTCATTGACGACTGGGCACAGACAGTCACACGCTCAACCAACCACGAGCTGGAGTCTCTTCCGGCCACATGGAGCGTGCGTCGCCACACGGCTGACATTTCTAATTTGCTCACAAGTGTGAAACTAAAAGCCAAAGATTTTTCTTATTTATAGCTCTTTTTCATAAGAGCACCTGGCCACAAATGAAAGCCCAACAAAGTGGCTTATCGTGTGGATATTATAGCAGCCAGATTCTCTAAACGCACGATTCTAATTGTGGAGGGAAAAACGGGAGGACTGGGAGGAAAATCCACTCGACCACGGGAGAGAGAGAGACACACAACAAATATACAGCAGGCGTCAGGGTTGGGATCGAACCCACGACCTCCTGCATACCAGGCGAGGCAGTTAACATCTCCTAGCCACCATGATGATGATGAGAGAGGGACACGCAAACTCCAAATATACAGCAGGTGTCTGGGTCGGGATCGAACCCACGACCTCCTGTATACCAGGCAAGGTAGTTTACATCTCACCACCGTGGCACCCTACCTCTCTGCCCTGGGCTTCGAGAAGGTGAGTAGCTAAATGAAATGTATGAGATAGTAGCGTTGCTACAATTCACTATGACCGAGCTAATCAAATAAATTCACTCGACCAGAGAACGGCGTTTAACCCCAGGTGGCTTCTCACATTCAAACCCAGGATCCTAACGGTGCCGGCTGTGACCCGTACACACGGCCATGCCAACTCTTGTGGCCTACTGAAACCAGCGAGGGGGTGCAGGCCACGATGGTGACAGCTCTTGACTCACAACTGAGATGGTTGAGAGTTAAAATCCCAGTAAGGGGTCAAGTCATCGTATTGGTCGATAAACTGAGAATGAGACAAAATAAAATATTAAATGAGTACCACCCTTGTGAAAGTCAATGGTGGTCACTCTTTCAGGGTAACAAAAACGAGTACTGCTGCATTGCTTGCTTCGGCAACATCTTTGTTCGTCTTTTTTTGCCCGATTTCACCCGGATTGAGCGACCGGCATCGCGTGCCGAGTTTGACCGTCCAGAACTCTCGCGGGGCAAGTGGAAACAACTCGTGTGAGAGGACGGCTCGCGGAGGTGAAGATCACAAAGCTCCCTCCGAGAATGTGTCAAGCGACCTCGGTTCCACACAGTAGTAGGCGGACGGCACTCTCTCACCCAATACCTGCCACTGACAGCAACATTCATCGCATTACAGTCAAACCAATATGATGAACTCTGAGAGCTGAAAATTCGCCGATTTAACTGTAAAGGCAGTTTTGACATGCGCGTGGTTTTTTGTATGTTTGTTATGCAGTCAAGCGTAAGTGACCGGGCTGAGAACGGCAACTCGGTACGTGACAGGACTCGGTTTAATCATCCGGAATTAAATCTAGAATCTCAGCAGTGCCAGCAGCTCAGTGCTGGGCCTTACGAGCAGCACGGCCCCCCCCGAACTCTCCCACCCTGCCCCCCCAACCACCCCACGTGACCAGTGCCCGTGACGCATGCAGCAGGTGTTGCGCGCATACCGCAGTACGTGTATATGTGGTTGGACTCGGCAAAGCGGACTTTGAGGTTGTGCAGCACGGCCGGCTCATGCAAGTAGCTGAGTGCCGTCAGATCGTTCTCTCCCACCAGAATGTCGGGGTTGCGCAGGGGCGGGAGCTGCCCCCCCTCCAGCGGGTGCTGCACCACCTGCCTCGCGGGGAGACGCACCGCATGCCATGCACCACCGTCATCGTCGTCATCATCATCGTCATCGTTGTCATCGTCATCGTCGTCATTGTCGTCGTCATCGTTATCATTGTAATAGTCGTCATCATTGTCATCATCATCATAGTCATCCTCGTCATCATCGTTGTCATTTTCATCATCGTCGTCATCCTCATCATCATCATTGTCATCGTCATCATCGTTGTCATCGTCATCATCGTCGTCATCGTCATCATCATCGTCATCATCAATTTCAACATACATACAAGGTGTCAAATCTGTGTAAGGTGTAGGCCAATCAGTTTCAAGGACAGTGCAAACATTATTGTCAAAGCATATGCTTGCATTTTTTTACCACGAGCATGTGTGGTTAACGCAGACTTGATGACTTGTAAAAGGTGTCTATTTGGTGCTTGAATATCTTAACACCTCTTGTATTCATACCAGAGAGGGTATAAACCTTTCTTATCATTTAATAAGGCATCTAACGTCTGGTATCCTGGTATGTGTACACCAACAATATCGCTGTGCCATGCCTCTTGGACTCAGGGCTGGGATGTATAATTTAGATTTCAATCACGCTTTACAAATGCAATTAAATGAACCACTTTAATCTTGTGTAATTTAGAGAGTGGCCATCTGTGTGTGTGTGCTGGTTGTCTGTGTGGGCCAACACCAGTGACGATCAGTCCTGGGCCTCCCCTAAGTCGACTCAGCCTCAGATGAGTACCCGGTGCGGAGTTGTAAACATCAGCAGTGGGGAGACAAAGGTGGCCGGGCGTGGTGCTGGCCACCCACCCACTGGTGTGCCGTGCCGGTCTTCATAGGTTATCGCTAACAGCACTTGCCCAAACGGTGTGTGAACGACACAAGGGGATCATTGGTGTCGGTGGTGCTGCCCTGTGTGGCGTGTGAAGGGTGCGCGACTGACCCTGCCATCTTCGAGCCTAAGCTGCAGCAGGCGGTCTCCGTCGCGGTAATCCTGGCAGATCTCCGCCGACACCCACACCTCGTCCGCGTGCGGGATCCATACCTTGGTGAGCTGCAACGAGGCCACGCACGCGCACAGACGGGCACAGACGCGTATACACGCTTGAGCACCTCTTGTGTGAGTCCACAAAAATAAAGTAGTGTTGACCTTCATCAATCCACTGGTGGAAGAAGGGTTCCCCCCCATACTCCATTCTCAATGACAGCCACTGTTCACCGTTTCATAACATTTCTTCGTCGCGGAAAAATGTATTCCGATGCAGCATTTGCCTTGCGGTCGAAAGGGTTTGAAAATCATCGGAATCCCGCTAGAATCGGCAGGTAGGGGGCTGGGAAGCGAGCGCACCATTAGCCGCGGCGGTTATTCGACCGTAGGCCACCTGACTCGGTCGGCGGCTGTTTGGAGAGAGGGAACCAAGACCCGTCGAGGTAGAACTCGGCCAATGACATTAGCCGCGGTCACAAACCAAAACCGGGTGGCCGGGCTCGAAGCTCGACGTGCCGTGCGCAGCAACCGCGTTTGGGAGTTATTGGACCATACTTCACCACGCCGGTCGGGGAAGACATCGGAGGGAGCATGGTACATTACGGCGATGTAGTTTTCAGCGCTGCCCTCTGCTGCACTGGTGAAGTACCCGTCGAGGACGCTTGACAACGGAGTTGAGGCACACGTATATTTATTTAACAAGTTGCCAGTACAGGACAGCCCTAGAGGGGGTAGCGGCCCCCTCACCCGTATAACTCAGGGAATACCCCTAGCTATCCATAGCCTATCCCCTGAGTCCTCCACTAAGAGCTAGGGGAGGCTGTCTGGCCCGACACTGGTAATCGGGCTCGGTACCCGGAGTCCCAGAGCACTGGCTCTGGTTCACGGGACCACGCCACTGGCTCGAGCCTGATCCCGTGGGGCCCTGATAAGGGCGGCGATCAGGGGGAGTCCAGGGCTCTAGCTACGACGTCTTCCGACTTCTTAGCTTAACTATAACATAACTGACTAAGCCCATATAACGACCCCTTTTTATACCCAACCCTCCTTGAGGGGTGGGGCCCCGGGGGATCGTAACGCCGAACCAGCCCCCCCCCAGGGTGTCTGGCTCGGACGTCGCAGAGGGCATCTCCCTGTGCACACACGTAGCCCCGCCCACTGTGTTTCTTTCCCATAGGCTGCCATGCATAACGGCCCTCTCTCCAACGTCCCTACATCACTCCCCCCCGCATAGCTCGCAGCCGTCCCGGCTGCAACAATTTCAACAAATGAATCTTTACCCCTTGACTCCCCCCGTGTGTGCCCCATTTTTTTTCCATTTAACAGAACGAGAATTAAACAACAACACTAACAATGCCCCTAAAGTGAGAACAAACCGACGCGCCCCCCCCCCTCGAATAAATACGAAATCCGTAGAGGCAAGATATGTACATTTCCCGGAACCCTCAGCGCACGCACAACACGCACACAAGACGCACACACACACACAGCCATAATACAACAACGCGCCAAGAGCGCCACACGAACGCAGCGTCCAGCAACAATAGCACACGAAAGTGTACCAGAAAACGCAAAAAAAATAAAAAAAATTTTCTTCTTATTTTCGTTTCGTTTTCACTTCTTGTTCGCGTTCCAGTGTTTTTATAAGAGTCTGCGCATTTTAGCGCGCGTCCTTGCCGCAGGCCCGTCACAAGGGCCAACCTCAGATGGCGGACCATTCGGTGGCCGCTGTCCCATCCGAGGCGAGTCCGCAATTGGAGTGGCGGGACCCTCGGCATCCCCCGTGAGGGATGTGCGCGAGCCCGTCATTCCGGGAGAACCTGGGGGCGGGGCAACCGGCAAGACGTCAGGTGAGATCAACAGAGGCGGACCCTCCGGGTCGGTCGACCCCTCACATGCTTGGCCCTGCGCGTGTGGAGCAGAGTCCCGCACCGCAACGAAGGGTTTTAGTCTAGAGGGGTGAACGAACCACCGGCGCCTCCCCCACTTGATACGAACGCACTGCGGTCGCAAAACCTCGACCACCTCGACGGGGCCCCGCCATGGCCGTACCAGTTTCGAGGAGGTCGCAAGCGGTACCTGGGGACAGTGCAGCCATGCCCTGTCCCCTGGCTTCCACTGCAGCACGTGCGCGCGCGCAAGTCTGAGGCGCTCATTCGCCTTTTGGCGCATGCGGGAATTGAGCATGGCAGCATCCCGCGCCTCAGTTAGCTTTTGAAGGTTAAATTTAACGTGCTCGTCCAATTTAATTTTACCTAGAGGCGCGGGGATCTGCAGCTGTGCCCGAACAGGTGGGTCATGTTCGCGACCATACATGAGAAAGAAGGGTGAAAATCCCGTGGCAGCATGGGGGGCCAATCGATATGCTGCCAGGACCCCTTGAATTTGCAAGTCCCAATTGGTCTGTGACTCCGAAACCAGGTGCGACAACATAGACGTGATGGTACGATGCAGACGCTCGACCATCCCGTCAGTTTGTGGGTGATAGGGAGAGGTACGAATCTTCTTTGTACCTAGGAGATCACAGACTTGTTTGAGGAGGTTCCCGGAAAAATTTTTACCCTGGTCGGTCAGCAGCCGCTCCGGAGCACCTTTGTCCATGACGTAGCCTTGGACAAAGGCGTCCACGATGGCTGCTGCCGACTGATTTGCCAGGGGCCAGGCCATAGGCCAGCGTGTGAAGTATTCGACCCCTGTTAGCAAATATCTATTGCCCCTAGGGGTGGCGGGAAACGGCCCCAGGATATCCAACGCTACGAGTTCGTTCACCCTGGAGACTGTGATGGACTGCAACGGCGGGTTCGACTCCCGAGCTGGTGGTTTGCGTTGCGCACACCGGGGGCATGCTGCCAGGAGATCCGTGACATCCCGTGTCATGCCCGGCCAAAAAAAATCCAGCTGGAGCGAGGCGAGGGTCTTTTGGGTACCCAGGTGGAGGAGGCGCTCATGAGCAGCCCACACCACCTTACCCCGTAACCCCGCAGGAACTACCAGCCGGTGACGGTGGGATTTACCGTCCCAATGCATGAGCAAGCCCGCGTGTATTTCCCAATTGTCGGCATCACCCGTCCCACACCCCCTCTCCCTGGCGCGACGACGCAGCGCGAGGAGGGAGGCGTCCTCCATCTGGAGGCGTCCCCACTCAATCACAGGCAACCCAAGCAGGGAATCCCTTCCCTGTTTCCCGATCTCATCGGGGAGCGATGTGTCAACATCGGCGGCGGCCGCCAGGACTGGAACCGTCATGTCCCCAGCTGGCTTGCAACGCCCCGACCCCAGGAGGCATGCGCATTCGGAGGTGGTTGGCATGCGCGACAGAGCGTCCGCATTTGTGTGGCGAATGCCCTTACGATAGGTGGTGTCAAAATCGAAATCCTGGAGGACCTCCAGCCATCGGGACAATTGTCCCGATGGCTGTTGAACCTTCAGGGCGTACTGCAGTGCCGCATGATCCGTACGGACAGTGAAATGCTGACCGTACAGATATGGGCGGTACTGTTGGATGAAGAAAACAATTGCCAACAGTTCTCTACGGGTGACACAATATTTTTGCTCCGCTGGAGACAACACCCGACTGCCGTACGCAACCACCCGTTCCACGCCATCAACCACCTGGGAAAGCACGCCTCCGATACCTGTGTTGCTCGCGTCGGTGTCGAGCAAAAACGGCCTCGAAAAATCGGGGTAAGTCAAAGGAGGAGCCTTCACCAATGCATCCCGAAGGGAGCAGAAAGCTACTTCCTCATCCCGACCCCAGTGGAACCGAACCCCTTTTGATGTCAAAGCATGTAGGGGTTTGGCAATTGTAGCAAAATTAGCGACGAACCGTCGGTAATATGAAGCGAAGCCAATAAAACTCCTCACCTCCCCCACCGAGGTCGGAATTGGCCAGGAGCTGACACACTGCGTTTTGGCGGGATCGGTAGCAATACCCGAGCGCCCCACGATGTGCCCCAAATAACGCACTGACTCGCGAAACAAATAGCATTTTTGGGGCTTAAATTTCAAATTAGCAGCCCGCATCCTTTGGAAAACCGCCCGCAGCCTCTGGAGATGTTCGTCAAAGGTTCTTCCAAAAACAATTACGTCATCCAAATAAATCAGGCACGATTCCCATTGCAATCCAGCCAAAACCAATTCCATCAACCGCTGGAAGGTTGCTGGCGCTGAGTGTAAGCCCATCGGCAACCGGTTGAATTGGAACAGGCCGTGCGGTGTACGGAAAGCGGTTTTAGGCTTCGAATCATCGTCCAGAGGAAGCTGCCAGAATCCCGAAAGTAAATCTAGTGTGGAGAAGAATCGCGCTCCCGCCAAGGCGTCCAGCGATTCGTCCATCCGTGGGAGCGGGTATGCGTCGGCAACCGAAACCTTATTAAGGCGACGGAAATCTACGCAAAACCGCAACGAGCCATCCTGTTTCTTAACCAGGACAATCGGTGCTCCCCAAGGGCTGGTAGAGGGAGAGATAATGTCGGCGGCTAACATGTCATCGACAGCCGATTTGACATGGTCCTTTTCGGCGGGACTCAACCGAAAAGGATTTTGGCGAATAGGCGCGCTGTCACCCGTGTCAATATGGTGACGCAGCAGGTGAGTACAACCCAAATCGTATTTATTCCGACTGAAAACGTCGGAAAATTCCTTTAGCAGCGATCTAAGCCGTTGGCGCTCTAAATTGGACAGGTTCGTCGATCCCGCACAAAGCGCGTCGAGCCACCCTTCATCGCCGTCCGAATGCGGGTGCGTCCGAGCAGCAGTGTCAATGTGGTTCACGGCAGGTTCCTCGCAGGGCACCGGCGTCGCGTGAGCGAGCACAGTCCCTTGGGGAACCACTACTGTCTGCGACCCGACATTGAGGACCGCGATGAAGGGATCCTCGTCCCCCCTTACGATGGTCTGGGCCGGAATTAAATGAGGCCCATTAACCCCGGCCCTAGACGGCCCCAGCACAACACCCTGATCCCCAACACCCTTAGCGAAGGGCCTACGAAGTTTAAGAGGTACCAGCATTTGTGCCCCCGGCGGCACACGCACTGTTTTTACGACGAACGCCGGTACCGTCGCGA